CTCAGGAAATACATTTCACTAGGGTTGTGCTCTGATTGATTGCAGAGTTGTTCATGTTCAACCCTTTCTGCGTAAGCATTGTAAAAACGACTATAACTCTGACCAAATGGCCACACCTCAGAGTAAACTAGACAATTTGCATTTAGCTGCGGAAAATGCGTGGGAATGCTGACCGCTGAAATGTTTTGCAAAACACTGCTGAATGAAGAAGAATCAGCAGAAACAGCTGAAGGAATAGTAGATGAAGAAAAAGTAGATGAAGAAGAAATAGTAAAAGAAGAGAAGTAGTAGAAGAAGAAAAAGTAGTAAAAGCAGAAGAACAAGAAGTAGAAGTTAAAGGAGTAGTAGAAGAGAAGAAGAAGTAGAAGAAGTGGTAGAACAAGTAGAAGATACTTCATGAATGCAGTCAGACAATGAGAAAAAGGGGAAAACGTCTCCCTATTGGGTGCTCATTTCAAGGGCTTAAATTAAGAGTTGGTGGCTAAATGATGATTTTGTGAGCAAGAGGACAAATGGCCGAACGTGTTGATGTGATTTGCATGTCTGGGATCCAAGAAATGTGGAAACCACAGCGATTTCAAAAGTTAGTCCCAAGAGGTTTGGTCAGTGAAGTCAGGCTGAAGTTTACCATTACCCCAGATGGAGATTTCTCTGGACCACCCGCCGCTTTGAAGCTCACAGTGTAAAAACCTTTGCTCCGTTTGTCCTGAAAACTCAATGTGTGAGAGAGGACACGTCTTCCTACATTTTGAGGCATTTATGTGTGTGGGGTGAACATTGTGGTCAGTAGAGCAATTTATTCAGGAGATTTTGAAACCATCTCAGAACTCTGTCCCACTTTAGCGATGATGTCACGCACTCTAGCCCCGAACATTCCACACACACACACACACACACACACACACACACACACACACACACACACACACACACACACACACACACACACACACACACACACACACACACACACACACACACACACACACACACACACACACACACACACACACACACACACACACACACACACACACACACACACACACACACACACACACACACACACACACACACACACACACACACACACACACACACACACACACGACATTCATTGAAAATGAATTTTTTCGTTTAAAGCAACAATATGTAACTTTTGCACCTTAGCAGTTTAGTAGTTTGGAATGTCTATTTAATGGTTCAATGACTTTCAATGGGAAGAATGGAGTCTCTCCCATGTCCACAGCGCGGCCTGACAGCCTGTTCACTGCACTTTTTAACGTTGGCAGCAGGTCATGGTCATCTTGAGAGAAGTACGTATGTCTTTACAGAACTATTCACACACCAGGTTCAGTTATAAAAAGGAGCCGGTTAGCCCGTCTCTGCACGCTTTCATACAATGGCTGAGGCTAAGAGACGAAAGAGGACAGTAATGGACGAAGCTAGAAAAAGAGAGAGAGAATGACGGAGCAAGAAGCAGAGTGTAGGTCCCTGCAGATATTTCTCACAACAGATTGTGACGTAACGTTAGGCTGTATAATGGTCTCAGGTTTAGCAGCTTTCCTGGGTGCAGAAGGTCACACAACCCAAATTATGTCTCAGGTTGCATACAAATAAATAAATCAACGCATGTTTCACCAAACAGTGGTCTCTTTCCTGTCACTCTTCAAGTTAGCTTTAGAAGTTTGGAACCGTATTATCCTCTCTCAACTGGCATCTGAGCTAAATCTGGTAGAATTACTGCACCTTGTCAGTCGACATGGTTGTTTAGCTTCTCAAAACTCTCTGCTTGTAAACAAATGCATGATGCATAAGAGGGGTAGCCGTAACAGCAGTTATACTCAGAGACCTGCAATGAGCTCCAAAGCTCACCAAACCAAATTCTTACATATTGTTGCTTCATAACTACCTTGAACCAATTACTATAAAATGTCCTTTTATAACCATACCCACCCCTCTCCAGATCTCGAATCTGTGGTCCTTTGGGTGCTCCACCATAGACGCAGGTGCTTTTAATCCGTGAAGACTTGCCATATTCATATGCAACCTGCTGAACCTGCTGAGCCAGCTCTCTGGTTGGGGCCAGCACAAGACACTATGAAGAGAGGATGAAGATGCATGAGGAAGGTCTTAGACTGATTCATGCCCATACTGTGATAGCAAAGATGAATATGTTAATACTCACTATTGGACCATCTCCCCGCTCCAGATAGGGCTGGTGGTTGATATGAACAATAGCAGGAAGAAGATACTGTAAGGACCACAAATGTTTAGTCAGCAGCACTTGCTATGTTGTAAAATATCCTTTTCTAATATCCAATACAAGTCATTATGTGCAGCGTCATGGCTTAACCGACTTACAGCCAGTGTCTTTCCAGAGCCAGTCTGTGCAATTCCCACCATGTCCCTGCCGCTGAGGGCCACAGGGAAGCCCTGAGACTGGATGGCTGTTGGCTCTTTGAAGTTCTGCTGCATCAAAACATCCATCACATACTCTGCCAGGAGAAGAAAGGGGAGGGAGGGCAGTAAACAAGACAGTAACACACTGGATAACTTTCTGTTTGTCTCATCACAAGGATCATCCCTGACAGTATTGTCTTTATTTAAATACACCTCGGTCCCTGTAAAACACTGACCAACTAACTTTACTAACAATACCATAAGTCATATAAGCCCCATTTCCACCAAGCAGTCCGGTTTGGTTCAGTACAGTTTGGTACCATAAAACCTGAACTTGCTTGCGTTTCCACAGCCAATCGTATTTGGTAAGCGGAGAGTGTAGGCCAGATGGAGATTGCCGCGTCAGCGATGTAATAGTGTAGAATCAGTCGGACACCATCGGTACCCTTGGCACCCCAACAAAAGGGTACCAAAAAAGTAGGACGGTACGGATCCCTTATTTTGGTACCATTCCCAACTTTTGAAGTCTCGTAATGCTCGGGGTTACTGAATTATTAATCTGATGTGCTAAAGTTTATCATAGATATCAAATCCATTGTTGTTTGAGAAATGTATCCTTTACTTACGTGGGAATTTAGCCTGGTTAAAAGCAGTGATGGCCTTTGGACAGCCAGATCCCCTGGTGGTGATCTCCTTCTTTCTGCGAAACTCTTCCATTTCAAACTGGATTTATTAGAAAAAAGGGGAGAAAAGAAAATTTGAACATGGTGCATAAATCCTTTATGGATACCTTCTGTTTAAGTTACTCCGACTTGGTGAATAGATATGGTGGTCCAGGGTGAACAACTTCATATATATACATATACACATCTTACCTTTAGGAAGAAAATGCTTTGCATCTAGTTTAAGTATGGCTGCTCCTATCTTGGATGTGCTGTGTTTTGAGGGTTGGGGAGTTGCTTTGCATGTTTTGTTTGTATATATCTATTCGGTAAAATTAATAAACCTGCCATTACAAGACCACTGTTTAAAGTCCCTTAACAGTGACAACAAACAACCCTAATAATAATAATAATAAAAATAATAATAATAATAATAATAATAATATGACCAAAACCAACAATTTGTCTGCTCTTAAAATATATAAATAAAAATATGTCAATAATTTTAAAAAATTCACCTGACTCATATGTTGGAGCTCAGGATGTTCAGTATAGAAGTTCTTCTCAAATTTTGGGAGCTCGTCCATGTTCCACCTCTTCTTGCGCAGACGCTCACCCGGATTGCCAAACTTCATCGGTGGGGGCCCACTGCGACCACTCATGGCCCCAAACCGTGGCCTGAGGGACAAGGATCAAGAGATTATTGGGGGAAATTAGCCAGACATACAAGAGCAATGTAGTGTGTGTTTTAGAATAGTTCTGGTACCAAACCAGGAATGGAAGACTGTTACAGCAGCATTTACTCGGCTCACAAGTTTTTTTTAATGGCTAATTTTGGACTGTGTAAATGTTTCACTGCAGAGTATTTTATCATCATCACATAATTGTCCTCCTCCTCCTCCTTCTGGACTGTATTTGTCTCTTTTTCTCATGTCTGTGCTTTCTTTTTGGGTTTGTTTTATATTTCTTTTTTGCTGCTGCCATTTTGGCCAGGCCTTGCAGGAAAAAGAGGTCATTTGATCTCTTCTATCTTGCCTGCTACAATAAAGGTAAAATAAAAAAAACAAATACGTTTGCGTATGTACAGGTTTACATGGTTAAAACATTTATGTAATATGTGGCTTTATATAGTCTACCATGTATTTTCCACACCATATGGGGACCATGTTTCATAAACTCCTGACCTGTAAACAAACGTTTGTGTTTAAGGCTACAGACTTGAGTCAAAACATGACCTGTACACTGACGCCATCTTAGTCAATTTTACAATAATGCAACACTTCTTCAGTGCTGTCCTCTTCTATAACTTTTTTTTTTTTTCTTCAGTTTTAGTATGAGAAAAACGTCAGGGTCACTTTAAACAACCTTTAAGAGGTGAGACGTGTTCTGCTCTCATGTGGGTACAGGCCCACTGCTGAGAGCTTTGGCTCTGTGTCAAACTTACAGCGACGTCTAGACACTATGCAACAGCAGCGCCACGGCAAACATATCCACATCCACTCAACTCACCTGTCTCTTCCACCTCGGTCCCTGTCTCTGTCGCCATAGGAGGAACCCCCTCTCATTTTCACCAGAAAACTCAACTATCTTCTGCAATATTTGTGCCCGGTTGGTTTACGATGTTCCCTGCTGTAAACTAAAAAAAAAGCTCAATTGAAGCCAACTAAATAACTGGATTCGCGATATTTCAGACAATATGTGCGCTAAAATGAAGGTTTTGGTAAACAATCCTTGCATGCGTCACGAAGCTGCACGGCTGCACAGCGACGTACATTCAACTAGTAACTCTGCGTACATGTGTTTTCACTGATAGGGCTCTACGTACAAATGCTTGCTAAGTATTAATTGTGAATATGACTCAAAGACCCATGTGTGTGTTTTAACAGTAGATGGCGACATGACAGAAACGGTGTCTCTGTGAACTTAGTAGAAGAAGAAAGTCTTCCAGGAAGCTCAGAGGGCTTTACGGCTGCAGTGTATGCAACTTAGGGCATGATGAAAATACGAAGTTACTGGACTTAATGGAAGTACTATTATGTTAACGAGTTGATTTTAAAGGGTAAATCGTGTAGTTTTAGAGAAATGCCTTTGTTTATTCAAACAGAGGAGTGGGCCGCATTAGCTCTACAGCGGAACTGTTCGACAAATATCCACATTTAAAGGTTTGTTTCCTGAGAGGAGGGTTAAATATAGCTCCTTCAGCTAGCTGCCATCCCCACTTCAGTGTTCCTTTCTGTTTCCATCATCATTTTACAATAGCCTTGCACTTCGATTATTGTTTTCATTTAAGTGTTGTTGTTGGCTAACGACATGTAATACATGAATTGACACAAGGTTATAATAGTGTTCGTTTTTAAATCTCTATTAAAAAAAGAACATATACAGTCTGTATAAACCTGACAGTCTATGCCTAACCCTGATTGATATCATAGGCTGATTGTGTAGGACAAATAGGTAAGTGTTGGATTGTTATTATTACATTAACATTATTCATTAACATTATTCCCTTTTTGTCACAGGAAAATGCAAGAACGTTTCGGTCCAGGCCACTTGTTGATGTCGACCCAACCTGCTTCTTGTATGTCCAACAAAGAGAGTTTGCTGCAACAACACCATCAGACAGTGAGTAAAGCCTAATGATTACAATACATCATCATCGACCTTTTGTTCTCAATATACAAACATACAGAAATATTCACACAAAGTTGTGTTTCAAATATTGCATGCACTTAAAAAAAAAAAATGTGTGTATCATGGCAGTCCTTAGTTTTATTGATTTCTACAACTCAGTATCAAATTGAACAAACACTTCTTTTTAATAAAATAAAATACATTTCTTTAAATATATTATTGGTCTTCTGGATAGACAATGGAAAAATGCATGTGACAAAAATCCCCTGTGTAAAAAATAAATGATATATATAATAAATGCAGCAGCTTTAATTATTGCTTTTGTTGATCTAGGATGTTGTGCCTCTAAAGTTTGCTTGATAGAATGGACCCTTGTCTTCTGTTTTGAGGGTATGTTTGGCACTTTGAGCCATCTCAAAGCAGCTACGGGTCTCAAGTTTTCAAGTTATTATGTACAAGCTGTTTTTAAGGGTACATAATGTGCAAACAGACATAATCAGGAAGAACTCAAGCGGTCAGCTGCTGCGAGGAAAACAAAAGTGTTCAGGGTGGGCGAAATCCAAGAACCTCCAAAAAGCAGATCTTCATTGAATTAGAAAATGCTAAGCCAGTCAGGGTAACATGTGTTGCAAAGGGACATCGACCAAATACTATATATATTTTTGACCCAGCAGATGTTCTCCAGTTTTCAGAAGAACCTTAAGAATTTATTAAAATATCAAACTATATATAGAGTTTTTGAAGAAAAAAAGTGTGGACTCCAATCATTTATCACAAAAACCACAGTTGAAATCATTTTGGTTTCTCCACTGTGCTAGGTTAAGTCTTCAGTCAGGGTCCAAAGCACTGTTTAGAACTGTAAGTCCTCGATTCCTGCACAGTGACTGCCTACTGCTATCAAAGCTAAGGATCAGTTAGATGTAGACACAATTAAGCATTCTGGAGGGGGAACTCTTGAATGGATGGTTTGTTACAAAATCCTGAAATTAGAACTTTAGGATAAGTATTTTTTTATCAATATAAATAAATGCTGTTTTTGCACTAAACACAGGCAGTGTTTCAGTGATCGGATCTGATGATGCCACCACCTGCCATTTAGTTGTGCTGCGACACACTGGTAATGTTCCTTTTTATTCGATTTATGCTATGTGTTTTTCTGATATGTGTCATGCCTGACATTTTTTAAATCTGTCATCAAATTTCTTTGTGTATTAGGAAGTGGAGCTGTTTGCCTTGCTCATTGTGATGGTTCCAGCACCTGGTCTGAAGTCCCGCTCCTAGTGAAAGCTGTCTCGTCACTGAGTAACGTCTATAAGGAGGGCAGGTATGAGACATTAAATTACACATAATGAAAAAAGCACATTCTGTAGAGGAGAACTTTATTTGTTTCCTTTGTTTTCCATTTGGCAGATTTGAGCTTCACCTTGTCGGGGGATTTAATGATGAGACAAAAACATCCCATAAACTCAGCCTTAGCATCCTGGGTATAGTCTTTTAAGTTATATCACGTCTTACTGAAATCATCCTTTCAGCATTTGAACTTTCTAAAAGAAATACATTGACTTTACAGCAGCGTTCCAGAAACAGAAAGAAGATATTCATCTGGAAACATGCTGCGTCACAGGTAACTTTCATACATTTATTCACTGTTTTCTTCTTCTTCTGTTGAACAGTTATTGAATGTTCTGCTTGTGCCTGTAACCATTTAACACATCTTTTTTCTGTTTTCATAGAACTGAACGACATTATTGTTGATGGAACACATAGGCCTGTTGTGTATGGAATAGGTAAGTGATGAGTGGACCATAGAGTAAAAGGTGGACTGTTTTCATGGCATATGACATCTTATATTTATTTTCTCTATGTCTGTTTCTGCACAGGTGTGAATGTCAAAACAGGGGATGTGTTTCCTTCAGCGCTCTCCCATAAAGGACCGGCAGAACAGTTGCGTTCAGCAAGGACCTTCACCGGGGGACAGGTGCTATAATATATCGAATGTTTTTGTTATTTTCTTTTCTTACTTAACCAGGTGAACTTCAACTTCAACTTTATTGTCCCCGAGGGGAGAAATTTGGTTTGCAGCAGGTGAAAACAACAAACCTATAGAAAACGCAGGCACATAGACAATATAAACAACATACACCCTGAACAAGAATAAATACAGGAATTCATCAGGTAACAACAGGAAACTTAATGTATAAAAATGTCCATCTTTAATTTAATTTAACCATCATTTAAACAAAATAAAACTCATCAGTCATTACTGGAGTTCAGTCTTTTGATGGTCTGAGTTGATGGCCTGAGTTATAAAAGAACAAGGAGAACCTCATTAAGATAAGAATCTCATTTTTGTGTATGTTAAAACTCAAAGGATTACACGAACAGACAATTTTTAATTGTCTCTTTAATTCCATTTAAAATAGAGATTTTGTTTTGTCAGTCTGGCTGGGAAAATATAGAAATATGAGTGCAAGTTTTTATTTATTTTATTTTAGAAATGATCATTAACTGTTTGTTTTTTTACCTCGCAGATGGCTGACATATATGACTCAAGTCGAGGACTTGTTAAAATAGGCCCTTGCAAGTGGTCTCCAAATCTGGATATTGCCTTCTGGTTGTCACAAAATGATGACACAATTTTAAAGGTACAGTAATTTACAGAAAAACATACAACCATATATGTGATCTACTTAATCCTGTGATCTTCTTCCTCTTCATGTTTCATTTAGGGCCTCTGTTTCCTCCCAAAACATGTAGCAGGAGTGATACATCTATTTACTTTGTTGTTTCTCTCTCCTGCACAGTACCTGTCAACCTCTCCGATGGCTGAGCCACCACACTTTGTCCAGCACATGAAGTCCACCATCCAGTTCCTCTTAGAACACCCCAGCTCTGATAGCCTGTTCCCTGGCGGTCAGCCACAGTTCTACCACAGGACTGAGAGGGGGGACTGGGAGAGGGTTGGCCCGTCATAGAGCACAGCCCTAACTGCTTTCTTTCACTCAACCTTAACATGGAACATACCTATTTTTGCCTCTCAGTTCAATGGATACATTGTGACCCATCCACCCAGTGTCTGATTTTGTTCATCGTGTCTTAACGTGGAGGGAAATGCCCGCTTGATCGTGTGTATACTGTGTGGCTTTCCTGACTTGTCTTGCAGGTCAAGTTGGAAGAGTTTAGGAAGTATAAGGGATTCAGTTCAGTTTTGTCATAGTTAGTTTTTTCTAATCTTGTAAGGTGGTGTCTCCATTTATATCATCGACTTTAGTCTAGGTTAGTGACCTACTACTCTTTTCTCACTATAGAAAGACAAAAACAATACATTGTCTTATACCCTGTTCAAAGGTCATAGCAATCATTATGTATCATTTTTAGCAATAACAAAAAAACTACAAACATTTTTTTCTATCTGCTATAAATGTTGCATGCTTCCATCAATCATTTTATTAAGCAAACTTCCATAATTCAAACTTCTGACATCAAATTGCCTTTGTAGTTTTAATCACTTGGTTAATGTTGTTAATGCAAACATTCTGTGACATTTGAAATGAATTAAGAAATATGCTTATATCTGTGTATTATGAAGTTAATACGCCAAAACACGTAAAGCCATGTCCTTAAATGTAGAGCATGATTTACTGTGCACGACTAATAACTGGTGGGGAACTCAATCCAATAAAAATTAAGGATATATTATTTATTTATCCACTATGTTCATACCAATGTGAGGAAAAATAATTAGCATTCAGCTTTGTTGAGGAGTTTAACAAAGTGGATATTTGTCTTTAAATGCACCTTCCTGATGAGATTGGAATCATGGTTGTATATACTGCTGTATACTGGGCTATGAATGTTATAGGAAAATGCATTTGTAAATTGTACAATAATCTTCTGCAAGGGAGGGTATGTATTCTTGTTAAATTTAACAAAATATGGTTTTACTTTTAATGTGTAAAAAATGAAAACACCATTCATTGTGTAAGGCCTTTCATCACGTGTTATTCTTAAGGTTGCAAGGTGCAAATGGCATTAAGTGCAACTTATTGCAACTTGCGATACTGTATCTGTTGCTAAATAAATGTAAATAATCAAATCTAGTCCCTTGTATATAATTTGTTGAAAAGGTAGCCAACAAGGGGCCAGTGTCCCTGTAAAACTGAGCTTAGATTACTGAAACAAATATAAATCATAGTATTTTATGTTGTGGTATTTAATGATGTGCGCTATTATTTGGCATATATATAATTAAAACGATCATTTTTGTCTATTTTTCACCTGGGTTTGATTTTCCCCTCTGACAAAACAACTTGCCCCAGCTTGGCCCCCCTCAGTGAAAGTGGTCTAGAACCGCCACGATTGTCAGAGTTCACCACTTCAAATGAAAAAAGGATTTAACAGCGTTTTGTCTGATGCCATTAAAAAACACTGCTCGTGTGTTTTAACATTAACCCCGGTCATCTCAGTCTGAGAATTCTAGAACCTCCAGAGCTACTATGGATTCTAGAACCTCCAGAGCTACTATGGATTCCAGAACGTTCAGAGCTACTATGGTTGCTAATGGTATTCATTTTTGCTCCGCCCTTCAGCTGTACACTGCGGTGACTTTTTACGTAAAGGGGGCGTAGTGATTCACGCAGGATGAAGGGACGCGGGCAGCGGTGGACTCGCAGTCCAGTGTCGGTCGGTGCAGGACGTGCAAGTATCCTGTCTTATATTGTGTAACGTTTTAAGGCTCTTTATGCGAGAAAGATTTACCCTTTACTGTTGATAAGCTTTACACGCATGTTTCATCGTAACTGGAGGGAAAAGTTCAGTATTAGTGATGCCACGGAGATGACGCCTGTAATTTTTGGCTAGGTTTTTTACTAAAAAAATAAAGCTAAGTATAATATTTTGCTAACGCTAAAGAAACATAACATATATAAAAATGCGAACGGCGTTTCTTCGACATGTCCGACGTTTCCCGTGGGTCACCAACGTGACTCTGTACGGCGGTCTGTTCGCTGGAGGGGACTTCGTCCACCAGTGGTTCTCCCACAGGGAGCAGCTGGACTGGAGGCACACACGGAACGTTGCCGTGGTCGCGTTCAGTTTCCATGGCAACTTCAATTTCTTCTGGATGCGGTTCCTGGAGCGAAGGTTTCCCGGGAATTCTGCCGGAATGGTGATGAGGAAGCTGTTGTTGGACCAGACCACAGCGGCGCCCCTGGCTACCAGCGTGTTCTACACAGGTCGGTGGGCCGTATAGGACGGTTGCTGACAGCCGGCCCTTGCTTCCTTATATCCCGTCAAAAGCCTGCCGGGTAGTTAATAGTTAACAACAGGTCACGTCTGTCAATTCCTAACTTGACCCAAGTCCTCTCGGTTTCTTCTATGTTACTATCAGCAGTCGCTGTCCTGTTGGAGGTCATATGAAAGACTTAGCAGAGTGGCTCCGTTTGAAGACAGTGTTGGAATCGACTGTCGAATCGATTGTTTATAATGTCCATACTGTGAATATTGTTTATACTGTAACTATCTTATATCCACCATTGCTGCTCTATAATATACCAGTCTTATCTGTATTCTCTGCACCAGCTTACCGTGTTAACTTACTACCATATTGCACTTTATGCCTCTTCATGTTTGTACTGCACCTTTGTTGCTCTTTTGCACTTTTTTTTTGGTTAGAACGCCAAATACATTTCGTAGTCTCTGTACTTGTACTCTGCACAATGACAATAAAGTTGAATCTAATCTAATCCAATCTAAATGGGGGGTTTTGGTTAGTGACTTTAATGCTTTCTGAACATTTTCTATCATTTAAAGTGTTAACAGCTTTAGTTTGTGATAAAGGTGAACCTTCTTTTCAATTACAATAACTGGAATGTGGATAAACAAGCAAAAGCAGATTAGATTGCAGAGGGCCATATCTCCTAAATCAGAAACACATTATAATAATACATTGTGTTTTTGTAGGCTACTTTAAGAGACGGTTTACATTTTGTTTGACCACTATCTTTTTAAATCATGTCATGACATATTACCAAAGTGATCATTCTTCCTCATCATCAAGAAATACATACAAACTGTGTTCATGGGGTCTAGACAGTCTATTCACATGTGTATGTGTAAATATACTTGGCAATAAAAAAAAAATCTCATTCTGATTCTAACACTGTCTATGAAATCTTAATCAGTCAAATCAATTTCCAGTTGACAGTCACAGAGTGAACTGACATCCTTTTTGTTTGTCACCCAGGTGTCAGCTTCTTGGAGGGCAAAGATGACATAACAGAAGACTGGAGAGAAAAATTCCTGAACACTTATAAAGTGAGGAGTAGGAGCTTACACAGGCTTTTCCCCTTGCTAACATCTTGCACTGAAATATGGTGACATCTGTGATATATTCTGACAGTTACCCTTTACTCCATCAATGTATTTGTAGACAGTTTACAGCACTGTATACCTACAATTTTAAGTATGAAAAGTTATTATTTTTGATTTGCTTTTAGGAGAGCCATACTGAGGACTCTGCTGATGAAGTTATCTAGCTCTGATGTCACATGCCTCTTAGTCCAAAGAGTTAAAGACAAAGTTAATTTTTGTCCACAAAGGTTTCAGCTGTGTCTGTAGAGGTGTTCTTATATTTTGTGTGTCTACAAATGATTGATTTTCTTTGTGTCTGTTTCTCTTTTCAGACGGGGCTAATGTTCTGGCCTTTTATGCAGGTAAATATAAATGTATTTTTAGGGTTCAAATTTTAATTCTTAACTTTTGGAATAAATGCACGGTGAAGTAAGTCTAAGCTCAAATACTCACACTAATAAACATTACATTTAAGCTCACATCTTCATGATGTATGGACATTTTAGTATAGATTATCTCCTCTATTACAATTTCTGCTCTTTTCAATAACTGTTATAATATGAAAAAGTCACTATTATATATATATATATATATATATATATATATATATATATACCATACTAGATATTGGTATTTTGCAGTATGACGAAGTTTGAAAGGTACACCAGTAGAGCACCCCCATAAAACAGTCAGTTCCAACCGATTACTTTGATTGGACAAGCGGCATTATATTAGCTCTAATATGTATAGAACAGTATAATATAACATTACTGTGACTTTTCTCTTTTTACAGTATCACGTGTCCTGAATATTCTACTGGTAGATAACAAGACAGAAAAGGTCTTTCAGGTTAATTTGGCTGCAGGGAGAGTCAAATATACTTATTATAACACAGACAATACATAACACATACAAAGTGCAAATGCATGGTACATGGGTAAAGTGCAAAATTGTGCAGATTCCGATAAAAAAAATTGTTAGACAAGTTGATCTGTAAAAGTTGCAGACCGTAAAACATTAAAACTGATAAGAAAATAATAAACTAGAAGCATGCCATTATCTTCCCAGCCTGCTATCTCTGTCCCTACATACAAGACCTTCATGAAACTTCCAACAACCACATCAAGCAGCAAAGAGGAAAAAGAAGAAGAGTAAATCAAAAACAAAACATGATACATACAGATATCCTACGACTTGTTCCACTTAATAATGGCTGCTGGAACAAAGTTGCTCTTATAGCGCTTTGTTCTGCACTTTGGAACTAAAAGTCTTTGTCCAGCAGGAAGAAGCTGAAGCTCACAATGCAGAGGGTGGGACTCATCGTTGAGGATGGAGCTGGTTATCCACTCCAACTGTCTCTTGTACAAGGTCTCTAGACTGAGCTGTTGCTCTCCAATCAGCTTACTGGACCACTTCACAATCTGGTTCAGAGAGTTTCTGTTCTTCTCAGAGAGGTTTCCAAACCATGACAAGACAGAAAAAGATAATATCGACCCGACAAAAGCACTCTGCACTTTGATCAATCAAGCACTTTGACTTGATTGATCAAGCTGGTACCTGTAAAATACAGCCAGCTTTGTGCAACTGTGGCCACTTTACAATTCCACTGGTTGCATGATGAATCAGATCAATTTACAAATTTCAAAGTAGCTGGTGTGCAGAAACATGTAGACATACACAACGTAGCATGCGCTTGAAAATGTTTGTTTCCCTTGACAACAGTCCAGTTGCTTTAAAGTTGAGGAACTAGTTTCACTTACAGTACAGCGTCTGTACTGAATATCAGCAAATGTTAACTATGATTTTATTTGGTACTCAGCCTGCATCTCTGTGCCTATGACCAAACCACAGCTGTGGTATATTATCATTGGAGTATAGTCACTTTAATGAACATAACAACAAAACTTGCATAAGTATAATTGTCAAAAAATATAGCACAAACAGTTTACAGTTAAATTATGAGCTGGTGTACTAACATGGACTTGTTTGTGTGTCCCTCTTAGTTTCTGAACTTTGCGTTGGTGCCTCTGTATGTGCGGACCACCTTCACCGGCTGCTGTGCGTTTGTATGGGCCATCTTTCTTTGCTTTTCTCGTCAGAGCGGTGATGGCACAGCTGGTGCTGCTTTAGCATGGTTGTTCCCTCCTGAAGAGAGTGAAGCAGAATCCACAAAGGAGAACTCAAACTCCAAGGAAAAGATGGATGCTCCCAAAGAGGCAATTGTAGCATCTAAACCTGCTCAGAAGTGAAGTGAGTCATTGTGTAATGGAGGGGGACAAGATGTAAGCAGAACAAGCCTGAACAACAGGCTGTTGTAGTGCAGTCATGCCAGAGGCTGATGTTGATCTATCACTGTCAGGGTTTCAGTTTAGTCCTCTGGGTTAAATAAGAATGTGCTTCCTTATGACGCTGTAAGATAGATCAGAAAACAGTTTCCAGCAGCTGGAATGGATTTAACATATCTTTTTGATATTTATACAGCACATCTCTGTGAGAAAATGTAATTAAGTCCTCTGACTCTATTCCACAGTAAGTCGTCATCATGAGGAATTTCTTGTTAGGTTCCCTTGTTGTTTGTGTCATAAATGCTTTCTTGTGTTCTCTCATTTAGAAACACAGAGTTTCATTATTTGACTGGACCATGTTAAATGTTGTTGCATTGATTTGTAAGGACTTCCTTACCTGGTACAGAAGCGGCGTTGTTGCATGAATGCTCCACATTCCTATGCTTGACATCAGTATGCAAAACTGGAGTGAGAGAGGGGAATATGTATGTCCACAATGTGTACAGGCAGCTACAATATTAGCTTGAGTTTTAAAACCTCAACAAGTTTGGTACATTTAAAGCTATTTGAATATCACCTGCTCTTTATTACAAAATGTGATTATACTGTTATGTGTGACTGAATCAGAATGCTTGATCTCTAAGGACTATCGGTCTGCTTCCAGTTATACAAATACAAAAGGACACGGTGACCTGTATCTGTTCTTTTCTAGACAGTGTAGAACCGAATCTATAATAAGTCTTTCTGTTATTAATTTATAGGAATGTACTTTATACACTAAGGGCTAAGAAGAGAAGACAGGAAATGAAGTGTTTATTATAAAACAAAAACATTAAAACATATCAGTACGTAAACATTTAATTTACAGAATTAAACTCATATCCCTTTTACATCTGAATGTTGTGAAAATGTGATACTACTGAGGATCGCTATGAGGTGATCCATAAAGGTTTCCTCAAACATCCAATAACTTGAAAGTGGAAATGCTGCCTTCTTCTTTTCACGCTTTATGTCAATGTCAAATTGTTGAATGCTGTCTCTTTGCATCATTTTTAAGTTTTAAACACTGTCCTTTACATTTTGTTGATTTGACCCCTAAATTAGATAGTTGTCATGTGTTTTTCTCACTTGCGTTGATTCTTGAAATGTAAATGTCAGACCCCTCTGACAGGAAGAGTTCACTTTGTAATGGAGTAGAGATCAGTTTAAGAGCTCACTGAAGAATTTAAAAGTTCAGGGCAAATGATTTCTCAGGCAATTATTGACAAAAAAGCCTTTTTATTTACTGTGTTTCCGTCAGTCACTGACATACCTGGGGAGAGATGTTTTTTTTCTGTTTTTTTAAGTAATTGGTCTGAACTGTAATTGACTGTAATATTTTTTAACTCGTATATGCTAATATATTTGATCAGTCTCACAAACCTGACATCATTCTGTTCTGTTTGTAGTATATGTAATGTTTTGTTCCCTTTCATTAGACACCTTTAAATTGCATTTGTTCAGTTACTTGATGTTATTGTAGATAGGAGAGTGTTTGTTTCTAATTATAATTGATATGCTATGTTGTACACTGGAAATTAGAAATCATATCAGTTAACCATTTGTTCATATCAGCAAGTGAACTGGGTATATTTCATCACCCTCTGAAAACTCTGTTGCAATTATTGACCTATTTTAATATAACAAATAACTAATATGATCAATGCTGTTGACTTTATTGTGTTGAAGAAATGATTTGCTCACATTTTGCACTTTAGTTGCATTAGCTGTAGTAGAGAGAATTAATATTTATTGTTGAATAAATTAAAAACATCCAATTGATTTCATGTGTGCCTGTTTATTCAGTTTTCAGTGATAGTGACACAAGATAAATCTGGTATAAGTAAACTTGTACAAAATGCTGAGAAGCATGGATAGTGGACATATTACAATAAAAAACATGTTTTATATTTAACAACAGACCCATATATTATTTATTGAAATATCACAAGCAGGCTTCTGTTATGCTGTCAGATTTGTATACTGTGGATCTTGCTGAGACAGATATACTATTCTGTGTTTACATGCAAATGCAACTCTGTCTCAATCTCTTGTGGGAATATATTGAGCACAACTTGTACTCTGAAATTCCTCACTGCTGTGGAAGACCTTTTTTCTGCAGCCTTTGTTTTCATTTTCATTTTAGTTTTCCTTATTCTATCTCCCCCTGCCTCAAAGACTTCAAAAACATCGCTTCAGGCACTTTAAAAAAAATCTGAAACAGACAAGCAGATGGCATCCGTTTATTTTTACCAATGAAACCAGAACCCCTTGAAACACATGCCACTAAACAGTTGGTTATGTCTGTCTGCCAAATAACAAACAGTGATACTTCAGAGAGATAATGCTTAAAGAATCACCCCCTGCTAGATTTCACATTACTTCATTGATAATAAATAGCCTACATGAAGAATATCCAGGTAGAACATTGGCATTATGAAAACAAAATTCTAGGAAGGGCTGTCAGTATAAAACTTCAGAGTATCTGTGTACCTATGTGTTATTTTTAACGTACGTCGTTGCCAGTGGGTGTCTCCCAAGTCCTCTCATCCCCGCCCGCACTGCGCATGCTCCCTACATCCTCACCTCCATCCACCCGTCGAGGGACTTGAAAGCTTGAATAAAGATGCTCTACGTCTCGGGTCGCTGGAGCCTTGTTACCGGGTGAAACTGAGTTATCTGGACGGACGTACAAGAGAGGACACGTGTAGATAGTTGAAAGACTCTATATCTTATAGTTTATGTCTTTGGGCACCGATATGGAGCTGAAGAAATCTATTTCGGACACCGAGCGAGCGCTCAGGAGCTACGGCGCCGTGTCGGAAACTGCATGGACAACGGACAAAGGTTAGCGCCATGCATCAAATATGAGGTTGTTTTACCGTCTGCTGGTTACAGATAGCATGTCATTATCGCACCAGTAGCCTTTTGTCCGCCCTTTGTTTTAGTCTGTATATAAACCCGGTGAGGAGCTAGCAGTGAAATGGTTAAAGCGTGACTCACAGAGGTTTTGGATGTATCAATAACGCTCCCTTTGTGCTTAAAAAAAAAAGGCCCATAAATTCTCCCCACATGCACGGTATCACACGGGTTTGTGAATGAATTATGGGGTGAGGACTATGCTAAAACAAATACAGCCAGCCCAGGGCATGTGAAAACTTGTGGTGGTTTGTTACAGTCTGAGGTTATGCAGAAGCAGCATTAGAGGGTATGAGTCAATCCCATGGTCCTTTGCTCTGAGAGAGAGAAAATGCCATGATCTACATTTCTCTACATTGTCTAAATCAAACTAATGGTATTTAAATGCAGATTTTACAAGAGGCTATCACAAAAAAAAAAAAAAAAAGCAGAAGAACACAGTTCCAGTTAAAGTGAACATGTTCAACTTTTGAGCCACTGAGTTTAATGTCCTGATATTTGCCATATATCTATGATATGTATTGTATAAAGGGCTGCAATAACAATTGTTGTTTTGGTGACTCAGTTGACCACCCAAACATGCAACATAGCACATTTGAAACATACTTAAACTGCAACTTGATCAAGCAATGTACTAAACCCTCGTATATCCATTTTACGGTGATATAGAGCAGCAGCAAATTCTCATGTTGGAGAGATTGGAATCTTTTTTTTTTTTTTTTTTTGTATTTTACAGAAGCATATTAATTTGTAATACGTTTTCTGTCAGATTACTTCTTGGATTAGTTATCTGTCAAAACTACAACATATACACATTACTAGCAGAGGATCCATTTTATTTGATGCCTCTATTATTTGCCCTCTGATCAAAAAAGTGATAGAGGGAGCTGAATGACGCATGTGTTGACGGACGCAACAAAGTGATCACGTCCTTTAAGATGTGTCCTAGTTGGTGATGCCACTGAGGATTGCTCATTACTGGAGTGCAGGGGGTGAATAAACTTCCAGATCAAGTCAGAGAAGAAGAGAAATAATCAGCAGTTATTTTTAGACAGATCTAATCATTGCACTCTCCCTCTCTCTCTCCCTCTCTCTCTCTCTCTCTCTCTCTGTAACACAAATACATACAGCCATGAAACAACACATTGGTAATGTGGAGTGAAACATCTCTCTTTTTGTAAAACAAAGATAAATCCGGCCTGTTTTTTGAAGTCTGTGGTCACTCTTTTGATGGCGTTCAAAGGCAGCAGTAACAACAGCAGCATCAGCAGCGGTGTACTGTATATGTGACTGCAGGATGTGTCAGGGCATCTGGATTGGGTGTCATACAGATGCTGACATCTCTCTGTCGGCAAGCCCTGTGTGGCTGTCCCACCAGGCATGATACGGACACTCCAGGCTTAATCCTCATTAAATCATCATCCACTAGTGCAGTGGTGTTTGTTTAGTGTTCTTTAAATGAAACAGGGCTAATTTAAGATGATTAATTATGCTTGTAAGGACACTGGTTTACATTTGCAAGTGCTGTTTGGAGCAGTGTTTCTTGTGTTGGCTTGAAACTGAGGTGATAAACTCACCTGTCCCTGGTGAACTAGCTGCTTTTAATTAGAAAGTATCAATGCTGTTCATCTCTTGTAAATGTGTGTACGTCTGTGTGAGCAGCTTGTTCAGATCAGAGGGAGCTGTTAAGACATTCTCTTTTCACACCAGACTCAATGCAGCTTGGTCTTATTGATGGCTCTCACATGGCTGGGTAACACAGAGAAGCGTGCAAAGAGACATACATAGAATCAAAGGGGATACAGAAAAATACTTAAATTGTTAAGCTTAAGCTCCTGCTGTGTTTTGCATCGTGTTACAGGTCTGTGACATAAAGTCTGATTTCGGCGTCAGCGTCTTTTGTCAGCAGACAAGTTCGTGTGATGATTCAATATCAGTGATGCACAAACAAAGTGAGCCCTACTGTGCAGACTTCTGTCTGCTGTGGTGAGTCAGCTCTGTCCTCAGCAAGCAGCCAGGAAAAGTAACACAGTCACAAACTACAGTTTATGTTTCTGCAGGAGGACGAAGAGCTGATCCAGCCCTCTAATGATGTGTGTCATGTTGTGGATTATATTCAACAGCTCCGGATTTAAGATTAAATAGTCGTTTTTGTTTATTAGAACCTGTGAACAATGCTTGTATCATTTGTAGACAGGTTAGAAAGAAATACCTTGACAGAATGAAAAGGAAAAATATCAGACATCAGCGACTCTTTTAATGGACAATAGTGTATCAAAATGTATACAGTACATATTTGTTAAATATCACATCACATTTGAGTCAGTTTAAGCAAAAATAACATCAATCTCTGGTTCCATTGTGTAAAATTGAAATAGTTGTTTTCATAGCGTTCTGCCTATCAAATGCTATCTTTGAGTATATGGCTGTTTGTGAGGATGAAAAGAGACTTTGAAGACATTACCTTAGACGGTGTATGATATGAACATTTTATCACGTCAGTCGAGGCAAAGATGTTTAAGCATTGGATGGGTTACGCCCAAAACCCTGAACCTTACACTTCCATTAATTCAACTGCTTTATCTGTCAAACACCAGAACCCCAGTTTTTAAAAACGGGTTATCACTTTAAAAAAGTGTAATTACAAGCAGTGAGATAACCCTAACGTCACCTCAGTTTCAGTATTATCTCAAACTTGGTAAAGATCCTTACAGAGCCACATTAGATTTTAAAATTGTTTTGAAAGTCACACGTATGTTGACCAACTGAACTCTACCAACGATCTTGAAATGAAGAAAATCAGTAAAACCTGCTTATCTTTGACCTTTTTAATCAGTGGAGTATATTTTTACAAATGAATCATGATCTGCCAGCACTGTTGCCTGTATGTTGCAAGATGTTTTAAAGGTCTGCCTGTTGAAAAAGCTTCAGCATTTACAATGGCCAGTGCATTAATCAATGTAGCAAAGTGTTTGACAAGATTGGTAAGCGTGTGATCAGCGTAGTAAGTGTTTAGTGGTTGATGCAGAGAGCCTGAGGTCAGTGGTCAAAGTTGGAACAACCAAATCAGCAAGAAGCCACAGCTGCTTATTGATCCATGCGAGGAGCTCCACGCTAACATTCTCCTTGGAAAAATGGATCTTGGAGTTTCTGTATTACATACTGAGTTCTTGATTTTCTGATCTTAATGTCACACACTTTTTCCACATCATCAGCTATTGAAGCCTCTTGATGGAAAACAATCATTTGCGCCTGCAGCACTGCTGTGACTTCACCACATCTCTCATCAACACATGCCGCTTTCTTTGTAAATAGCACTTTCTTGGCTGCTGTCAGTTACAGTGTCATGGGATGACGAGGTGATTCATTTGTGAGTCAAGAATGTGACACCAAGAGAAATAAGGAGCATTTGAAAGTATATGCCATAAAAAGATAAGGACGAATATCTCAAATGAGAATCGAATGTGACTTAGGAATCTGTAATTTGGTCATGTGTAGTTATGTCTCTGTAATTTAAACCCCTTAAAGTGGTGCAGTCTTATAAGCACAGTGTAATGGGAAGAGAAGGGGGTAACATGTTTCAAACATATCTCTCCTTGTGGAGAAAAACAATCCAAATACCTCCTGCTTTTTATAGAGAAGAAGAAGTTATATCTATACATATATACACTATATATATTTGCATAGGTCAGCTAAAGAGAAACTGGAAATGTTTTGAGTAGAAAGTTGAGGATGACATGCAGCAACGGTCCGATGTCGGATTGGAACCCACAGACGCTGCGGCGTGGACTATAGCCTACGTGGTCCGCTGGGTTATTGGCGCCCCGTCTCCTGCTTTAAAGTCTCCCTTTTCTTTAACATTTGTAACCCTCATACATTTTTTCTCATCTGTGTCACCTCAGGTCATTCAGATGTGTCCATGGCAGAGAGCACCATGGCTCCAGAGGAGCTCGAGGTAGAGATGACTCGTATCCAGCGCCTGCGAGAGGTCCTGGTACGCCGAGAGTCGGAGCTGCGCTTCATGTGAGTTCCTGAACTTTGAATTTTGCATTTTGTCAAAATGAAACTTAAAAGAGTGTTGCAAAGATTGAAGTCATACTGCTGCCCTTGAGCTGATAATCAGGTCCTCTAGGTTGTCGTGACACAGTGGACACTCTCATGACGCACTGAAAAGTGTGTCTCCTGTGATATAACTATATGGTGGCCGAATACTGAGAGAGGCAGACATTTTCCCATTGATTATTCAGAGGGCTGGACATGCCAACAGCAGCTGAATGAGTCATCGTGTCTCCTCATCAACATTAGCTTTGAGGATTATAGAGAGATGTTTGGGATGACATGCTAAATCCTCTCTGACTGAACCATTCCCTTGCTGTCTTTTTCTTAGGAATGTTGTGTCTGCATTTTTTTTATTTTTTAAGATTTATTTTTGGGCTTTTTTTGTGCCTTTAATGGAGAGATAGGACAGTAGATAGAGCTGGAAATCAGGGAGAAAGAGAGTAGGGAATGATCTGTGGGAAAGGAGCCACTGGCTGGATTCAAACCTCTGCCGCCCGCTTTGAGGAATATAGCCTCCATACATGGGGCGCGCGCACTAACCACTGCGCCACCAGCGCCCCTGTCTTCATTTTTTGAGCAAAATAAAAACGTGGTGGATGAATCAGAAAGAATCAAAACACAGAGTATAATACTTTATTTGGAAATGTAGCATTCTGGGGTCTTTTCCTGTAGCCGAATACAGGCTAAGACTGGAGCTAACGATTATTTCCAACATCTTAGAACAATCTGACCTAAATTTCTTCAATGTATTTCAAAAGTTGAATGCTAACAACTAATATATACATTTTATTTTGCTGAATTATATAGAATATGAGCATATAGGAACTTTACACAAGAGATCCAAATCTGCATTCTGTCATTTAATGTTTGCTTTATCTGACACCATCACTTGCCATTGTTATAAAGTGTTTGCTTTTTTGTTACACACACAAGATGCTTTGAAAACTACTTTACGTGAACCAAGAAAAAATATAACTTAGCTTTATATAAAATTGTGAAATATTGCACATTCATAAACTGTTTTAAAAGAGGAATGCAAGCCCCTCTCTGCACTGTTTACTTTTCAGAATCAAGACTGCATGAAATTACCACTGTACACCACTGAACTGAGCAGTGCTTCTTCAGGGTCATTACACACCTAACATCTGCAGTGTGACGCCTGAGAAGTGGGCTGAAGCCGATACACATCTTCGGGAATTCACACAGTTGCTAATGTTGGTTCACACGCCTTCATGATAAGCTTCATTAGGCTGCTACTGCTTATTGCTTACGTCTCTGTTGTCAGGCTCTGTGTGGCTCAAAACATAGAATAAACACACTCGCATGTATACGCACAGATGGATCATCAGAGAGCAGAAGCTGCTGAAATACATATTTCACTGGAAAGTGAAACACAAAACAGAATGAGGGAGAGAAACAGACAGATGGAGTGAAAGAAGCTGAAGGGAGGGGTCAAGGGTGAGAGAAGAAAAAGGGGGAGGTGTAAAACGGAGCAACAGTGCTAAACACAGAGGGAGGAGGAGGAGGAGGCTATGGATGAGTCACCGGCCTGATCTATCACAGGGAGAATTAAGTCTGTGGTAGCTGTCAGTGCTCCGCAGAGAGAGACAGAGACTTGGATTTAGGGAAGACGAGGGGAAAATGTTGAGGCCCTGTGGGTGACATATCGGGGCTGCAGGAGGCTCACAGAGCAGCGTGGATGGATTTATGTTGCATGTTTTAATTCTGCGCACACTCCTGGTGTAAAACACATCTGAGCCTGAGGCTGTGAGTTCCTAATGACACATTCAGAGTGGATTTCACAGCGCAGCCCAGGGAACTGTGAAAAAGATTTGTCTATTAATCAATTTTTCAATTTGCTATGAAGGGAATGTACAACCATTAGTAGCTGATTAATCAATTAACTTATTTATTCATCAATAATGGCATTATTGATGAATAAAACTAAACCTGATGGTTTGATTGGCATTATGCTAAAGTTTTCTCTAATTTAGAATGCATTTATTAGTATTTTCCAACTATTAATCTTCCTTACATAGCCTCTTTGCTATCACTATATTAGATATAGGTCATACATTTGAAATCTGGAAAAGTTTCAAATAGACTATTTTATTACACAGATGACTAGCTAGTGTAAACATTTATATCTTTTAACATCCTCAAATCCAGATCAATAACATGGTAAGCAGAAACTCCTTCCTCCCCATTAAGGAGATAGGACTCCACCAAACTCTTAAGTGCTGATGGAATCACTATAGCAACATGCACGAGGGAGGGGTTCAAACCTAAAGCTTGTTTATTTGGAAGTACAGAGACTCATGTGAAATGACAGCATGTAAGACCAGTCTTTTTTTTTTGTAAGCCTTAGAATGACAAAATTAAAACATATCCAATCAGATAATCTTTTTCTCCCAGACCTAGTTGCTTCATGTGTGTTCTTCATACGAAAGGGTAATGACTCTCTTTACTTTCAAGATAATTTTTCCCTTGAGACATTAAATATGCATCAGACATATGATTTTAAAATAATTGTATAGTTTCATCCTGCAGATTCTTCCCTTCTTCCTGGGTTTACTAAACAGTATAAGTCTGCCCAACATCAGCTCAAGTGGAAGTGGAAGCAACGAATAAAATCTGTCATTTTTTAATCTGATGGAAACCAGTGATTTACTGTTTGTCTCTCTTTCTCGTTTTTATCTAGGATGGATGACATTCAGCTCTGCAAAGACATCATGAGTTTAAAGCAGGAGCTGAGGCAGATTGTGACAGTACCAGGTACAAACACATATTCACACACCTTCTGTCTTCTGTCAACAGAAGGAAAAGCAGCTGTAGGTGTATCAGGAAAAAAACACCCAGGATCTTTTTTTTTTTCATCCTTTGTGTGCAAAAATTGTGCAATGATCCCTGTTTGGACTCTTGGCAGAAAGTGCTTCTGTCTGCAGCCCGCCAGAGTCCCATAAGCTCAGCAGACGTCACAGTGATTTATAGGAAGTGTCATTATGCTAAACTATGCAGGATTGATCGTAAGTCTCGGTCACATGCTGGAGTTATGAGGGAGAGATAACCATACACACACAAACACACATGCATCATCACTTTGAAAGCAAAATCAGATGAGGGAAGCTTTCCTGGCAATGTGTCCAAAATGAATTTCAATAAACACTCGTTTGGCCTCCCCAGGTGTTTCTGTGCTGTGTTTGTGAGGCAGAGTAAAAAAATAAATAAAAAATCAAATATTGGTTTAAGTCCTCATTCACTTCCAGTTTTTTCTCCATCTAAAATGCAGAGAGGATGTGCTGAAGTGACTCACTGACGTCAGATGCATTATACATAGTAACACACTCATGAAGCTCTGCATCAAAGAGGCACATGGCAACAGGACACACAAAACACACTCCTCTGATTATTTACATCCTGTGTTAGAGTCTGTGAGCAGGAGGGGCCGGTGTCGTGTTCAAGGACATATACAGTACACTACCACACACACACACACACACACACACACACACACACACACACACACACACACACACACACACACACACACACACACGACACATGGATGATCAGCAGCTGTTATTTGAGACAAACCAGTGACCTGTCAATCAAAGGGCGTTATTTTTAACCCTGTACAAAGGTGTGACAAGACAGAAAAAAGTACAAAAAAAGAAAAACTTGATAATGTAACAACAACCCCTGTAGTAATTACTTTTTATTATGAAGCTTTTGTTTTACTAAATTTTGCCACAAAGGCATTTTTTTGCCTCTAGTAATGTCTGTCGGCCTAATTTGTGGTGTTGATTTGGTTTTAAAAATAGTGAGGTCATGAATCCCTTCAGTGAAACCCCCCAACTCCACCTGCTCCAGATACACAAAAAGAAAGCTGGCAATCCTTAATACCTTTGCAGGAATTATAGCAAATGCATCAATCACAGAATACTTACTGACTAAAGCAAAAGTGACGTTTAACACTTGTATCAGTAGAATAAAGTGCCATACAAGTGCCATAAGAAAAAAAAAGTGGTGATAAAAAGAGGAATGAATTAAACAATACATTTGATCATTGAAGAAATGTCAAGATAAATACATGAAAGCTTAGATGATTTAACAAAATAAGACAAATTAAAAAAAAAAAAAAGCACATAACACATGTTGAAGAAAAGCTTAATGATTATGGAAAAATATTTTTCATTGATATCGTTTATACGTTAAGATTTATAAGATTACTATTTCTTTATATAAATATTGTTTTTATTTTATGTCTTTTTATTTATTTATTTTTCTTATTCTTATCAAATATATATATATTTTTTTGATTTGCTAATAGGCCTGTCCTGTAATTGACTACTAGTACTGTGCTGTGATTGGCTTGTGGCCTCATATTTGATCTTTTTAGCCCCTGCCACTGTCTTCTACTCAACCTTACCATGAAGTGTTGGTGCCCTGAAATCCACCCACCTTTGATCTCCCCACATCATTGACCACTCAGTTGGTCATGTTTATGTAGCAAAGGACTTGGTTTCATTGAGAAACCAAAACTTAGGTTAAGTTTAGGAAAAGATCACGGTTTGGGTTAAGATAATAAGGAAGCAGTGGAGTTTTTTTTACTCACATTATAGCAGTCTCTTGGATTAAAGTCCTGTGTTTATGTTATTGGTTTTCCTACCCAATCACAGCACTGTAGTTCTGGCCAAACACACACACAGACAGGTAGGACAGGGTGGTATCTTCAGTCACACTGACCAAGCACAAGTATGTGTCACATTATATCCTGTTGTTGCTGTTACAGCTCTGGATGTATTATGACCATCCTAAGACTTGGATTCATGACAGTTCTTTTAGTTTGTCTGTATGAAAATAACTTTAATAACTGTATGTTAATATCCTAAGAAGACATCCATCTTGCATTATTGTGAAGCCTGCTTATAGTTTTGTCCACTCTCTTTAATTTGGGATAACTGTGCACACAAACTGCATACTGTGACACAAAACTGTCCCTCATTGACATTCCCATGAGCTGGTGCCGCATCATGTGCAATTTTTTGGCAGTTCTTGCACTGCTTTACTTAACTCCAGCAATGATTCACATAATAAAAAGACTCTGGTGTCTTTCCTGCTCTTCTGACATCAAGATTTATTCATTGTAGCCATGCGCCCCTCTAATTGCTTTGCCCTCAGGAGGATACACACTGTTACTGCACTGCTGCACTCTGTTTCTGGATGGTAGAAAAGAGCTGATGTTTGCAGTCATTTTTTCCAAACCCTTTTCCTCACCTAGCCTAGAAACAAACACTGCCAGACATCCTACCTTTGCAGTGTTCTGTGTGTGTTTGTGTGTGTCGGGAACTTTGTTGTGGCTGTTTGTGTGTTTCTCTTGCTGTGTTTTGGGGTGTGAAGGTTAGGAAAGAGAGACAGAACCGTTGATTTTGTGTTTACAGATCGCTTACTGCGAATGCAAAAATAGAACCCTCGAGCATTTGAATAATTAAGTCTGTTATAAATTATACATGTGGGAAGAATTAAGGTCTTCCTGATGATATCACTTAGTGATTAAGAACCAGTTAACTCTGCTGTAAGGTCAGCTTGTCTCTGTTAGTTGAAAGAAAACTAACTTAATGCACAAAACCTGCATTTCTCTTTCATGCAAGAAAAATAATATTAGGGGTTTTTGCTACATCTGCTTTCCCCTCAAGCCATCAATGTTTTTATTTATCACTTTTCTTATTACTTCCATTTCCCCAGAGAAAGAAAAAAACAAGAAGCACCAGCAGCGGGAAGAGGAGCTGATCCTGAAAATCCATAAACTGGTGCAGAAGAGGGATTTCCTGGTTGATGACGCTGAGGTGGAGAGATTAAGGTAGAGTCCTCACACATCATCACATCACACAGTTTATACAGGGGAGAGCTTTACTTTTATTTTACTCAGACAGTGTTGAATTCTACTCACCATTTATTTCTGTATTTGATTGAGGAAAGAGAAACAGCAGGAAAGAGACTCATTAGAGTAAATGTGATCATTACTGGGACAGAGTCGCTTGATCATCACAGTAATGCCTGCTATGCCTGTGTGTGTGTGTGTGTGTGTGTGTGTGTGTGTGGGAGGAAGACTGATAACTGTAGCTTTGTATCGTCATTCTCTGCTTCCTCCTCCTCTGCTCCCACAGATTAGTTACACAGTGCGACCCAGAGATAACTTTCTGATAGATATGAACTTAAAAGATGTCAATTCAAAGCTGGTTTAGAATCGTTGGATCAAAAGTCACAATTATATAAGCAATGTCAAGTGAGCGATCCGTCACATAGACTTTAAAGAATGGATTATTTTTATCTTTTAAAACAGAACATCATTATAATTCTTTATCATCAAGGCCACCTATAGCCCGAGTCTTGTTTTCTCTTTTTTTTTAGTTCAGTTTTTCAGAAAGACTATCTTTTGAAAAAAGATTAAAAGTCATGTTTCAAGCGCTGGATTAGACAAAACATTTTGACCTGTAGATGGTGCTCATGTAGAAGTGAAGGTATCGCCAAGTTATGACTATTTATCCTGAAATCTGATGACACTGTCCAATCATTTTTCAATACGTTTTACCAAATGCATGATCATCAGTGCTACAGTAAAAGCCAGGAGATCACCAAAATCATTGAGATTCACCCTGTGGTGACCATTAATGTCTGAACTAATCACTCTGGATTTGTGGGCTGACAGAGAGATGTTGCTAAAAGCAGTGCAGAGGCTCATCTGGCAAACAAATGTTTGATGGAAAAAATGTACAATTTTTCAAGTTGAGAACTGATTGTGTGTCATCTTCTTCTCAGGGAGAGAGAGGAAGACAAAGAGATGGCTGAGTTCCTCAGACTGAAGCTGATGCCTCTGGAGAAAAAGCTCAAAGTCACACAAAGTGAGTCACAACATTTGAAGTGATGCACAAGAAACACAGTCAGAGCGTAGTAGAGAATTCTCACTCTTACCTGATCTCTTCTGCTTTTTTTTTTTTTTATGACAAGATCCTCCAAAGCCCAAGAGACAAATCTTGGAGCTGCCTCCCAACAAACCATCCATCACCAAGTCAGGCGCAGCCATCATCAAGGATTGCTGTGGAGCCACCCAGTGTGCCATCATGTAACTGACAAGGACCTCTCTATGAACCCATCCATGAGTCATAAACCAAAACACTCACACCACATGACATGCCATAAACCATTCCTGGTTTCTCTGAATATCTCAGCTGCTGTTCCTCAAATCTGTTCAGAAATCAAGTTTTAATTTCATTCAAGATGGAGTTACAGCTCCAATGTTTTATTTTAGGGTTTAAGAACTTCACTAATCACTGCTAGAACAAAAACGTAAAGGAGCTTCTTTTATTAAAGACACTTAAAGGCACGTGAAAAAAATGTGCTCAATACAAATGTAAAACTAGATTAAGATGTTTAGTAAGATTCCTTTAAATTGACTATTTAATCTGCCATAGTGTTGGAAAATAGAACTAAAAGCACAATTTAAGCTAATTGAAACATCAAATGCTGGAGTTCTCTGCCTGACAGGAAAAAAAAAAACATTTGACCTCACCCTGACATGTATGACAAGTATTTGGTTTTCTATTTCAACAGTTTAACAACAACAGTGATCCTCTTTCACTTTAAGAAAACTCATTTTTATCACTGCTCCAAGGTGGGAGAACAATGTGGCTTTTGACTGCAGTTTAAATGAGAAACATTTCGAGAAATTGGCAGGTCGTGGGCCCTTCTGAACCGGAGCAATCCTTTGACCTCCTGCCTGAAAAAAAAAAAAATCTCTCTCAAACTGTAACATCTCCTGTACTGAGTATAAGGGTTTGAAAATGTGAAAGATGGTTGTTATTGAAAGTAACAAATATAAGAAAGCTTACATAGAAATACTTGATGAAATAGAACCTCAATGCTTACCTTATTAATATTTGCCTCGGCAACTGAGTGTTCGACTAACACTCATCTGAACTCACAGAGTATAATGAGACAATGAACAGAACTTCTAAGAGGCCAGCTGCAGATGTATCAGTTTAATCAACATCAATAAATTATTGATTTCATTCTGTTAAAGGCAGAATACTCCTTCATTCTTAAATAAATTATATATATTTATATATGTTAACATGATCAGAGCCAATTTTAACTTGAGGCAGGCTACCTAGCATGCAATTTTGTATGACCCACTTTTGCAGCAGTGTTTTCCATTAGTTTTGAAATGACCTCAGATAACATGTATTTACATCATTTTATTTGTTATGTGTTCAAATGTGCCATCTTATTTCTCTCATAGTCACATCATCCCTGGCCATACTCATGTCCTCTCAGCCATCAGCTGCCAGGAAACACTGACTGTGGTGGTAGAACGTCGCTCATGGTTATTATTGTGAATAATGTTGACAAAATGCTTGCATCCTCTGAATTTAGTCTTTCGTTTTTATGATTAACTACTGGAAATGAATGCAATCCTCTTGTAAATGCCTACAATAGACAGTGTATGTTTGACTGTATCTAGGACATTAGTGACTCATGTAAAGCAAAGTGTTGCTCTCTGTCCCTTTCCCTTCATTCGGAGAAGTTAGCGTTCTGTAGTAGTAGTGAATTTATGAAGGTCCTAACGTTGAATATTGAACAAATATGCAGAAAATAAACTGAAACTCCCTGTACATACATGTTTGAATAAAGAGCATCTTTCAGGAACATGCCGAGTGATTTTATTAAATGAATCTTTATGAAGACGACAAAAACACAGACTAGGCAGAAGTAATGCTTGTGAAATTTATTTACGTAAATCTTTTTGGTCCCTTCAACAACATTGGACTGTTACAGCCAGTTCTGCTGCAGTGAGGCATTAAACCCGTTTGACAAGGGGGAGGATTACAGAGAGGAACATCAGTGAGACAATTGTTGACCAGGAAATCACAAGGCAAGAGTTTAAGGACACTGATGAATAAAGATCAGCTGTTGTACAACACTGAAACAGAACAAACAAGGCAGAGTCAGATACATTTAAACAAAAGCATGTTTCCATTCCCCTCTGGCCTGATTTTCATTTGGGATATTTTTGGACCAAAACTATGCAAAGGTGCATATTTCGTTAGGTACTATAGCTTCTCACTGATGTAACCAAAACAAAGAGAAAGTAAACAGAAGAGTTTCATGTTTTCATGCGAGTTAGTTGCCACTGCAGTTCTCTGAAGGAGAGCCAAGGTATGCGCAAATTCACAAAGTAATACATTCTTACGGCCAAAGTTAAATCTAGATATTTCCTGTTAGCATTATAGCTTTTTCTCATTACCAATACATAATCCTTCTTAGGCCTGCCTATTTCTTAATACATACTCATTACCTAATTAAAGAGGTTTTCAGACAGCCAATTTATCACTGCAGGAGAGACTTTAACCCAAACATCCTCATTAAAAACATTTTGATTGGCATCTCAGACATTTCGGTGTGATGACAGGTGAAATCTCGCAGCTTTTTCACACAAAGTCAAAATCAAGTCTGACAACTCAACTTGTGAAATTATCGCGGTTTTAAGATTTGAACACAATCTAAGAGAGAAACTGATAAAATGGGCTCTTATCCATTCTTTGAACATTTACTATTAACACAAGACAAAACTCTTTAGACTTCAGCGGGCGTGTTAAACATCACTTTCGGCCGATATCACTGAATGGCATGTCAGCAGCCAGCAGTCTTGTAAACACTTAAGACAGAGGAAAACACAGAAACCAGCACACATCAGTAAAAACTCCTCCGTGGGAGATGTCAGGGATGTGGAGGTATGATGGTGTTTCCTTTGGCACCGTGGCAAATACAAGCCATTGTAAAAGCCAGGCGGATTCCAGAGAGCCTCAAAGGTCCTCTGTGCGTACATCACAGTCTGTTCAAGAGGCCACTTAGAGCCCCCGTGGTGCTTCACAAACAGCCTACTGCCTCCCATCCCAACTCCTTTCCCTAAAAAAACTCACAACCATTCACCTCGTCATTAAAATCAAAAAATCAGGAGTGCTCGTTGCTCCTCTTCAACATAGGCAGTTTTTACATCACCACAAATACAGCAACAAGGTTAACTCGAAAAACCTTGAGCATTTATGCGGCAACTGCAAGGACAACGCCAACTGTAACATCCCTAAAACGTGGTGGAAATAAAAGCGTGATCTTAAAGAATGTCCATCATCTGCTCCCGTCTGCTCATCCTGGGCTTACACTATGCATAAACTCAGTTATGCACACGGTTCATATAACACACACAGACAACACAGACAAAAAGAAAAACACACCGACTGCTGGCTGAAGCCAAACATGAAAGTATAGTACAGTTCCTGCTGCCTGAACAAAGCCTGGCTGGAGTCTCAAAGATCATTTTCCCTTCGGATATAATCAGCAGCCTTGCAGAGAGGGGAAACAATCTCTGCTATAAATTAGGTAAAAAGAACAACAAGAATACAATATCCTGAGAGTTGTGCTAATTGCAATAGCAGTCAAACCATGGCCAACCACGCTTGAACTGTTCAAAAACTGTTGGATTCCATTTACAAAGACCACTAGCTGAACAGATAACACTAATGTTCATCACTTTAGTCCCATCATTGAGGTGCCACTTGATACAACACACATTAGGCCAGGCTCTTCCACAGACAGCTGCTAAACACCAAGTAACACTAATGGAAATGAAACTACCGTCCTTGGGCTACTTTTTTTTTTATTATTTTTTAAACTGAGACAAGTGTTGAGAAAACACCTCACAGAGAAGCTTACTCTTCAGAAATTCTTTTAAACAATTAAACTGGGAAATGCTTAAGAGGCCAGTTTGAATGACATGACTCCAGTTATCAAAAGAAAAATCTCCACAATTCTGAAATGAGTTTATAATCAAAGTCCTCAATTAAATGCTCCATCTTTAGGGATAATTTCATACATAAAGGTTTCTAAACATGAACAAAGCAGCGCTATAAACCTTCTGTCATTTGTCAATTTATAAACTCTGAATGAAGTTAACTTAATTTCTTGGATTTAGCAAAGAACTTAGTCCTCACTTGAATTTCTCCCAGTGTTTAAATATACTCTGTATACAGTGACAACTAACTCATTTTTACTCTACATTCATTGTTAGCCACCGTGGCTCTGAACTCAATATGCAAACTCGTGAAAATATCATTCAACTTTCCTCCAGATGAAATCAAACAGGTTAGAAGAGATGGATTTGGCAAATAAAAGAATTGCAGAAAATCTGCAAGAAGAGAATCACAGCTTGGTGAACATCACTGGAAGAACATTGCTGATAGTTCAAGCAAACGAAAGGAACAAAGATGGCAGATAAACGGATGAGAAGAGCAAAGGCAGAAGAATGTAACAGCCTGTTAGGATGTAGATGGGACAATACCAGGGTTGTTTTGTGGTAAGTTTTTTTTGGAGTGCTTTCAGTGTGGTGGGTCAACTTATGTTTAACAAGTTATAATAACTGAACTAGGGTTTCCAGTGTGTGTGTGTGTGTGTGTGAAAAGGATCACAGGCCTGCTGGGAATGAGAAGTTTGCAGCTAGCTTAATTCTGCTGCGTGTTACTCGTCTGCTGGGACTGTCCATGGACAAGTTTGTCTTCATGTCAGGGGGCGGTGGGAAGTTAGAGACCGCCGAGTCTCCTATGAAGGCAGGGTGCTCGGGTGCATCAGAAGTACCATCAGCATCAGCCACCTCGGGTTCATCACTCACTGGAATCACAAACACACAAAACGTACATACTGAGCTAACATCTAGTAAGACAAAAAAAGTGCAAATTAAAGTGTTATGATAAGGACCGTAGGACATTTTTGATCCCCAGTGCTTTGCGTGATTTAGTAAGGCTTTGCTATCAGTCACAATTCAAATTTTTGGCAAAACAATTACATTACATCTTAACAAATCTCAAGATCAGATCAAACTAATCTACAGTAGGGTTGAAAGTTATTTAAGTAATTAAGAAATAGATACAAATAGGGACAATTTTAAATCAATGAGACAAAAAGGAGATTGTTTTTGTTGTTTCAACTAGCACAGGGCACCTTCTGCTTGTGAGTTCTCTTGTCTGATGTCAGTAGCTGGAGAACAAGTGTACAGACATGTTGTAAGGAGTGAAGATTTTGAAGTGGAGAAAGCACCATCTTGTTTCAAAGCTGGGATGCAGAAGCGAGGTGAGCACAAAAAGGACATCGACACAAATACCGGTAGCATAATAAAAAACCATGATACAATTGTATCATGAAATCGAGATCTTGATCCTTATGTATAATGAGATGTGTATTGTTACATCTCTACTGAAAGTTTAGTGATTTTAGGGGAATATCCACTCTTGTATGAAAACAAGGGGTCTGTTTAATAACCGTTATGGTGACATCCTAATTGCACTATAAGAACTATTTTAGCATTACCTCACATTGGTTTACATGCAATACAAAGCCATGAAAGAGACCTGGTGTTTGAGTTGTTGGACTTTTCTCCTCGAAGTGGATCAGGTCTGTCTGCTGCAGGAGAACGGGGTCAGGGTGGAGCTGAGGTGAAGGTAGGCAGGATGGTACAGGACCACACAGCAGGTCTACTGGTGACGTCAGACACAGCAGCTCTGAATCGGCCACTGCATCACCACCTGGAAGGTTAAAAGTCATGATTGTGATAACTTAAGAGTCAAACATTTTCTTTTGAATCTCTTCCCCTCCCCCATGTATTTTATTACCTCATCAATATTTTCTTACCCGGACTTTGCGCTCCAGATGTTGAGATGCTAATGGGGCTGTCTCTTGGACTGTCTGTGTTCTCCCCTGGCAGGGGGCTGGTGGGGACAGAAGAGGTTGCCCTTGCTGAAAAAAAGAAGAGAAGAATCACTCTTGGATCCGCATTCAGTGGTTTGCACTCCACAATATTTCCAAATTATTTCTGGCACGCTGCCCCTGACTTTTTCCTGAGTTGCTTTCACACATGCAGCTCACCCTGGATATCTTCCAAGTTTTCAGGAGTTTCATGCATTAGTGAAAACACCATTTAACAAGTGTTTGCAGGAACACCTACTGCTTAGACCATCATCGCATGATCGATTCAGCTCAGTCTCTTTATTTACAATGAGTCCTCAAACTGCTGATGGTCTCAGCAGATAATAAGCCTGAATAAAATAAATTTGCTATAAAAAGAAGGCTTCATCACCTTTACCTTTCATATCGTTTTTTAGAACGATAATCCTCTTGTGACCATGCCCTTTGATCCAGACCACCTGAAGATGACACATCACAGAACAATCCAGTGAAATATGCAGAAACAAGAGAAACGTAATTACCCTTGGGAGATCTGTTACAAAAACTTTAGCCATGGACAATCTACATAAACAAAGGGTTAAGTTCTGCACATATCGATAGGAAAACATCTCGTAAATTCATTTTTTACCTGAGGTATTGCTCCAAGCAGCTCATCAATGCTGATATATCCATAGGAACGAGGTTCAAGGCTAGCGCCTGTGAATTTGTTAAAAGCCCCCAGGAACTCAGTCAGGAAGAGCTGGTTGTAATGATAGGTGTGGAGCAGCGCACGTACGTTACGGGCAAACTGGTAAAGCCAGGTCAGCCTCACCCACTCCTCACCACGACCACTAGAAGTGTTGTCCTCACTTTCTTCATGGTACAGCTGTAAACACAAATGATGAAGATGATGTTATACCTGTGTGTTTGGTAATAGCTTAACTGGAACTTGAGAGAGTTCACACAGGATTAAAAAGAAAACTTTCCACTCACCTCAACAAGGTATGGCAGGCTCTTAAGCAACTCGCTGAGGGAGAGGAACCCATATTCACATGGGTTGAGTGAGGCTCCATAGACCGTCAGGTATTGCTGGCTAAGCACTTCGACTTTGAAACCCTTGGTGACTTGCTGTCCGTCTTGGGACATGAGCAGACTCAGTAGCTGGGAGGTCAGGGAGCGCAGAGACTTCCTGTTGATCAATTGCACTTCCCGACCCTCAGCGCCATCAACCACCTTGAAATGGAAAGAAAGTGACTGATGATTATTTGTAGAAGTGAATCTTGGAGCTGCTCAACTTCAACCTCTCAAACATAATCATTTTTATGTTTTGGTACAAGTCTATCTATTCATTCACATAGAAAAAATAAAGCACATTACTAAGTGAATGACCAATGAATTTCTTTACAATGTGAATATTTGAAAAACTGTCCTCCTGAGAAAATCAGGTAAACAAACAGTACAAAAAGTTATCTTTAGATGTGTTTATTACCTTGACAACATGGCAGAGTTTGGTCAGCAGAGCTGGCAGGGAGCTTGCATCGTAGTCTTGCAGGCGGAGACCATAACCAAAGGTCTTGCTGTACTCCGTTAGAAGCTGGCTGACAGGAAGACTGGAGTTTTTCTGAGCTCGAAGCAGCTTGACCAACTGAGCTGCCAGAGCTTTGATGCGCTCAACTTCTGTCAGAGTCAGCACTTTCTCCTCACCACACTCCAACACCTGTCACAGGTAGGGGATCGTTTTTAAGCAGGAGCATGCTTAATCAAACTTGGCCACTGGACTTTAATGACATGACTAATGAAAAAAGCCAAGAAGAGACGACCCAAAAAGTGAATTAAACTAACAAGCAAATACTATACCACAATGCTGGTAAGCTGTTGGAAATGACTTCCAAGAAGCAAATAGAATTTAACAATCAGATTTTTAATATTGGCCACTGACGTAATAAATCAACATGACATATACCATTTGTCTTTTTCAGTACAGACATTCGGAGCACCATTGTACACTTAACATAAACTGTAACCAATTCTTCAGAGTCCTTTAAGAATAATATTGTTCTGCAAACAATATGTTAACTTAAGAGACTACTGCAAAAATGTTTTCCTCTGGTTCTAGTATGTTTGAATAAAGTGAAAATCTCTTGTTTTACAGTAAACAAAGTTTCTCCCAACTTATGAATTAAATCTCATTTAGCTCTTTTATTTGCAGAAAATGACAGCAGGTTAAGAAAACAAGATTCAGAATTTTTCAGACTACATAAAATGCAAGGAAAATTAATTCCTATTCATGTTTTATACATCACAACACCAATGTTTTAATTCAGAAGAGTTCAGAAATCAATATATGGTGGAATAAATTCTTAAAGGTGGCCTCTTAGAATGATACGAGACAACTCAAATGTTTTCTTATATCAGCTAGAGTAATTTCCACACAGGCACACCTCATTGTTCTTAATGAGGCATTGATGATCACTTGACAAGCCATCTCAGAAAGCTGAGCTGCTTGACTTTTTGCTCCAAGAGTGGCAAAACCCAACAGCAAAGTGGAAGACTGGTGGAGTTTGGAGAGCATGCAAAGATGCATGAAAGCTAAAGTTAAGAAATCAAGATTATAACACCAAGTATTGATTTCTGAACTCTTCGTAAAGGAAAACATTATTATCCTGTTGTATTAAAAAAAAATGAACTTCTTCTCATTACATTTTCATGGTCTGAGAAATACTGCATCTTTCAATTTAACTAGTGGTCATCTTCTGCAGATGAAAGACCTAAATGGATCTTTTGTTGAGGAGAAATTTAGACTTTTTTTTTGCTGCAGATTCTTAATTTCACCCTAAATACATAGTTCATTTTGTAATTGGAGGACTGACACCGTAAACAGAAGCAGTCTGCCAACACTTACCATTAGGATGTCAGGGATCGCCTCAAAGAGCTCCATAAGTTTAGTGAAGCCGTAGTAGCTGAGCTTGCACTGACGACCAAAGTGATGGTGGTAGGTGGGGATGAACTTGCTGAAGGGCATCCTGCAGTGAGGCTGGTGACGGAGAAGGTCCACCACTTCCTTCCCAAACTGCTTAGTGCGATCCATTTCCTCTATTGTTCGTTCTACAGGTGAAAAAAAGAATAAAAGAAAATCTAATTCATTAAAAAAAAAAAAAACATCAAAAATAGTCTGTTGACAACCCTATGTATTGTAATTATAATTACTATTTACAGTCTTTCCTTACAGTTTTTAACATCCCCTGGCTTAAACTGACCTCTTTTGGGAACAGAGATGACGGTGTCTTTGTCCTGATGAGTAATAGTGATGGTGGTGTCAGGGATCTCAGTCAGCAGGTCCATCAGGTCACATATGCCGTAGTCAACCACCCTCCAGTCTCTGGAGAAGCACCTGAAATTCAAGGTATAAAAACACATTACTAAAAATGCACAAAAGAGATGATCCAGATTAGACAAAAAGCTTTTTTTTAGCAGTCATAAAAAAACAAAACAATGAAACCATCAAATCACGTGACATTTACATCAACATCTCTAATAAACATAACAGAAATGTATAACCATCCCATCTACAACTGAAAGCAGTGTTGACTGACCAATGGTAGGCTTGCATGAAGTCATCGATTGACACTTGTTTGCTGGCTTGAAATTTAAGCAGTTTGAGCAGGTCTTGAGTGAAGCGCTTGACTTGAGCACGATGGGTCAGGGTGAGTAAACGCTTGGTGCCCATACCCAAGATCTAGAGGCAAAGAGAATATAAATTGCAAACACGATATATGGAAAACAAACAAGGTCAATTTTGGATTGGTTAAGAAATAAAATATATTAGTTTTCGATCAAATTCTGATCCACGTTATCCTCCTCAATACCTGCAGGACATGTGGCACGGCCTCAAGAAGCTCCAGGAGCTTCGAGTAACCATAGTCAGAGACGCGGCACTGCTTTGCAAAGTGATGGTGGTATGAGGGGATGAACTTGCTCATGGGCATGATGCAAGAGGGCTGATTCTTCAACAGGTCAATAATCTCACGGCTGAATTGTATGAGCTGGGGGTTTCCAACTGGACTCTTGCAGCGCTGAATCCATGGTTCTGCATGTTAAAGATATCATTTTTCAAATGAGACACATTCAACTAGTAACTAAACCACTGTACTAGAGCTACAGCACAGCAGAGAAATTAAAATATTTAAGATTGATACCAGCATAAAACTACTAAGAAGTGGGTTGTAAAGAGAGAGATTTCCACCTGAGTTTGGTGCAGGTGGTTTGTTGTGGATCCATTTGATGACTTTAAAGCCATTCTGAGCTGTGACAATAGTGATACTGGGAACACAGGTAATGAGATGCTCCAGGGGAACACCACCCTCCAGTGTCTCATTGCCCAGCTGCAGAGTGCTGAATTTGGCTGCGTAGCAATCTGGAAAACTGAATGGAAAAGAAACCTCATTGTTGACATAATAGTGCTGTTTGAGAAAAGAAAAAAAGGTTAACACAGGGATTTAAGAGCTGGTAATCACCTGAGTAATGGAAGGGTTCCCTGGTGGGACTGCAGCAGACTGTGGATCTCAGAGGCCAAAGTGTTAAGAGACATCACAACAAAAGGGATTTTGTAGGAGTCAGGGTCAAAGTCAGCCTCACTAAAAAGCAGAGGTAGATGAGTCAAAATCAGTGAGGAAATAGAATTAACAGACAGCTTAAGTTGTACAGTCCAGAGAATAGAAAGAATTAAGGTTAAATAAATTCTTCAGGGCAAGTCAGGATTAAGCAGGTCAGGATGCCCAAAGGAGTATCCAAGTGGCCAACATTACAGACCACCACTAATTTTGTGATTCCTCTATTCATGTTGAAGTGTTTTATGTCTTAAACCCAGTAAATTGTGCTGCTGCCCGTCTTGGCCAGGACGCTCTTGTAAAGCAAATTCTTAATCTCAATGAAACTTTTCCTGGTTAAAATAAAAAAAATAAAAATAAACTAATACAAGGCTGATAGCAGAATTTCATACACACTTTAAAAACTGGACTATAATTCACTACAGTATATAAGAAGCAGTCTGTTTTGGGGTGTTTCCCAGACAGAGAGGAAAAAAGGTTTAACCGTCTACCTGCGTGACTATTGCTATTGTGTTCAGCTAAATCCATAACGTGCAGTTTCTGTACAGCTGTGTAGCTCTTTTAGCACCATCTGTTTTCACTTTGTGAAGTTACCACCTACTAGCTACAGTACAGTATTATTTAATTTAAAAAAAATCATTGATTAAGTATTTATGAGATATTTCTCTTATTACACAAGACTGACCTGAAGTCCTGTTTGTAATGTTGTCTGCAGACCGGGTCATGGTACTCCAGCTCCTCAAACACCACAGGACTTCCACTAGCAGAGGAGGAGCCCTCCTGGGATTGGGAAGATCCCAGTGGACTCTGACGGACTTGACTGCTTGGCAGAAGGCACACAAGCCTCGAGCCTCCCTGTTCCCGCACTGCCACCACCTCTGGCAGTTTGTACAGCTCACCAACCACCAGCTTACGAGAATATCTGAAGGGGGTAAACAAAAAATAAAAATAAAACTTTCATCAGCAAGAACTACTTTGACAAGCACATCCTCTCTTTTAGGGGCTACTATACAAGATTAGATACACAACTTTATTTATCCCACAACAGAGAGATTTACAGTATTAAAGCAGCAAAGAGCTAGACTAGACAAAAGACTAAAGAGCACACAGTGCACAATTAAATAGTTGAAGAGCAGTAACAAAGAGTTGAGAAAAAGCAACTTACTTTTTCTCATAGATCTCTGTGAACTTGAAGAGGGGAAGGCAGTTGGCAGGTGCATCCTGAAGAATGGTGATGATCTCTGTGCTGTATAAAGACAATGTTGAAATTTACCATCACAATCTAAAGCAGAACAGCTGAATATATTCTCACACCTCAATTTGAATGTTCCCCGAATCCCAAACTGAACTATGCTTGACTGTACCTGAGCATGGCAAGGGATTTGCTGCTGCCACCGGTGATCAGAGACACCTGAATGCGCTTCCCCCCGATCTTATAGCGGTGCAGACCACTGATAGCACTTATGGCCTGTTGAAGGGACAGCATCTGGATCGTGGCCTTCAGCTGATAGTCAGTGTGTGGGCTAAGCTCCACAGCTTTCACCTAGACAAAACAACGTGTTTAACAACATAAACACGTTTTGTGACAGGAGTCAATCTCAACTTTTTTCCCTTCTAGAATCAGATAAACAAAATAACATGACAGAAGTACACTTACCTGCCCATACCGGAAGAACGTGTCACGCAGTGTCTGCTGCAAATCCTTGCGGGACATTCTGTAGTCCAGGTTGGCCACTTGAATCTCTGCCCCGTCTGAGAAAGGCTCAGGAGGACGATCGGGATGAGGGCTACGAGGGGCAGCCAAGAGGGGCGAGGAGCGGCTGGACAGGCAGGGCGACACGCTCCTTTTGATAGAAAGTAGGAAGACTCATTCAAAATGATAACTATTCATAATGAGGGTTTAACAGTTTTAAAATAAAAAAATAAATGGATCTATGCCAATTTAAATATGACTGATTGAAACCAACATGGTACCTGGATGACCAGGAGCCCTGGGACAGGGCAAGGGGACTGAAGCTCCTGTGTAGATTCAACTTGCTGAAAGCTGAGGGTGTGCTCATCTGGAAATCTCCTGAGCTCTTGTCTCCTTGTTCTCCAGACGATACAGTGACAGTGCAAGGGTTGGACCCTTCTCTTCTACACAAAAATTAGAAATGAACGATTATGGACCTGCAGATGTATCTTTCTGCCAGTTACATTGAAGTGGTGTAAATTTGTTGAAAAAAACAAACAATCAAGTTAAATTCCTTGTGTGTTCATGTTCCTTGGCAATAAAGCAAAATCTGATAAAACCTTAAACTGCGGCTATTATAGACAACAACGCTTCAAAAACAGATGCAGCCTACCTTAGCATTTTGGCTGAAGTCAAAACTTTGTCATTTAATATTTTAAAAATTTGAGCAGAATTTTGTCAATGTTAAACTAACTCCTAATATGGCCACAAACTCATTAAGTATTTTTTAAATTCAACCTCTTATTTACAAGGAATAATATTCACATTCAGAAAAAAAAAAAAAAAGGCTTGTAAATATGAAGGCTGGATGTTTAACAAACATTAAAATTGACCAAAAAGAACATCCCTGCAGCCTTCTAAGGTTTTTTTGTTTATAAAAAATTATAAAATCCTCATTCCCAAAAATAATTTTGCTGGTTTAGCTAAAAAAAAAAAAAAAAAAAAAAAAAACCCACAACAGACGACAGAATTGACAGTATCCTTTGAAGGAGATATTTTAGACAATAGCTTGCATGTTTCAAAACACCAACAAAAAAAACGTATATTGAGTTGAATGTTTATTTAACGTCTCCTTGCTCGTGTGTACCTTCTCCTGTACATGGATTCTCCAGCAAGGCCAGGCTTGGACAGCCTCTCCAGAGATCCTGTCTCACCATTACTGTGGGGGGAAGAGGAAACAGCACGTCCTCTCTCCAGGTGGTGCAAGCCAGTTCTTGGCTTACACTCCAAGCTACCCAGCTCCTGGACAAGATGGAAGTACCAGGTGTTAGTAAAGGAGAAATTGAGCTGCGGGATACTGTCATGTTCGTATCTATGCATGTGTATGTGAAGCTCAATGTAATAATAATAATAATCATGGAATGATTATGTACTGAAGCTCTGAGTTGAACTAAGGATCCCCATAAAAAGTTAAAAGGCCAAAGAGAGTGAGACAAACAGGACACCTGATTACAGGTTTATCACCAAGATTTGTTATAGTTGTTTGTCATCATGTTTTAATTGACAAGTAATGTACTTTGGACCCATAGCAAACAGCTGACTCATGAGAGTGTGCGTCTCTGATAGTGGTGAGCCAGACCTTTGCTGAAATGTTAGAATCATATTTTCAACTATGCCATCTGTCATTTGAACCTCTTTCTTAAACAATCTGAAAACGAAACATCATGGTGTTTCAATGTTTTTTTTTTTTTATGTTTAGTAAGACAAATGTTTGATAAAAATTCACTTTGCAATTCATCATTAAATTAAAATGCCAATGCCTTGTTAGAGTCCATCTAAACAGGTATCCATCTATGGGTATTCCATCTTTCCACGTTGGTCTGTTTGATGAATATCAAGTGGAAAAGACAAACCAAGCAAGTCATTCCAGCCATCAGTTCATTGTTTGACTGCGGAAAACTGCAGGTAGCCAAAATCGGCAACAAAATAAAAAGTAGGGACGGAGGAGACAAAACACAGAGGTACTAGAAAAAAAGTAGAGACAACAACAATGAAAACTCATGCATTATTATAAATGATGACTGACTCATGAACATGCAGGACAGCAGGGGGTACATAAAGCACTAAGCATGCTAGCACAGGCCGACAAATGAAGCAAGCAGCTACTAGCGGTTAGTCAAAGCAGCAGTTAAAAGGGGACACGGGATGGGAAAAGCTATTTTGATTAGGAAAGCAGCCCAAACAAGATTAAAGGGCAACGACGGTTAAGGGGAAGCAGGCACTGATATAGTCTGCTGACCTGATGGGGCTTGTCTGGAGCACCACCGGGTGGCCCACTGCACCCTCTCCTGGGGCTGTAGGGCCGTTCAGGCACTGGGCCTGGGGTGTTGTAGGGGCGGGTTGCTCGCCGTGGCCTCCTAGGTGACCTTGGCTTCTCCAGGGGCAGAAAAGAGAAGGAGGATACGGATGGGGTAGGGGTGAACATTGAGTCCTGGTTTTGATAGGTCTGGGGCAGAGCCTGAGGCTGAGGCAAGAGATGGGTCCGAGACTGAAGCTCAGGCTCGGGACTTGTATCATCTCTGGGGTGTGGGGAGAAGGAGAGGCTGATTCGGCGGCCAAACACATCCTCATTTTCCATTCGCTTGCGGGCACGTGCAGCTGCATCAGGGTTGCCAAAACGAAGGACTGCTGTGCCCTGGGACATGCCCAACACTTTGCCACCACAGTTGTCAGACAGGCGGCGGAGCCTGAGCTTCACAGCGTTCCGCAGATTCTTGTCACAGTTGATAGGAAGGTTGTGCACATAGAGGAGGTTGAAACTGGGCTGAGGGATGGGAGGAAGAGACAGTGTGCCTGTCTGGTTTGTATAAATTACACTTAAAAAAGATTATAGCAGAAGTGGTTGGTTTGGTTGATAAACATTTTGGAGAATGGCTGAGAGGGGTATGGATCAGGATGTATTGTAATGATCCCCAAAAGAGAATTGCGTACACAACATAATAATTGTTAAGATAATCACTTTCACCAACCTCTGCTCTCCAAGTACGTTCACACTAAAATAAATCTTGCCTTGGTTGCTTTTGCCAACACTTACTTACCACATTTAATACAGTGTAGATAAAAAAAAAAAAACCTTTAAGGTCCAAGCTAAGCATTTTTTAAGCCTACCTGCTCTTTGATCAGTATACGTGGTGGCAGATCAGCTGTGATCTCCTGAAAGGCCACGTGGCAGTGGGCGTGCTGTAGCAGGGCTGAAGACGTATGGTTGCCATGGACCAAGATAACCTGGAAACCATGGCGGTGACGCAAGTCGCTCAGCTCACTTGCAAAGTTTACATCCGCTGTAAGAGAAAATAATGACACTCGGTTACACAAAATCCTTGAAGGCATCAAGGATGAGTATTAAAAATCTGAGTTAAACTTACAGGATACTAGAACAACTGTTGCAGGTGCAGTGTGAGTCTCAGCAAAGCGTCGTAGGCTCTGGCGAAGCTTGTCGTCTGCAGCATTCTTGGCTATGGCATTGATATGTGCAACGGTGACCTGAAGTAGAATAATATATATTTTTTAAAACAGCAGATATATTTTACCATTTTGTTGAGCAAACACTTTAAAAGTTCATCTCGTTTTTTAACTTGTTAATATGTGGAGTAAAATTATCTTCAATCACAATATCAAAGTGGTTATTTCAGAGAATTTTCTTTAGGCTCTGATATTGAGATTTAGTCCAAAATAGTCCAAAAGAAGTACATCTCATGTTAGACATGTCAACAAAGGTAAATAAGCCCTTACCCTAATGGTATCTTTTGATTAAGCTGCATTAGACTAACTCTGACCAATTTTTAAAAAGTAGATTACTTTCATCTCAAGTGAAATAGCATAACCATTAAAGTAGTATATATTGTATTTGGTACCTGGCAGTTGTTGAGCTCTTGGATGACAGCTTTACTCTCCTTGCTGATGTCACAGACGCAAATGAATTCTGCCTCGCGGTGTCCCTGAAAGAAACGGCTGCGAATGCGCTGAACCACTGCTCCTGCGGAGCGTCCACTGGGCACGCTGCAGTTTTCAATGTCCCAGAAGACACCTACTGGAGGGATGTTCTCAGGGCCACAGGTCTCAGGAGAACCTAGCAGACAGATGAGCAAACTATTACTCCAAAAACAATTTCACACATTTCATTTGTTTTCATTGTCCTTAAGATCTCATATCACTCTACCTCCAAAGAGCTTGCAATATATAAACAAGTACAATTGAGGGCCTAAACACTTGTCTGACATGATTATTATTAATAAATCCAATAAACAACCTTTATGCAGGTATTCAGCATTGTTTTGTAAAGTCCACTAACCATACTTCTGACCAGTCTTGCCAAGGCTGGTCGATGACATGAGCATCATGCCATCAGAGGAAGTGCCACAGCCGTTACAAATGGGGATGGGGATAGGAGCAGTCTGGGGTACAGGAACATTGTGCCACACCGTGTCCGACTCTGACACTGCCAGACCATTTAGGGGCTAAAATAAGCATAAATCATTATCAAGACATCAACAGCAAGCAATACTTTATACCAATTAATTTTTAAATTGACACAAATACAAAGTAGATGTCAGTTTGGTTGACTGATCTATTATTGTAGAATAAAGTGTCCTACAGTGATCTTTATGGCATGCAAATACAAGACAAAGGCTTTACCAACCTTTAACAGGCACTCCTGGCAGAAGTGCGCCCCCTTTACACAAACAGTGCGTTCTACATTTAGGTGAACAGGATTAGAACAGAAGTGTGCTGAGGTGGTTGTAGTGGTGATGGTGGTGGTTGTTGGGTGATCACAGGGTGTGCTTCTCTGGGTTCTTCTGGCTGATGGGCAACAGTCTACACAGGGGTAGTAGCCAGAAGAGGCCAGGCAAGAGCCATGCAAGGGAGCAGGTAGAGATGAAACACAAGGAAGAGAGGAAGCCAGAGGTGGAAAGGAGGGAAACAGGCTGGGCTGGCTACATGGAAGAGGTACAGAGGGGGTTGCGTGGAGAATCCCTGAGCAGCAGGAGAGGTAGGGGTGTGATGAAATAGGCTGGGAGGTAGCAACATTAGAGAGCGGCTGAGGTTTGTAATCAAGACCCAGCAAAGGATCAAGAACTTCACCTGCTCTTCCACAGCTTAGGTTACGTTTATACTGATGGACAGATGAAGTTACAGAGCAAAGGCCAGACCTGCCAATATTGCTGCTGCTGCTGATGGGTGCTCCCAGAGAGCCTGGGTCCATGTAGAGTGAGACAACACCAGCAATGCTACTACTGCTACCAACAACACCTCCACCACCTAATAACCCATAGCTATCTGTGCTGCAATAGTCACAGTGAGAACATACTTGAGGTCTTACTTTGGGGCTAGCCCCCTCTTGTTGCTGCTGCGGTGGTGGCTGTTGTTGGTGGGAGTCTTGTGTAAGCTGAGGGGGAGGCAAGCAGGGAGGAGGCAAAGGGAGCGGGACCAGAGAAAAGGGCTGGGATAATTGGGAAGAGGAAGTATGCTGTGGAGGAGGAGGGACATCTTTCAATTCCAAAACGGCCTTTCTGCTGTCCATGTAATTGTTCTGAAACATAACCAGCAGATCATTTAGCAACAATGTCAATAAAACTTGATAATATTGAAATGCTTTTGAAGCACCTTTGTGAAGTGCAAATCAACGAGCTTCTGGATTTACTTTTTTTTTTTTTTAAATGGCATTCTTAAACTCTAATCTTACATTGATCAACAATAGAGTTGTTCTCAAGTCATTTCTGTAAAAATAGAAAATAAAACATGAAAACACTGAGAAAAAAATGTCGATTGGAATATCATCTCTGATAATAAGGCTGAATCATTGTCCCTGAACTCCTTTTTGCACATATATAAATCAGGGCTGAGTCAGTGTATAATACACAGATAAATACTTGCTTCTTTATCTGTGTGCCGAAGAGAGTTTGTCTCGTTTGTGGAGAAGCAGTCCTTGAGCTTCCACAGCAGGGTTGAGGGCTCTGTTTTGGGGTGACTGAGACATGGGAGGGCTCTAGAGCTGCATATGAATGTGTCGTTTCCCAGTCCTTCCATCATACATGCCAAACAGGTCTTTCACGGCACTTTCTTTTCTCCTCTTTCTCATGCTTTACAAAACCCCCCCCCCCAAAAAAAACAGAACAGGAAAAGTTTAAGGGTTATTGTTTGTTACTTGGTGCGTATGCATTTCCTATGAGGAGTAAAACAACTAAAACATGTGAATTAACACTGAACTTCTCAAACATTGATCTATGAAAGCGGCTCAATGCAGCTTCGTAAACGCGGGTTAAAAGGACAAATGGAGCATGTCGTAACTACGTGAGAGAAAACATTCCGCAAGTTTCGAGTCTGCAGCAACAACAGAGCTACGATTGTTTTACCAAAACAAATCATGCGAGTTGAACGATGGACTGCGTGAAGTTAGCTACATGCTACATCACGTTACTGTCGTAGTTAAACACCACCATCACTGAGGATTTAACTAGTTAGCGAACAGGACTGATCGCTACCTGTTTAACTAATTGAAGCTAAACAGCTGGTTGGAGCTAGCATTGAATGTAAGCTAGCCGCAGGTACAATTTGTTCGCTAAAATATATTAATTGCTGAACGTTTCCTACACATGCTACACTTTGTCCTGCTGGCGACATTATTGTTGTTGTAGCTCGTAATGATGTATTTTCGAAGTAGTTAGTTGTTTTGCTACCTTGAAAGGTCTCCTCTGTCACATCTTTGTCACAGCACTGTTCCTCCTATCTGGCTGCCTAGATACCCGCACCTTTTTGTAACCTACTTCTGCCGGAAAGCGCGCGAGGCTGTCGCAAAATGTTATTGTTGTATCTGGTGAACAATGAGCACGTTAAATAGGAGGCTGTTTTGCTACCCGAAAAGGTCTCCCCTTTCACATCTTACTTTAAGCAGTGGTCCACTTTTCAAAACACATTCTCCTTGACCTGTCTCCCTAAAACAAAAACCTGCACCTTCTTGTGACCTAATGTTAATTTTGCAAGAAAGCAAGAACAGTTGTCGCAAAAGTTATTATTGAAATGGATTAAGTAATCAATAAATCAGTGAACATTGAGTGTGACTTTGATAATATGGACAGTCTATGGCTGATAGGTTGACCGGGCTATGTTTTAAGATTAGTTTTTTTTCCAAGTTTGAAATTCAATGTAGGCTACTATAATATTGATAATAATAATAATAATAATAAATCTTAAAAACTATTTAGACAGCAGTCCGTAGTTTTGAAAGTGATACTTTTTGGATAGGCTATTGAAAGTAAATCACTATAATAATTTTAGATAAACACATAGGCATTGGCTTAAAGTAGTCATCTGAAGGTCTAAAATCAGACCACCACTTTCCTCTCCATTTGAAAAAAACACACATCGTCGAATGAAAGACCAAACAGAACAGTCAATTATAGTCTTGGTATAAAAAACAATACATATATATATATATATATATATATATATATATATATATATATATATATATATATATATATATATATATATATATACCCGCCTTCATTTTTTTCTGAGCTTAAATTAGCAATTTCTTTCTTTTACTGTCAATTTAATTTTACTATAGGCCTACCAACATCAAAAACTCTCTTCCTAACTTTTTAGTTGTCTATAACAGCTCAGCGTTTTCACAACCTATTCTCACTGGAGAAGTGCTTAATGAATTAAAACCACAGAAGCTTAATTAATAATTAAAAATATATAGTTCGATTTTATTTATTGTCCAGAGACTTTATATTCTATCAATAGACAAGCCCGCTTTTTGATAATTAAAAAAATATATAGTTCGATTTTATTTATTGTCCAGAGACTTTATATTCTATCAATTAGACAAGCCCGAGTATATAGGCGATTGCCCAGTGTTGCCCAGTCTACCGAGTACGTTTTTTCCGACTTTTTGTTGAAGGACCCCACGGAGGAGAAGTACAAAGGGATGCGTCTGGAGCTGGCGGTGGACAAAATAGTGACGTTTCTCGCCGTGGGGTTGCCTTTGTTCCTCATCTCGCTCGCTTTTGCTCAAGAGGTGTCAGTTGGTGAGTAATTGAATTATTGCGACTTTATCATCTGATGCTATAATTTTAATCATCAATGTAGAATAATGCATTGGCCAGGCTTCTTGCTGCAACCCATTTGTTTTAATCATCACAATTACACGTGGTGAAGCAATGTGAAAACCATGAATAGGTGAACCTGAAGAATAAATGACGAGACGGGTGCGATTACTGAAGAAGGTGTGGTTCAAGTCTCCACCCTTCTGGCGCTCTGACGCCCCGACGCATCATGCTCTCACACTGCTGCTGATGGTGATTGTGGTAATTGTTATGGTAACATTTTTTTTTAACTGAGCTCATGTAATCAAGCCTTTTTTTTTTTAGTTGGTACCACATGGACTCAAGTCACTGTTAACACGAAACAGACATTATATATTTATGTCTATTCGGAAAAAACAAGATATCTACAGCACCATCAGCAGCTACAGCTACATAATCTTATTAGATCATAAAGCCCCCCCTGTCTGTTGTGGTTAGCATTATCTGCAAGTATGTCCATTGATGGATCCAATACACAGCGAACCTGGACAGACTGTTTACTGTGCAGCTGCATGACTTAAAGACTAAACAAGTAGCCATTATTTTTGATAATCACAAGAATGCTATGGAAATACCGGTCCAATAGAAACTAAGCAGATCAATATATCCATTTGCACCTGTGTGAATGCTTTATATGTGAAAACATTGACTTCTTTAATAGAAGTCAATGTTTAGTGGTTTTTATTAATACAAAAAAATGATGAAATCTATCAATCTTTATTTGTATAACTCTTATTTACTCTTTATTTGTATAGTTGAACTCTCTGATGTTCTTTGCTTTGGACTAAAGTGTCAGCTAAATTAAATTGTATCACTGTAACATTGTAACTTCCCTAATAAAGTTATTCCGGAAGGGCTTAACAATAATCTACATGTTACTTGTAATGTTTTTTTTTCTATTGCTTGCAATTTATTTACGTAAATTGTGCTGGTCAGTTTAGAGAATAGGCTTTCCCACATTGTGTCAGACCATTGCTAATTGCTCCAACACAAACTGAAGTTTGATTTCCTTTATGTAGCATTTACTTTACAGCTACTTACTGATGTGTTTATTGAGTTAAATGGTACTTTACATACAAAATTAAAATACTTTACTGAGACTGTGCCTATATCATTCTGTGTTATTAACATACCAGTCCTTGTGCTGCTTTAATTATCATTGACTATCTGGGTCATTTGCTCATTTGCAAATTGTCCATGCCTAACTGAACATACACCCTATACACATATAGGGGAAGGCGTCCTGAAAACAGAGTGCAGAGCAGAGAAGGCTGACAGTTTTCAAAGTGTATGTTTCTGTTTGCTCAATCACTAAAACACCTGTGGGCACTGATTCATTATTTCCCTTTTTCAATCAGGTACTCAGATCAGCTGCTTCGCCCCCACCAACTTCTCTTGGAGACAGGCTGCATATGTGGATTCATTTTGTTGGGCAGCTGTACAGCAACAAGCTGACAGTTCACCACTATGGCTGCACAAGGTACACCTCCACCCCCACCCCCAACATTGCCTGGGAAGCCTCAGTGCTGACAGTGGAATTTCATGGGTTTGGGGTATTGGGAGTTTTTTCTTTTAAGACTTAATAAAGCGGGTTTATGACCAGTATGGTTTAATTAAGGAATAATCATAATAAGTCCATTGGTTTTCTTAATGAAGGGATCAAAGGACGTGGTGATTAACTGTTTGAATTCGCTATAGATTTGCATTGACCTACTGTGTATCAACTATAATCATGTCTGTATTTTTAATTATTCCTTTGATCAACAAAGTATGTTTCCTCTGATCTGTTTCCTCCCTCAGTTCTTCCCATACATCCTGCTCTTACTGGCCATCCTCTTATACATCCCGGCCCTGCTCTGGCGTTTCACTGCAGCCCCGCACCTCTCCTCGGATCTTAACTTCATTATGGAGGAATTGGATCGCTTTTATAATCGTGCCATCAGACTAGCCAAGAATCTAGCATCCTTAGACAACAAAGATGCACCTGAGGACACCCAGAGGTAAGTACCCTTTTATCACCAGCCACCTGCAGGTCTAACCCATCTTGTTCGACAATTTGACTGGATGAAAAAAACATTTGTTCCGAAGAAATATGCGCTTTAATTAACTGTACTTTTCCTTTTTTTAAATTTGATTTTGTTGTCATGTTGAAAATAGAAGGAATCACAACTGTGTACAATTTGTTTTTGATAGCATCAAGAACATCATATTAAATAGATTGTGCACAAAAACACAATGGAAATACAACATATTTGTACACACATTTTTGATGCCTAGCTCATGGGCACCTCAGCAGTGCTCAGTAAGTAAACTGGCACCTCTGCAGCTACCAGACTAATTTCCAGATTTGGTCCTCACCAGGACTTGAAACAGCGACCCTCCAGTTCCCAACCAAGTCCTTACAAACTGAGCTACGCCCGCACACTTGCTCAAATGCCACAAAAAGTTTGAATTGATCACAAAGTTTCAACCAGATGTCTTCTTCAGGTGATAATTTTTATCTGGTTAAAACGTTGTGATCAATTCACAATTTTTGTGGCATTTGAGCAAGTGTGCGGGCCTATCTTCTTCTTATAATACATTCATAATACAAACATAGCCATTTGTAAGACTTGAGCAAAAGCTGTTTTCACAACACAGAAAAATTCAAAACATGCTCTACATACAAAAACAATAACACAATTGGGCTTTAATTTAGATTATTTAAGATCACTAAGGTCAGTGAATGAGAGGCCTTTGTTTTGTGAAGCATTCGTCTGTCTGAGGTCAAATAATATCTCAGCACTGGTAAAGGGGAGTGTTTGGGTCACTTGTAAGAAAACGATTTGAGCAGATTTTTTTGAGCAGATCTTCCTGTTATTGCGAGCGACTGTTCTTCTTGTTAATTTCTAACGTGATACTTTGGCTTTTGGATCCTTTTACACCTCATGCTAAATGCCCCTGTGCCTTTTTGTGCTGCAGCGCTTTGGACCTAACAGAGGGTTGCTTCAAATACCCTTTAGTGGAGCAGTATCTCAAGACCAAGCGCTTCTCCCACTGCCTGGTGGTCAAGTATCTAGTATGTCGGAGCCTGACTCTACTGATCCTGCTGCTGGCCTGCATCTATCTCGGCTACTACATCCGCCTGGCCTCTCTCACTGATGAGTTTCCATGTGACCTGCGTACAGGGGTGCTCAAGAATGACAGTATGGTGCCAGCCGCTGTGCAGTGTAAGCTTGTGGCGGTGGGTGTATTCCGGCTGCTCAGCTACATTAACCTGGGGGTGTATGTGCTTCTTGTTCCGCTGGTGGTGTATGCTGCTCTTGGACCAGCTCACCAGAGCTCTGGTTTTCTTCGGCCATACGAGCTACTGCCGGGCTTCAGTGCTCTGGGTGTTGTCACACCTGTTTACAACGACCTCAGTATCTATCTGCTGTTCCTGGAGGAGAACCTGAGCGAGCTCAAGTCATTCAAGTGCCTGCAGGTGGGTCACAGCGAAAATATACCGTCTGTCAAGTATATTGGTTACAAGGTGTCACTTAGTCTTCTGCTGTTTCTACTTTGAAAACTATGTTGCCTGTGTTTTTTCAAAGGTGCTCGAGTTGTTGCAAGAGGCTGGAGATGAGGGGTTTGACACCATGTGCCTCCTGCGGACTCTGGGTCAGGTGAAGACTGACGTGTTGGACAGTAAGAAGACGTGCTCACGCAAGAACAACAAAGGAACTACTAAAGCTGAAGAATAATCCCTCTGAGGTCAGGAGGAACCTTTTTGACTATGAAGCTGAAGTGAAACAAAGTCATTATGTGTCATATTAACCTTCAGTGTGTTTTATTTTACTCAAGATATCACTGCCTCACTACTCATGAATGAATAGCTGGCCTGATGAGGATAAGTAGGCCTACTGTTATTGTGGAAAAGAAGAAATGGGATAGATGTACTGTAAGCACCTACCTTTGTCTGAATTTGTGTTGGCAGAACACAGGGGGATACTTAATTGCAGTTATATAGTTTGGCCAGTGAACCCTTTACCTCTCAGATGTTTAATTTTTGTGTGTGAAAACGTGACAAGTATATAGGCCTGAAGCGATATGCTGCTAACTCCTGACCTTTTATCCTTTTATTTATTTAAAAAAAAGATGAAAATCCTGTTTCTGTTTTTTTTCTGGACGGAATATATTGTTTTCCTCAGTATTCTAAATTACCACCCGCACTGAAACATCATTTTAGGTACAAGCCATGTTAAAATGAAACTGTTAATTCATTTTTCAGGTGTAAGAGTTTATTTTTTTGCCCTTTAAGAATGAGTGACGTTGAATTTTCTGAATATAGAATTGAGGTGTACTGAGAGTTGAGTCTAGGTAATAAAGACGTAGTGATTGGAGCAAGTTTTTTCTACTTTCAATTTAGGAATGAAGCAGACAGGGATGGTTAGGGATGGCAAGAACCCCTAGAGCGACTTTGTCCAGATTTTCTGATTGTTTGTCTGTAAATGGCTTTTGAAAACCGCTGTTCACTGTTTATTCATGTCGATAGTTAAGAAGGCCATGGGTTTTCTGAACTGATGGAATGATAATGCGCTGCATTTTCTGACAAAGATGAATGAATATTCTTGAGGAGAATAAATTGTTTTTTTAAAGTATTTGAACCCTATGCATTTTATTATGGGGACTTTGATTTCCCTACTAATTAAAAAAAAGAATGAGCTACTAATTACATGAAATCACACACACACACACACACACACACACACACACACACACACACACACACACACACACACACACACACGTATTTCTCCTCCTGCTCCACTAGGGTCTATAGTCGACTTCGGCTTTTATCTAATCATCATTTTTAATCATGTATCGACCACACGTAAGTTATTGTACAGATACTTAAACTCTATGTCAATCTACTGAGTCCAACATACTGCGATAAAAAAAAAAGAAATCGAAAAAAATGTCCTTCATAAAATGTAACCTAAAAAGTTCATACTTAATTGATTATGAATTGAGCTAAGCTATGGTCTATGTACACTTTTGTCGCAGTGCAGTAGGCTATGAGATAGTAGCATATTTCTATCTTCTTTATCGTGGGCACTTTTGTGTAAATTAGTCTCGGACTGTGGAGGACGAGATCTGACAGAAGTATAAATAAATAAATGTAGAAATAAATTTAAGACATTTAATTATTTATGTCCCATTTATTTACCAGTTTTTATTTATTTATTCACGCATTTAATTATTTATTTATTTATTCATTCATTCTTTTATTTATTTATACATTTATTTATTTATTTATTTATTTATACTTCTGTCAGATCTCGTCCTCCATATCGGACGGGCTTTCAAATGGCTCACAATATAATCATAACAAAACTTCCTCGGAGACTTGCCAATAATAAATGCAAGACAACAACTGCAGTGAAAATGGTCACTTAAAAAAAAGAAGATAGAAGTGGTTGGCTTGGTTGTTGGGGGTCCTCCTTCAGAGGCTTTAAGTTTTTTGAGGGTTGTGATTGGACAATATTTTAAAAGCGTCATCTCCTCTCGTCCAATTGTGATCGAGAATCGCAGGCTCGTTTGGATTTGGATTGGGTCAAACCCTTCCTGAGGTAAACGTAACCACAGATTAGGTTCAGCATTACCATACGTCGGCTGTTGCTCAAATTTAGAAACAATTGTCGTACCTACAAACACTCACATCTCTAAGGAATGTTTTAATCATTTATTTTTAAGCAGGTGAGTTTGTGTGTTTTCTGTTTTGCACAGTGTGTGGAGGAGATAACAGAATGTGGCCGAGTCGTTTAGCCAGCTAGCTCTACTAGCTTAGCTCAAAGGCTAAGCCATTGTATACACTTTTCTGACACCGCTTGAAAAGTAACACACGCGTCAATTTTCAAATTATTTTTCTTTTACCGGATGAAAATAAATGAAAGCACAAGTATATGTTGGTAAATCACATGTCAGATATTGACAACTCGTATTATGGACAATGCGCAGTGGACTAACGCTAGCTGACCTAGTTAGCATTCAAAGACCTTAGTTTTGATGGGAAGTTTGCCTGTTTACTCCTGGCAGATCAGGACAGGGTTTAAAGCTATGCTGTGTTTCATTTTTGCAGTTAGACCCCCCCCCCCCATCCTTAATAGTTGCAGACATGGTTGAACCAGCAACACGCATGTTTGCATCATTAGAAGAAGAGCTGGGCTTCTGGAAGGAGCAGGCAGAGAGACATCATCAAAGGTAACATTGTGCATAACTACTCTTATCGGCATCCATTGGTACATACTGTATAGTGGCAACTATGATAACAACCATAGCTTTGCACATGGTGAACAACGTGGGCTGTAATGTTGTTTTGTCCTCAGGGCTGAAGAGGCTCAGGAGGAGCTGCAGGAGTTTCAGCAAATGAGTCGAGACTACGAAGCAGAACTGGAAACCGAGCTGAAGCAGTGTGAAAGTCGAAACAAAGAGCTGCTTTTAGACAACAACAGACTCCGCATAGAACTGGAGAGCATAAAGGTAGAGCACCTTGAATATAAATGGACCTCTGCCCCCACAGAACAGGACGAGATCTGGTGCTCCAGTTAGTTGCTGTTCCCTCAGTCAGACTCAAACAAACACAGACTGCCTTAAACCAACCCAAACTCACAAGAATGCCACATGGAAAATTTCGACCTAGCTATGAGGCAGCTGACTTCTATTTTTGTTCAGCAGTCCATGGGGAAAAGAACATTAATAGAGGAGGTGTATGCAGCATTGTGTTATAAACCCCTGATTGCTTGAAGGTTGTTTGTGATGAGAAGGAGAAATAATCAAAAATGACACATCGTTTTGTTTAAATGTTGTGGAGGGTTAGTTGATACAAAGATGTAAAGCTGCCATTGTAAATGTTGAATTTGATCTCTGTGTGCTGTTTTAGGAGAAATTTGAGGCTCAGCATTCAGATGCTTTCAGACACATCACCACGTTAGAGGAAGATCTGGCACAAACTAAAGCAGTGAGAGATCACCTGCAGAAATACATCAGAGAGCTGGAGCAATCCAATGATGACCTGGAAAGGACCAAAAGGTCAGTGTCTTAGAGGTCTTATGTAATTATCTCATTGGCTGCATCATGCAATGACAAACTAACTGTCTAACTCTGACTTTAGCACACATAGACACACAAAGTCGCTCGGATACTAAACTTTTACCGTCTGATGCTCTTCTTGTCCCAGGGCTACCATCATGTCACTGGAGGACTTTGAGCAGCGGATGAACCACGTCATTGAGAGAAATGCCTTCCTGGAGAGTGAATTGGATGAGAAAGAGAACCTGCTGGAGTCTGTTCAGAGGCTCAAGGATGAAGCCAGAGGTGAACACACAAACACACACAGACTATAGCTTCTGAAGTTTTTAATAATTTCTGATTGAAGCTTGGTTTTTAATACCTATTCATCCAGTTTCTGATCTAATACGTATTGGTATTCTAGTATTTCTTTATTGCTAATGTAAAGGGGGATTTTAAGGGCTGTAACTGAGTTAATTTAATGCTAATCAAATATACCAACAAACTTTTGACTTTGTTTTCCCGTCCTTCCAGACTCGTTGTGTTTTTGTCTAATGGTAGATGAATCTACTCAGAGGGTTAAACCTTACTAAAGTGTAGTTATTCATCACAGCTACTATCAGATTTGCTTGTATTGTCAATACCAGAGCCCTACGGGGTATACTGCATATGTTTTCAACATACCAAGTGTAGCTTTTGGTTGCCTGGCTTCAATAGACCGAACAAACAAGATCAAACTGAATACTCACACGAGGCTGGTTATCAACCTGATCAATGAACTCAGGAGTTGTATGAGGGCATTCACATGGTAGGGTTGGTTTCAACTTCAAATAACCTTTAAGGATCACAAATGAGTCTGCTGACAGGAGATTGTCATATTTTACAAACTCAGAGAAAACTATATCCTTATACAGACTGCAGTTTTACGCACCTGTATCGATATGCATTCCATCTGATAGTTGCTGAGGCGTTATGGGGGGACCATGTGATCTCCTCTCTATACTGTTACAGCACTGTAGCTGCACTGCAGCAACACATTTAGGGAGATTTATCCCTGACTGTGAATGTGAAAATGAATTTGTGTATTACTTTACAATCATTAGTGCACAAAAGATCTGAGTGTAAGAACTCCAGACTCTTTCATGAAATCAAAGTGTTTACAGGTCTCTCTCTCCTTTCCCCCCTCTCAACAGTAGCTCACAGACCTCTGATTGGTCAGTAGTATCTAAAAGTCATCCAATGGTAGCTGAGCTGTAGATTTTAAATTTAGAGTGTGACATTGACGGTAGAGCCAGTCAATGACGAGACAAGTCAGACCTTTTTTGCCTCTTCCCTTTCCTGCGTCTCCTAAACCAAAACAGCAGTTTAACACCTAACTAGGCCAGGCTAGATGAGATGAGATTCAACTTTATTGTCATTACACATATACAAGTATAGAGTAACGAAATGAGGTTTGGCATCTCACCAGAAGTGCAAATAAGCAGAAAGTGCAAAAGTCTGTGCTATGTACAGTAATTGAGTGCAAGAGTCTGTGCTATGTACAGTAATTGAGTGCAAGAGTCTGTGCTATGTACAGTAATTCTGTGCTATGTACAGTAATTGAGTGCAAGAGTCTGTGCTATGTACAGTAATTGAGTGCAAGAGTCTGTGCTATGTACAGTAATTCTGTGCTATGTACAGTAATTGAGTGCAAGAGTCTGTGCTATGTACAGTAATTCTGTGCTATGTACAGTAATTGCAAAATTTACAGATGTAGACAAAAAAAAGTGAATTATGAGGTATATCTGGATGGCTGGATTAATGGGATGCTATAAATATAAATAAATGCTATAAATAAGTAATGCTACAAAATAAGTGTGTTCTTAGGATTATAATATACAGATTAAGATGCAGTGAGCATGTTATACAAGTTTACAGATAATTTAAAGAATATGAACATACTATAATACAATAATACAGATGGATGAGAGATGTGTGTGTGTGACCAGGAGGAGTGGTGGGGGGATGATGGGTGTGAGGTGATATGGAGGGGAAAGGGGGGTCAGCAGGGTGCGGAGAGAGAGAGGGAGAGAGAGAGAGAGACAGAGTTCAGAGTTCGGGGGGTAGAGTTCAGTAGAGAAACAGCTCTGGGGAAAAAGCTGTTCCTCAGTCTGCTGGTTCTGGTCCGGAGGCTTCTGAAGCGCCTGCCGGAGGGCAGGAGGGTAAACAGTCTGTGGGCAGGGTGGGAGGAGTCTTTAAGGATGCCATGAGCTCGCCGCAGACAGCGTGTTCTTTGGACATCCTCAATGGCAGGAAGTGGACACCTTGTGATGCGCTGGGCGGTTTTTACCACCCGCTGTAGCGCCTTACGGTCTGCGACAGAGCAGTTTCCGTACCAGATAAGGGGGAAACAATACAATCATAACATCTACAGTGTGTATTTTTTAAGGACATATACTTTTTTATTTTGAGTTGAAACAGTTTCTCACATAAAGAAACTGGGTAAACTGGAATTAATATCGTTAGCTTTATGCTAGTGTCATGTATTTTTAAATTCTGGTATTGTGACAAACCTATGGACCAATTTCCTCTGTACATTATGTGTATGCTGGCAGTCTGCTTGCGTTGTGTTACAAGTTTAGTTGTTTCGAGGAAAATGTTTTCACTGCTAAAGGATTGTTTACTTTGAATGTATGTATGCACTTCACTTCAAAGCTGTCTTGACTTCATGGATTCCCCTTTTCTCAGTAGTTTAATGTCACTCCATTTTCTTTTTAAAAAATACATACAATGATTTTTTTGTCATTACAAAAAGCTGACATGTAGTATACCTGTGTTTTGTTTTTGTCAGATCTTCGGCAGGAGCTGGCTGTACGCCACAAGGAAAGACGGCCGTCCAGCAGCCTGGGCAAAGACACAGATCGATTAGATCTAACATGCCCCTCAGCTGCTAACTCATCCATCCCCGTCACACCCTCCAAACCCATCAGCTCGTTTGCCACGCCCCCTGCTTCCAGTATCAGACGAGGTAAAACTTTGACGATGGTGATATTAACTATGCCTCAACATACTATATAAAAGTGTTTGGCTGCTAACATCTGTTGTGTTTAAGGTGATGGATTAGCTGGGACTCCTCTTACTACGTCTGCTAGAATATCTGCACTCAACATCGTTGGGGAGCTGCTAAGAAAAGTTGGAGTAAGAGTTTTCAAATGATATCTGTACAGTTCCCATTGAAGACAAAGTTTACAGATGACTGTGCTTTCACTGCTGCACATTTGGATTTTCCATGTAAGACCTGATTGATTTTTCTTTTTTCTTTTGGCTCAACAGAATCTGGAGTCAAAGTTGGCGTCCTGTAGAGACTTTGTATATGACACTTCAGTCAGCAGACCAGCACTCCCAGCAGCCACAGGTAGTCCGTCTTGTATAGAAGGAGGCGCTGACAACCACGCTACCAGCATGAGCCCCCCTCCTCAATTTGACAGGTGAGGGGAAAAGAAACTGCTGTGGTTTTCTTTATTCCTTATAGTTACTGAATGTTTGAACTCATGAGGTTTTAATGGCGCAGCATTTCTAACTGTTTGCAACTAGGGCTGGGAATCTTTGGGAGTCGATTAGATTCAGAATCTATTTTCGATTCTGGATTCATGATCCAAAGTCTGTTTTTGAATTAGTACATACTTCAGGATCTAATCCAGTTATCTGTGAGACTGGCTGAATTTCTTGCTGCTCTATTTGGCATTCTACTGAGTTAAAGAGCTAGCCTTAGCATGTAGCAGGGAGTGACTGTTTAGCCAAAAAAAAAAAAAAAAATGTTTGAAAGTTATGACTCTATTTAAAGGTTCTATATGTAACGTTTTTATCGCCCATTAATAAGCGAACGGTTAACTGATGTGAAAAAGTAAATGTTCACTGTCTGTCTTTGTTGCCTGTAAATAAATTTCCCCGGGTCGTATTTTCCGCGAAAGCTCCAGGAAGTGACATTTTATGCGCATTCTCAACGTCCTCCTCACTCCGCTTACAGAGATCAACAGTACAAACTCATCACACACTCCTGCTCTCAGCCAGTGCCTGCAGAGACTGTTGTTTGTAGGATGGAGAATGAATACAGACACACAGACTCCTTCACAGACTTTCACATGTGTATGACCACTTACCTCCTCTGTAAACATTATGCCGGTAAATATCCAGTGTTTCATGGCCGATGATGATGCTCGTTTGTGTACGTACGAGCACGTATGACGAGCACGTGAGCGAGAGAGAGCAACAGGTTACTGGTGCAGTTCGCCTAACGGCCATGCAGTATCGCTACAAACGCAGTATTTTTGAACGTTACATATAGCCCCTTTAAAATCTCAGAAGATAAGAATCTCAATTTTTTTCATAAATCTAATTTTTACCCACCTGTTTGCAAATGAAACAACAAGTACAAAGTTATGAAACTACACTAACTTGGAATGAATTATCATATGATATGTTGAGCAACATTTGAACAGAATGTTAATGTTTGATTCATGAACATCCAGCACTTTACAAACATGCTGTTACTTCATGAAATGAGGAAGTTGGCAAGGGGAATGGGAAACAGAAATCTGCTCTTTCAACTTGAGCATTGTTCTTATTGTTACTTACTTTGTTTCATATTTAATGTAATATTTTAGATGTTTAGTCTATTAGTAAGGACCATAGTAAGTTACTAGTAAAAGCTTTATTTGAATCTCTGGTCTGCTCATGAGTTACAGTGCTCCCTTTTTGTCTTACAGTTTAGTGAAGCGGTTAGAGTTCGGACCCGCTCCCCCGAGAGGAGTCTCCCAAGGTGCCCAGTCTCCACAGGGAGGGGTCAAGATCCTGCTATGAGAGTAAAAGAAAGGCATCCATGATGCCAACCTCCTGTCCACTCTCCCTCCTTAATAAACTACAGCAGTGGGACTTCAAACTGTGCTGTCTTCCCGTGTCGCTACATGTCCTGCTGAACTCTTTGAACGAGAACGCCTCTCTCTCTCTCTCTGTCCATGCCCCACTTAATTAGCACATGGAATTCTGCCGCCTTAGGCTATTATCACACCATATCCATCATATGAAGCAGCACTTCAGCGTCTGTAATATCAAGGAATGAAGAGCGTACTGATCACACATTATCCTCTGCTGTGTCTGTTGCACTGTGGTGGGTAGCTTCTTAAAAAATGTTACTCAACTTCTGTATCTACTGATTTGCATTTTTGGGTGGATCAAGTCCATCAGGGATCTTAAAGCATGGCCCCTCCGACATAATGTCTTCCTGCAATCTTCCATTTATCATAAGATGGGGACCTCATATAGAACCAGTGATATGACAGCATCCTATTAAGACGCTGATAAAGGGACCAAAAGGTTGGATAATATAAAATGTGATATGAAGAAAGTCTGAACCAAAGGTTTGATGGATGGAAACTGATCAACCGTGATAGTAATGGGTTTGTTTTTTTCCCACTCTTTTTGTGGCTCTTAAACATGAAAACTTAATTAAGTGTTTTGAAACATTTAACTTTGGGCTTTAATAATGTAGCACAGAACTACACTGGAAGTGCGTTAGAAATAGTTGGTTAAAAAACACGGTACACTTTTCCAACCTATGCCCCCAACATTTTTGGCTTGAAAGACTCCACTGCTCTTTGCTCTTCAGTGAGAGCAAATGAGTGGATGCCAGGAACTGGTGATAGTATTTTAGCCTTCGCTGCCTTCACCATTGGTATACCTCTTTAGCTTGTAGATTCTGCTTTGCGGTAGTGATTTGAATAAATTAAATGGGGCATCTATTCCTCCTGCTGCCAAACGTCTGGAAATTATGGACTGTCTATTTCTTTCAAGCTGGTTTGATATCGCAGCTATCCAGTTTGATCCTGGTCCTTTCTTTAACACCTTCCTTCTGCCATTAAACAGACGTCTTGTTTCTGCAGACGAACAATGCTTGTAAATGTCAACATTGGGAATAGAATACGTTTTGTGCCTCGGAGAATTGAATTGATAATTTGTTATCCTGTTAATTTTATGAGCTCATGTTACTAGTAACTTTTCTACAGGTTGTATCTGACTGAAGATGTTGGATTGTTACATGTTCGCTACTGAATGTAGAGTAATAATTTTACAAGTGTGAGATCTCCTGACTGCTGCAGGGGGTTGTGTGTGTTGGAGGGATGGGAGCTAGACAAAGCAATAATAGATTTTATCAAAGTCGTTGAAGATAAGCACAGTACAAAGTATATTTGTGTAGGCATAGAACTGATATCAGATATCCTGTCCTGCCTTTTTAGAGACAGGTTTTGAATGGGGGAATAAGGGTCAATTAAAGTGACTATTGAGTGTTTCCCTGAAATGTTTTCTGGTTAATCCATCACTGTCACTACTGCCGTGCAGCAGTTTATTTCACAAATATTACAGTGCAAATATCAAATCTAAACAGCAGTCATCACCGTATACTTCAAGTGTAGCCTATTTGTAGGAATTAACTTGTGGTTCATGCATTTTAGGAATAGAGTTCCTGCTTTTTTGTTGTTGTTTGACGTTCAATAACTGACAAGAGTTAACCGAAATAGTTATCCACAAACACTGTGTACTGGGTGTAAGTTTGCATCACTTTTGCAACTGCTTCTGTATATGGACTTCAAACTGTATGTGCCTGAGATAACCAACATTTCTCCGACTGTTTTTTTCTATTGACTGAACAGGTGATGGTAAAGTTTTGTTGTGATGATTCCAATTTGCTCTCTGCAGTTACTGACAAGGACAGAAACAATAAAAAGGAATATATATGTATATGTGTGCTTTTTTGACATCTTTATTTGTTGTGCAGGTGGTTCACAATAATAGAATAGGTGTTCTGTAAACATGAGTTGATTACATATTTAACGTCATCAAATAAGAATATTTTGGTCGAGGGTGTCTGGGGTAATGTTCAACATGTACAATAAACCTGGACTATGGGGAGGGGGTGCATCTGTGTCTGATAGGGATATCTGCCTTGTGATTTCATAATTCAGGCTAAATAAAGTCTCTAAAATAAAATATTCTTATATTTATGGGCTTGATTAAAAGCTATGAAAAACGCCTGAGCGCAAGAAAAGTGCAAGTATAAAACTGTGAGCCGAAAATGTTGAACAGCTAAATATTTGTTGGCATAAAAACAGCAGCACTGACCGAGTGGCAGATGGAGAACAGAAATATCCTTCTCATTCAATCTGTTCAACGACTTCAGCGCTGCTCTAAAACACTGACAGCAGTCACAGGCAACAGGACAACAGTCACTGACTCTAGTAACGTCCAAAGATTTACATGTTTCTTTTATAACTTCTTAAGTGACTTATTGAGGAGAAGACAGGCCATTCAGGCAATTTAGCGTGGTAATTAGAGGAGCCTTTAGTCATGTACAAAATATAACATAAAAAAGGATCAGTCATTCAGTGCAGTACAAAACAGTGTAAGTTAAAACATAAGACAGCAAATCACACATGGGCAGAGCCAACAAAACAACTCCCCGTTTTGAAATCGAGGCCAGATTATTTAGTGCAGAGAAAAGGTGCTCTGAGTCAAGAAGATAGATCAGTACACTCTTGGAAATGGGAGACTGTAAATATATCTAAGAGATACGGAAGGCCTGGATAACATAACAGACTTTGAAGTGATTCTTTTTAAGTGGAAGTCGTCGTCCTGGAAGGCTGTCCTGATTTTTGGTTGTATGACATCCTTTACTCAGCAGCCTTTGTTCCATTGAAGTCGATTTGGGAGTCAGTCTCCTCCTCTGAGGCATCCTCAACCACCCTTCGGCCTCCGCCGATACGCCGAGGTGTGCTGCCAAAGGAGGGCTCATTTCCACGCCTGAAATGCCACAAAGATGGACACAAGACTTAAAGAAAAATAAATCCACACAGCGAGAAGTTGTTGTGTAGCAGTTTCTGAGCATGTTAAGTTTTGTTTGAAAACCACTCGGGTGTTTATGAAAGACAGAATGTTCAGGTTATGCTTGGATTGCAGGTAAAAGCACGCTGCTTATCTTTGTAACTCATGTGACTCCTGGCTTAGGAGAATGAGTTTGGTTTATGGCAGTTAAACCAAGCACTGAGAAAAATACGGCCACCACTTTAAAATAGATTTAATGGACGGGTCTCTTGATACCGGATCATTTTGTGTTTTCTTCATTGTAGCTGATGAGCCGTATTTCTCTAAGTCAGGCTAAATGAAAGAAACTATAGCAGCAAGAGTGTGCACGGATGAATGCAAAGTCATGGTAAGTCAATAAGAAATGGTGAAGGGGTAACTTTTAGGCGCAGAGGTACCTGCTGTGTTACTCCTTGGGTTCAGGATTGCCTCTGGAAATAAAGATGGACACCGTTGTTTTGCTTGTGCTCATTAAGACCACCGTATTAAATGCTTAAAATAAGAGCTCAACAAAACCCTAAAGAGGACTATAATGACAATGTTCTCATTAGAATTCATATAGGGATGTGAAAAGTTTGAGCGCTAATGAGGGCATTATAATGACAGTCATCTTCAGAGGTTTGTAAACCTCTACATGTTCACACAGACATCCTCCACACAGTGACTATTCACCATTATGTGATTGATTTTACTGCAGTGTTTGTGTCTGGTGGTAGCACACTGAAACAAAGTTGAGACAAACAAATACACTCCACCTATCCAAAGAGAAAGACCCTTGTTTCCTTCTCCTACCTGAGTTTGCTCTTAAGAGAGGTGACCTCACGGCTCATGGTGTCGTTTGTCTCAGTGGCTTCATCCAGCTCCCGCTGCAGCTTCCTGCGGGCGGCTGTAGCACGCTGAGACTCCTCTTCTGACTCCTCCAGCTGCCTCTTCAGCTGCTTCATGCGGACATTCGCCTTCTCCGCCTGGTATGGGGGCAGAGTATTTAAATACAATTTTCAGATTACATTTAAGGTCATCCAAATCCCCTGTGACCAAGATTCCAAACATTGATCTTCTAATGCATGCAGAAAAATATACAAAAATGTAACCTGGTCCTTGTACTGCTCTCCCTGCTTCCTTTCGTCTTCCACCTGCATTATCAGGTCCTTCAGCTTCTTGTCTTTCTGTCGCATACTCTTTGCAGCCGCCTGCTTCTCTCTAAAAAGGGACAAAAGATTTCAGGGAGGGTACACATAACTACAACTGGGTATAACTGGTGTCATTTAGTACAGAAAATCTCCTCCTATGTTGGCCAACCTGCTCTCCTGCTCCAGCTGCTCCTCCAGCTGTGCTACTTTAGCCTCCAAGCCAGAGATGGAAGACTTGAATTTGGACTTGACCTGGTTCTCCATTTCTTGGAGCTTGGCCTTCAGCTCCTTGTTCTGGCGTTCCATCTGCTGCCGAGCGCTCTCATTCTTCTGGGAGGTGGTGCGCTCTGTCTGCAGCTCGTTGTTCAGCTGATCCACCTGAAAAGAGGAGGCATAGACAGAGAGGAGTGAGGCCTCTGCACCCTTTTATCCATCAATAACTCAAGTGGCTGATGATGCTGTCTGGTCACCTGCTGCGTACTCTTCCTCAGTCGGTCATTGATGATCTCCATGTTGCCCTGTTCTTCCTCCAGCTCCTCCTCTAGCTGTGAGATCTTAGCTTCCAGGCGACGTTTCTCCTCCGCCAAGGCTGACCTGCAAGGAAGAGGCAGAGCAGAAAACAAATGTAGCCACCATGTTTGTTTACAGGCAAACTAAAACGGAATAGAATCTCCACCCACTTTCCAGAGGAGTTGCTGGCCAGCTCATCAGACAGCTCATCTCTCTCAGCCTCTGCCTGCTTACGTGCCCTCTCAGCTGCAGCCAGATCCTGGAAACATATCAGAGATTAGTCAGTTATTTCAAGCCTCTGCTTTAAATCAAATTGCTTGTCTTGTTAGGAATTAAACGTGATACCTCCTGTAGCTGCATGAGCTCAGCCTCCAGACTCTTGGACTTCTTTTCACTCTCCTTTGCGGTAGCCAGAACCTCCTCTCTGGCAGCGTGTGCGTCTTCCAACTCCCTCTGGAAGTCCTTCATCTGGGCCTGGTGGGAGGATAGAAAAATGATAGGCAAAGACATCAATAGAGAGAGCAAAGAGACCATCGCTGTCAGACTGCAGTGATTAAAACAGGTATACTAACAGTGTTTAGGGAAGAGGCTACAGATGACTATTCATGCAGAGCTCCATGTAAACATATATACAGTATATCTGTATATATATATATAGATGCTTAACTTTGTGCAAACTTTCATTATGCATTTGCAAGACACCATAAGCGTGTCATAAAAAATGGAAATAAGAAAAGCACAAAAATGTCTTAAGATGTAATTACGCAATACTTAGAATTGGCCTGTTCTGAACCTACTTCTGTATTTCATCCATCTCTTCACTCTCACCTGAAGCTTGCGGAGTTGTTTGATGGCCTCATCTCGTCCCTTACTGGCCGTCTCCATCTGTCCCTCCAGATCTTTAATGTCTGTCTCCAGCTTCTTCTTGGCTCCTGCTGCCAGGGCTTTTTGCTTCCGTTCATCCTCCAACTCAGTCTCCAGCTCCCGAACCTGCGGTCAATAATCATCATTGCTTGCATTACTGATGCACCTGGTGTGATTTTCTCTGACATTGCATCAGATGGCATGATTCCGTTTATATGTCATTACCTGCTTGACAAGCTGTCTCTTCTTCTCCTCTCCCATCTCATCTCTTCCCTGGAGGTCCCTCTCAAACTGGGCCTTCAGGGCCTGCATGTTGACTCAAGACGGAGTTTAGCATCCTCAGCCGCCTGCAGCTCGTCCTCTAGCTCCTCCAGCTGGGTCTTCATCTCCTCCACCTGGGCCTCCAGGCCTCGCTTGGACTTCTCCAGCTCGTGGACCTGCCATCAATATTTTTTCTAAATTAACTACAATATTTTAGTGTAACTACCAAACAGGAATGAGACCAGTCCAACCATGCTCTTACTAATTAAAAATCCAGTAGTCAGTGGAGACCCTAAAGAATCATGTGTGTGGCACAATCAGTGACATTTTAATGAAATGATATTTCAGAACCCACATTTTTCCCCACATCATCCTTCGAGCTGATCAGGTCCTCCATCTCCATCCTGAGAGCCTTGTTAGCTCTTTCCAGCTCCTCTCTGGAGTCCTGGGCCTCATCTAGAGCTCTGGCCAGGGACAAAGCCTTGGTCTCCTTCTCTCTGGCCTCGGCTTCAGCTCGGTCTCTCTCATCTGCGTATTTACTGGAGATACTCTTCTCCTCAGCTAGCATCTGTTGACCAGAGAGGACAGGTCCATTTTTGGATGTAACGCCAGAGTAAATGTAAGTCGTAATGCAGCATAATACTTTTGAGGTAATAGTGATAAAAGTCATTTTACAGTTTGAGTGCGTTCATGTCAGTCTTTTGTTAAAATGTTTTAACTATGTATTGTTATGGCTTCTTGTGTTAGCAGCTTTATATCTTTATGATTTTGACCTGGTCAAACTTCTTCTGCTTCTTCTCCAGGTTTGACACGATCTGTCTCTGGCTGTCCAGGTCCATCAGCGTGTCCTCTAGCTCCTGCTGCAGACGGTTTTTGGTCTTCTCTAACTTGTCGTACGCTGAGGCCTTCTCCTCAAACTGGCCGTTTGCTGCCTCCAGATCTCTCTGCAGACGTTTCTTGCCTTCCTCCAGCAGCTCAATGTTTCCAGACATTTCCTCCAGCTTCTTCTTAGAGTCTGACAACTGCCAAACAGAAAAAATAATTTAAGAGAAAATACAGCTTCTGTTTGTTTAGAGTTTTTTTTCATCCTGTCATGCATACTGTATACTTGTTCTTCAGACCTCCCACTTACAGTTAAACCTCACTGTACTCTTTTTTTTCTTCCATTGTGTTTTCTTCTTGATTTCACTACCTATTCTAAATAACCCTTTGAATATTAAAGCCCTAGCTATGATTCTGACCTGAATGTTAAGGGTGGACACATGTCTCTCCACGTTCCTCTTGGCCTCCGTCTCCTCTTCAAGCTGCTCCTGCAAGCTATTCTTGTCATCTTCGGCTTGCCGCAGCTTTGCAGAGAACTGCAGTTTCTGACGCGTCTCTTCAGCCAGCAGTTCCTGTAAGCAGCACACCAGGTTAATCTATAACCAACACTGTGAGGTATACTTACAAATGATATTTGGATTAACAGTCCAGTTACCTGTGTGTCTTGGAGTTGGGAGGAAAGGCTGGACACATCTTTGCTCAGTTTGATGTTCTTTCCTTCTGCTTCATTCAAAAGGTTTGTCACACTCTCCAATTCAATCTTTAAGAAGACAAACACAAGATTAACGAGAAGCTTATATTCCTGCATATCAGTGTGGTAGCAAATGTTTTGCTCTTTATTTTGTATTTTGTAGAGTACTGATGGAACTACTCATTTACAGTGACTTTATTGCAGCGCTCTCCCAGCTCGGCCTTTTGCTTCTCGCTGTCATTGAAGCGTGACTGCAGATCTGCCATCTGACCTTCCAACTTCTTCCTCTTGTGCTCTCCATCTTGTTTGGCTTGAGCGAGTGAGCGCACCTCAATGGTTAGTTCTGATGTCTCTTTCTCCAGAGCTTGTTTAGCTTTTTCCAGATTTGACTTCACCTGAGTGGAAGAGAGAAAACTCAAGATTAGTATCCTACACATTTATAGGAAAAGCATCGCAGTTAACTTTTAGAAACAGAATCAAGATCAATAAAAAAAATCTAAATAACACCTCAGCATTAAGGGTAAAAACACTAAAAACCAATGCAGGCCTACTCGTTTGGACTGCTCCAGCTGCTCTGTGAGCTCCTCAGTAGACTGGGTGTGTTTCTGTCTCATCTCCTGTATCTGAGCTTCATGGGTCCGGTTCTCGTCTTCGATGGCTCTCTTCAGCAGATTCACCTCTTGCTCACGTTTGGCCCTAGATCAATGGTTGATATGCATGTTTATCATATTCTACAAATACAACAAAGTTGGCACCTCTGTCTTCCACCTTGACTGTATGAAAGCCAGCACAACCAGGGGATATTTATTTTTTTAGAAGTGTGTCATTTCTCTTATATTCATATTGTCAATAAATCTATGGACTTTTTCATTTGTCAGTATTTCTTGACTGACCTTAGTTCCTGCTGTGTGGCAGTGGTGTCCAAAGTATCCTCTAGCTCAGACTTAAGAGCCTCTAACTCCTCCCCAAGGTCCCGTTTGATCTTCTCCGCCTTGTTCCTAGCCGCCCGCTCAGAGTCCAGGTCTTCCTGCAGGTCAGAGATGTGTCCCTCCAGCTCTCTGATCTTCTTCAGAGCGTTGTTCTTCTGAGCTGTCTCATCTTCTAACCTGAGAGGAAGAAGCAACAAGAAGGATATTTGAAAGCATGATAGAATGTTTTTTTAGGGTACAATTGTTGATTGATGGACTTGGTGATTTCAGGTGTATTCAATATCAAATCTGTAAATCAGGGCTATTTTTTGCAATTTGTCACTTCACCTTGCCAATGCGTTCTGTAACTCCTCCTCCTTCTTTGCTAGCTGGGCTTTGAGGTCAGCGATCTGGGCCTGCAGGTCGGCTATCTGCTCTTGCAGGTCACTGGATTCTGCTTCCAACTTACGCTTGGCCTTATCAAGCTCCTGTCGACCCTTCTCTTCCTTTTTCAAGCGGACTTAAAGTAAAGAGAGAGATAACAATTTGCATAAATATTTTTCTGAACTGAAAATATTGCATTTATTGCAGCTTTGATGCATGACAAATCCTTAAAAAGAGACTACCTTCTAGTTCAGAGATCATAGACTCATGTTTATTTTTCAGCTTGGTGAGGTTCTTTGACTTCTCTTCTTCCTCTGCAAGGTTTGTACTGAAGTCTGCAATCCGCTCCTCCATCAGCTTCCTCTCCTACAAAACACTGAACTGGTAAGCTATTTTCCACTATCTTATGATGGCCTCTTGGACTATGTTGGTTCTTTTTTTTTTACCTTGAGCAGCTTGTTGTTGTGGTCCTCCATCACCAGGATGTCATCCTCCAGCTTTTTGACCTTCCCCTCACAGGTGACCTTCTCCAGCTGTAGCTTTTGACGGGCATCTTCTTCCTCCTCCAGATGTTCTTCCAATTCCTTTTAGAAGAAAACTGTAGCTTCAGTCAATGCTGCTAATTCATCCCATTATCAAAACTTACAGAGCTGAGCATAGAAAACAGCAATGAACAGATATGCAGACCTGCATTTGCTGTTGCATTTTCTTCTTATCCAATAACAGCGTCTGAGCACGATCTTCCTCTTCATCCAGCCTCGCCTCCATCTCATGGAGAATCTCCTCCAACTCCTGTTTCTTAGCTGCAAGACGAACTCTCATCTCCTCAGCCTCGGCATACAGCTCTGTCTCTGCTTGAAGCTGCTCCTGCAGCGCGTTCCTCTCCTCCAAGACCTGAAGGAAACAGACAGGAGATCATCAGGCTCTGCTTTATTGTCTGCAGATTTGTGGTAGACCTTTTAAAGAAGTTTTCTTGAGGCTTTCAGTCCTGTGTTAAAAAAAATACTGGCAAGTGCTTCAAAAAAGATACCTGGACATAGTTTAACTGTAAGAGTAATGTAATCGGAGATGTCACAACTGCTTCAGATTTTGTTCCTTACCGATGTGTGTTTTAAGGTGATCTCCTTCAGTTCAGATTCAACCTTTAGAGCCACTTCTTTGGCCTTCGTCAGCTCTTCATCCTTCAGACTCATCTCCTCCTCCTGTCGGGTCACTTGCAGCAGAGGCTTGACCTGTGGATCAGAGGGATGGGAAACACCACATTGTTAGAACAATTTTGTAAAGTAAAGTATTACATAATATGTTTACAGATGTTTTGTAAACAAATTCAAGGTTGAACATGTTTTACTATGCTGAAGGATTTACAAACCTTTGTGAAGAGCCTCCACCACTGCCAGTTCCTTAGTTTGAGGTAGGCAGCACAGTTCCTCTGAATCACTTTCATGGCTGTCAGTTGCTGTTGTCTCTTGGCAAATGCCCTTTAAATGTACAAAAGTGATACCAATGTACAATATTTAATATAAAGCAAAGAAAAATAACTTCTGAGAAAAACTTCTACACAGCAAACTGGGCTACTAATCTGCCTAAAAAGTGAGCTTTACGGAATGAAATGCGCCCCAAAACATGCCCAATAAAAGATGTCATATGCCATGGGAGGTTTATATATTCATACTTTCTTGCCAAGAAGCCTCTAGCCTGGGCCTGGAAAGCAATGATGACCACTGTGATCTTCAGATCTCTTTCCTCCTCCAGCTGGGCCAGCACTCCTGTGCGAAAGAACACCTTGCTCTGTCCGATCCTGTACAGGTTGGGGTCCAAGTCTAGATGCTTGATCTAAATCGACAGGAGATCAGTTAAGAAAGGAGGCTTATGCAGGGGAAAAATATACAGACTTCATGTAAATGTCAATTTTCAATTATCATTGAGGATAATGATCAGCTCAGGTGTTTACCATGAGGCAACAGGCCTGTTTGCCATCCATGAAACCTTTGGGGATAGCGTTAGCAGCAAGGATCTCATAGCTATCAGACAGGACAGAGATAGAGAGATGTCATGCTTTTGTGGTGAGAAAGGTTCACAGAAACATAACAAAGTAGCTCAGACTTTATAAGGTAGTGGGTCACCTAAACATCTACTCACCGCTGGCGGAACTCCTGGAAAACTATTCTATTGGGAAATCCTTGTCTGCAGATTCTGATCCCCTCCAACACACCGTTACACCTCAGCTGCTCTAGGACCAGGTGAGCATCCAGCTTCCCTGCCTGAGGAGGACATGATTTTTTTATATTATGGAAATACACATATTGTAAACCACTAAATACTAAGGAATTAATGCATTATGTTTTTCCCCGTTATTTAATTTATGTTATGAAGAATTGCATAGTCTAGATGATTTAAGCAAAATAAGAAGATGGGACTTTCTTTCACATTTTAAAAAACATACATCTAGAACTGAACTGGTGAACCCTTCAGAGTAACAGACAGCTGGTGACACTAAGTGCATCCTAGACTGTTTTTTATCATGTGGATTCTGACATGTCCCCCAATGTGTCCAACAGATCGCATCTTTTTCATTCGAGACACAAGTGTTGATGACTTTGCACTTTTCATTACCCTCTTCTCGTGGTTGGGGATGATGCATCTGACAAAGTTGGGCTGGGTGTTGTGCAGTGTGGTCATAAGTTTGGCCAGAGACTCTTTGTAGAGCTGTCCCACTGTGCGGAACATTCCCTTCTTGGTCTTCGAGCCGCTCGGCATGGAGCTGTCTGTCATCTTGGCTAAAGTGTCAAGACCCACCACTCTGTCAGCTGAAAAATACAACACATTATTGTATACCTATAGCAAGGTAACAGTTCGTAAGTGTACATACATTAATCTGATTGAACCATTTTGTTTCTATGGAAACAAGAGAATCTAGAGGAAAATCAGTGCGTTGTATCCAGCCTAATGATATCAATGTTCTCTGGTTTGATCTGCTGGATGGTTTTCTTTTTTTATACTCTTATAAGGAGTAATCAAACTCAGAAATGTTTAATTTCAACTCCAAAGTGAGATGTATACACCTTTCATTTGATCACCAAATACAGCGTTTCTATTCAATTTGAAAACATTATTAAAGTGTTAGTTATCAGAAACCAATATGTTGCACTGTCCCTGCGCTGAAACCCCTGATTTATTAATTTAACATGGTTGTAAATAACTGATCCTACTTTAAATAATTTAAATATGAATGTCACCCATTGTTTGTAAGCTATGATTGGTTAAACCAGAAATGTCAGATTTCTCACCATCTTTCCAGAGGTCTTGCACAAACTGGCTGGAGGAGTTGCTGAGCAGCGTTGTGACATTGTCATTCAGAGGGTCCATATTCTTTGTCAGCCAAGCTGTGGCATTATAGTCCACCTAGAAGCACAATAAAGCCAATGCTGTTTGATCTTCAATGAAACGTAGAGTCATACAATATTAAAGTGGTCATTGGTCATCAGTGGCTATTACTCAACATGAGCATATGGGAGATTTTTGAGACCATACTGTGCTTTTATATTAAACATGTTGCACCATACTTACCTTTCCAGCATAATGTAGAAGCGAAAACTCTGTCTTGTCTTTCAGCTGCTTAGGCTTAGCAAATTTCACATGGCTCCTTGGGTGTTCATAAGTTTCTCCACAAAGGAGACGTCTGTGGCTTTAGGGAACCAACACTCTTCATCCAGCAGGGCCAGGACGCCTGGAGGGTTGTTCTGCAGGAAATATGCAATGATAACAGATTCAACAATTTCATGAAATGCATAATAACAAATCCCAAAATACCCACACTGGGCAGGAGAATTGTGTATATAAATGACAATTTTCTTTTTTTCCTCAAAGCAACTCACGGGTCTCTCAATGAGCTCGATGCAGGGCTGCAGGTCCAGACCAAAGTCAATGAAGTTCCACTCGATGCCCTCCCTCTGGTACTCCTCCTGCTCCAGGATGAACATGGTGTGGTTGAAGAGCTGCTGAAGCTTCTCATTGGTGTAGTTTATACACAGCTGCTCAAATGAGTTGTCCTGCAACATGAAAAAAAATCCCGAAAAATTACATACACGAGCAGAGATGTTTGTTAATCGTTTGTGTTTAATAAGCGTCATGATATAAAACAGTTTGTTCTAAAGAAGCTCTTTTTGATAAGTGTATTTAAATAACTAGATGATTTGGCACTGAATAATTAAAACTGATTGATTGACTGATTGATTCACTGAATTAGTTTCTGATTTATCAGTGATGAGCGTGTCCATACCTCAAAGATTTCAAAGCCAGCAATGTCAAGTATTCCCAGGAAGGAAGCTCCCTGGCGTTTGGTCTTATCCAGGGCCTTGTTGACTCGGGCCAGGATCCAGCGGAACAGTCTCTCAAACACAGCTTTAGCCAAAGCTTCAATAGCAAAGTCAGCCTAATGAATAGAAACAAAGCACAAAGGAAACATCTGATAAGAGATCAGAATTACGTATTTTGTTTAAACCCAGTTAAGACATTTGGGAAGCGTTTCATTAAATGCACTATTTGTTTTACTTGTTCATATGTTTTTACACTCTGCGCTCTTCCTGTACTACCTGCTCTTTGGTCTGAGCCTTCTGCACCACCTCCCTGCCCACTTTGATACGAGGGGTGAGGATTGCACGGGTAAAGTCTGTCACGTTGATACCCTGTAGGTGACAGACTTTCTGAGCGGCTAAAGAGAGAGAGAGAGAGAGAGAAAAACATGTTGGTGCACTTCACACAAGCATGTTTATTTTAATTTGAATGTTTCTAATATTGAAAGGTTTTGGGTTTCTAACCAGTGTTGTCAGGCATAGTGGCCTGCTCCTGATTCCTTTCTTTTTTGAACTCAATGTTTCCCAGCTGCATGACTGTGGAGCACACCTTCATGATATCTAACACCAAGGCAAATTAAAGTTAGAGAAATAGCAGTGGCACCTTACATTATCCAACTCCAAGCAGTCTATCCGACTAGCCAAGATCAAAGTTGTAACTGATACCGGTTCTCTCTTCCTCAGTGAGGCCCATGATATTCATGGCCTCCATGGTCTCTTCGTACAGTTCATTGTCTTCCTGGCCTGTGATCTGAACGTGGCCTGAGCTCAGGAAGCGGTAATTACTGAATGGCTCCAAAAGAAGCTCCTCTGAAAATAATAAGCACAACACGCATCAGTGAATGACTTTTCATCATTATTCTTGTTTTCTTTACAACTCGTGAATGTTTTTTCTTAAAGATTTTTATTTTGGGCCATTTTTGCCTTTATTAGACAGGACAGCCGAGCAGAGCCTGAACATTTTAGGGAGGAGAGAGTGGCGACATGCAGCAAAGGGCAGAGGTCAGATTGGAAACCACAGCCATTGCAATGAGGAGTATATCATCTTTACATGGGGCACGCATCATAACTATAACCCATGATGGTCAAAGTAAAGAAAACTGTGATCATATCAACATATACATAACGAGTGTATAAAAGAGGAAGCAGAGTGTATGTATGAACTCACCACGCAGTTTGTCCTTAGCACCAGCAATCATGTAGTAGAAGATGTGGAAAGCTCTTTCTGTCTTTGCTTGTCTGATACAGCGAGACTTCTCCAGCAGGTCTGACAAATGCAACTGTTAAAGACACTAACAAACCTTGTTTGCTCTCTAAAGGATCAGCATATTCATTTCTATTCAGCCACATATGAAAATCAGACTACAATGTTAAAATAAAAAAAACATATTGTAGGTTAACAGCCTGACAAATGTGCTCTACCGATAATTAAAACATTTTCCCAGACTAAGAAAAACAAGAGAACACATGGTCAGGATACAAGTCTCAATATTGGCTCCAACGATGTAGCCAGTCACATCAAAGTTGATACGGATGAATTTACCCTGTAAGAGAGTTCAGAAGAGAAGATGTTACAGTACACAGTTGTATGTAAAACAAAACAGAGTGAAATGATATTGATCAAATAAAGTTGCTTGATATAGTGAAAAAAACAATTCTTTGATACAGGAAACTGCAAACTCACAAATCGGGAGGAGTTGTCATTTTTGATGGTCTTGGCATTTCCAAAGGCCTCCAGAATGGGATTGGCCTGCAAAAGCTGCTTCTCCAGCTCCCCCTAGTGACAACAGTAATATGCATAAACATCAGCATTATACACTTCAAGGTTGCTTGGCATGGAGGGGCAGTAGGTAGTGATTGGTGGGGATAAGGTTTAGAAGGTTTGGGTTGGAATTAGTTAAAAGAGGTTCATCAGAATATTATCACTGATGTGTGAAGAACAAGATGAAGGATTTAGTGGCCTTAAAAACATTAAATCAACTTCTAAGTGATCGGTAATAACAAGTAAAACTAAATCTATAATTAGCTTTAAGACGACAACATAATTCCTCAGTAAGTAGCTTTCTTTAATATATTTTGTTATGGAAGAAGGACTCCTATGTCAGTTTTGGAAGAAATTGTAAATGAGGAAAAGCCCCTCTGATTATGAGGTAAGAGAGGGAGTGAGGTTATTTGAGGTTGGGTGAGGTGTCACACTGATGTACAAAGAATAAAGAAAGAAGAAGAGTGATATTATTTATTTTGTCAGAAAATTAAAATGATTTGGATTCACAAACAGTCCTTTGGGGATATGATTTGCTTCCAGCGTGACTGCAGAGCCCGGTGGGTGGAGGTCGGTAAATGAGGCAGACACCCTGTCACTTTGATTGAGCTAATCCACCTGATCAAAGAGGCCTGTGTTAGCTTAGCATCAAGGTCAGGTGCTGTGGACTCCTACCTTAAATACTCTCTCCCTAAAAGAAACTGCCTTCACCTACCCTGTAAATGAGCTAAAGCCACAAAGAGGTGAAGGTCACGACTTGTGTTAACATTGACTTAAAAAAAGGAAATGATCAGATGAAAGCAAGGGTAAGTTAATCAGCACATGATCAGGCATTTGTGATTTTACCAAGCTTGATTTGGAGTTATTATTGAGGATGGTTAATTTAAGGAGAAGGTAGTCATTTAACACAAGGTTTTGTGATTAAAAAAAAAGTCAAATCTATTCTAAACATTGAAGATACAGACCAGCTGAAGAAGTGTAGTTGAGAGTTGGCAGAGCAGAGAGGAAGGTCTTGTTCATTTGAGCCACTGAAGAAAAGACAGAAGAAAAGAAGGAGAGACATAGAGCAAAGAAATGGAAAGAAAGTGATCCTTGATAGGGAAGGTTTTTTCAAAGGCCATTTTCAAAATGAGACACACAAGAACAAAGTTAAGAAGTTGCTAGCTGAGTAAAACAGTGCCTAAGGAGTTGGGAAAGTGAGAGCAAGAAAAGGGGTCATCCAAATGCTATTTCTGTTCAGCTAGGTCCATGGGAGAGCTGAGGTCCTACTGAGGACAGCAAACTGTTCAGGGTTTCCTCTGGGGTCTTGAGCGTGAGTAGGGTCAATGACAAAAGGAAGCCTTGCTTTATCCCCCAAATGGATGCTTCTGATACCTTCACCAGCACCAGAGCAACACAACAAACCTTCCACATGTATTCAGGAGCCAAGAGCACATTTTAGCATGTTCGGGGTCAAAACAGTCTCAGATGCAAACCAGGCCCTGTAGATACTACAGGACCAGTCAGTCTATATTACACTAAGAGGCAAATGACAGGTGGAGGAGGCTGAGGAGGAGAGGGGGAGGAGGAGGGGAGGGGGGGGGTTGTTGTAGTGTTTTATAGATAAGTACAGGACATGGGCATGCTCACACTGTGCTCTTTGTTCTGTGAGAGACCCTTTTACTGCCAGGGAGCCTACAAACTCATCTCCGCTGGCAGTGAGAGGGTGATCAGGAGAAGATGGACGACACAAAACTCCACATATTAAACCATCTAAGGAGTATGCTAACACTAGACTTCCTTTATTGAACATTCGGTTTCATTCAGTTTTGAGAAGTACTATGATCATGGTCATGCAGTCTACGTCACTTTTGTTATAATAAGCTCTAAGTCTACGACAGTAAGATCCGAGGATCTTGACCCTTTATGTAAGAAAATAATTAAAAAGGAAAAAACTAAAGTTTATTGGGATAACTCAGTGACACTTGCTTCATGCATTTTTCTATCCTAATGAAAGATCACACACAAACAGCACACACAAAAACACACTCCAGGTTTCCCCTTTACTCACGTAGGCAAACTGTGCTCCTGATTGTTGCTATTTGGAGGAAATGGCGATATACAGGATTAAACTGAGCAGTTACCTACATATGTTGGAGAGTGAGGGAACTGGCTGACAGATCCAAACGTTTTATACGACATCATCTTTTTACACATATACTTACAGCACTGCTGTCCTTCTTGCCTTTATGTGAGGAGGCCACAAGAGCCAGGTACTGGATGACCTTCTTGGTGTTCTCTGTCTTCCCTGCACCAGACTCTCCTCTGCAGAGGAAACAGTGAGAGGGGGATTAGACGATGCAGAAGAAGAATAGTGAAAGGGAACATGAAGATAAGAAGCAAAGACAGGTACTCTGTTCACAGTTCAATAAGCCAGTTTAATTGAATAGAAATCATGTGCAGCAGATAGCTGCACCACCGTCTGACACTAAGCATAATGTTATTGTTCAGTCTGTGTACTACACACTGATCCCTGTGTGCCCAGATCCTCTTACCAACTATCAGAATCCTGAGATTTTAGGTGAGAATGGGATTTAAAAATGTAACATTCTTATATTAAGGCTGAAAAGAATCAAATTGCAGACAGCAAGCCCGGCTTTTCATTTAAAGATTGTCTTTGCATGTCTTGCTTTTTATGACTGTATATTGTAGAGGGAAGATAAAAAAATAGAAATAGATAGAAGATAAACTAAAGTTTCATATCAGACCAAAACTAACTGCCTGACACTTAATTGCAACCGCATGTATTAAACTTTGATAAATCTTTTCTTATATTGAATAACTATTAGGGATATTGTGACGGATGCCCTCAAACTAATCAGAAGTAAAATATGTTCCATCGTGTAAAATAAATTCATGTCTCTTTTTTCATGCAGAGGCAGGAACACATTCCTTTCAGAAAACAAACTTGGATATTTAGAAAGACAAAGTTGACTGATACCAGAGCCACCAGCCAGCAGTCCACCAAACAGACAAATCCTCAGACACCAGTCCATAAAAGGCCTGGGATGCTCCCTGTGTTAGGGCTTGGCAGCTCTGAGAGGAGTCTAATTACTTTATCTTGTTCGGGTTTAGTCAGAAAATAATACAGCCAGGATCCTCCTGTAGTCAGCTGTTCACAATAAATTCTGATGAGCAGCTATCTCTCCAGATGTTCTACCAACAAGTCTCTTCCTGTGTGTTAACTATACCGTTTTTACTATCTGAGAGGATAGAATTTATAAGATTATATTTTGCAGATGCTAACAGTCAATTTTGAAATTTTTTCCTTTAAAAATAAATAAATAATATATGTAGTCTTCTTTGAGTTTTCTTTCAGATTTTGCGATGGAGCAGACTTTTAATTAAATGGTTAGACACAAATTTAAGAACAACAAAAACTTTTCTTTTGCAGAAAATCCAACATTCTAGGAAGCTAAATTAAGATGATCCCCCTTAATTCAAGTTATTCAAGTTGGGCCCTCAACAGGGTCAGTGAAGACTGTGAATCTGAACAACATCCTGCAAATTCATAGGCGCACTGTCCATTCCATCAGTGCAGTCTGTTACACACACACTTGAAGATTATTAGACCACGGAAACTAGTGACCCTGCTGAGATGCAAAGTCAACATTTCAAGAATGGATTTAGTCGGCCCCTAGCTATTTCCCATGGCAAATTCTTGCTACTGGGTGGAGAAAAATGAGGAATATAATCACTGCTAGGATTACCAGAATAAACTCAGTGACCAGAAATATTAGAAACACGTATATGCTAAAGATGTGCGGTATAATAGCTCAGGAATGTGTGCAACATGTTAATATTTTTGTTGACACTGTATTAGGGAGGGGCCTCTTCAATTACACGATTATTCTTAATATTTATTAAGTGGTGATGTTGTTCAAAAAGTCATTCATAACTTTTTGAAGAACGATTCAAATCTCCATCAAGACTTGTACTGACAGTTATATTATAAAAGTCGCTCTTTATGCACTGACGTTTTGAGTAGGGGTACTTGGAATACCTACATTGCATGCCTACCTTTAATATACCATCAACATAATTAAATTTTTTCTCATGAGTGAAGTCAAGACAGGAAATCATAAAAATTCTGCTACACAAGTATCCAGTAAAATACTAATAACTAATATCACTGAGCTTCTTCTCAACTTTATGCAGCAAAGATGCAAAGCCTCTATAGTGGAATGCTGTTTAAACAATATCACCAAAAAACAACATACATGCCAGAGCAATTAAACACGTGTACACACACATGCAGATGGAGAATGTCATGCATGACATTCCATGAAACATTTCTCCCATATATGGTACCGGAGGCCTGCAGAGACTAAGAGCAGCTGTAGCTCAAAGTGAAATCTTAAGGTGTCTTTATGGACCTGACTATTGCTTTGAATTGTTTAAATAACACTTTATTGATGTCTTCTCACATTAGCATTAGCCATTCTTCATGTTCGCAACTGCTTGTAACATACTGTAAACCACTGAGGAAAAGGAATAAATACTACCAAGCTTATCCAGAATTTTGATCATGAAAGCTTGATTGTTGAGGAAATAATCTGATGTAATCAAAGACTTGACTGCATCCTTGCATCTGTTCTGTAAACTTTGAAAGAGCCTTGAGGGTGGAAGAGCTCTTTTTTTTTTCAATTCCTTTACTGGAACAACTGAATCCTCAGCAGCAAACATGCACTCAAAACTTTTGCAGTGAATACTGCAATCTGTACGGTGACCTTAACCTGCTTGCTACTGATACTACTCAGTTAATTTAGTGGAGGGAAAAAAATAGACGGCACAGCAGATCCATGTAAGGTGCTGATAAAATACGTATGCTGTCTTATTACTAAATTTAATTATATTGAGTCTATACTTTTTGGTTGGTGCATAAATATCCTCCCTCTCTAGAAGTATCCATTCAACGAAGAATGCATGAAGCCCATTTTAAGTAAGACTGGACAGAGACAGATAAAGAACACAAGCCAGTGAGATGTACAATATGAGGAAGTGGAAAATGAGTTTGCAGAGAACAGCCAGAGTGGCAGTCGTTACTGGAAAAGAAAGGAGTATTTAAAATCAGAATTGAAACAGGAGTAAGGTCACTTAAAGAGTAAAGGACAAACAAATTCATGTTTATGGTGAATTAAAGTCCAGTCCAGAGATTTTACTGCAGCCTTTTACTGCCAGACAACAGATGCTCTATCACTGACTGTAGGAAAGCCCTGTTAAAGTTCTAAATAATTAGTTTAAAAGAAATAAACAAACACAATGGAGCCCAAACATTTGGGAAGCTTATCTGGTTCTCCCATCAGGATGTAGGGCATACTTCCTGACCGAGGGTCGAAGAGGAGAACGAGGCTACAACCCTTTGGGAGTACTCATCCAGAGTGGCTCCATTTGAATACAACAAGACTGCAACATAACGTGACAAACTACAGCTTTCTGTCTTCAGCCTGCAACATCATCTAAAAATGAACACTCTTCAATGATATTTACATGTTGATCCTGGGTGCTGAGAGACCGGAGAGGTATCTCATTTGTTTAACTCTGTGTTTATGCAAGCATTATGTAACTGTTCTTTCACACACACACGCACATGCACGAACACATGCACGCACGCACGCACGCACACACACACACACACACACGCACACGCACGAACACATGCACGCACGCACGCACGCACGCATGCACGCACACAAACACACACACACACACACACACACACACACACACACACAAAATCTTCTTTCTAGTATTAATAAGGAGTCCAGGAAAAAGGTTGAGGAAAGAAGACAGAGTGGTAGTTTGGAGGTGATGATTTTTGCTTACGTGCAGAGAATGGACTGATCCTCACGATCTGTTGACACAAAGAAAGTTAACAGTCTTAGACAAATTCATGAAAACATATACAGTGAGTTAAAAGTTCAGTACTGATACATTCCTCAAAATGATGTTGGAATTAAAAAACATCTGAAAAAAAACATAGTGCAAACATTCTATTGTTAGGTATTATGATTGAGCATCCTGTTTTTCTTCTTCTTGAGGTCACCATGCACAGTGTTTCACTGAATGACTATTTGTCATATTCCATATGAAACCATGTGCATTTCTCCAGGAATAAATATAAACCTGTTGCTACAATTAAACAACCAACTGGGACTCTGTGTAAAGTTTAAAGAAGGGTGTGTTACAAGTAAAAGCTCCCACAAAATCTTAGATTTTCAAGCTTCAAATTCAACTTTGAATGTGCTGAGCAATGAGTCATCCAATAATACTCCAGGGAGAATACATTGAGCCCATGTAGGGCTCTTTTGTAACAGCATCCTCCAATAAAAAAAAAAAACTACCCTGGGGGAGTACGTTGAGTACATCTGGTAGAAAAGATAACTTTTGCACATAAAACCTCCCAGAGCATGGCAGTGTGAAACTGCACTGCAAAAATGATCAAATGTGGGGGGAAAAGCGCATCACAGACCACGCCATCAATCATTCATTTTCAAACGGTCACACACATTCACCGTATGTAGCTGTCCCTGAACTGTAAACTAGAAGTGATGCATTTCCTCTGTTTGGACTCTGACTGTGGCTGCTGTTCCATTTGTTAAATTCCTTACATACACACACAAAATGCAGACTGTTCCCTCTCTGCACTTCCTAATTAAGGCAGATGGAGCAAGAGAGAGAGAGCGAGAAGGAGAGAGAGTGTTTAGATGGTTGGGAAGAGTTGGGAGCTTTTGTAAAACGTCCAAAAACAACACCCAGTCTTGCACCAGTGACTTTGAGTAAAGTTTTTTTTTGTCAAAATTGATAATATGTTATTGACACTGGTTTAGCCATGTTAAGCAAAATCAGACCTGAGAGTGTCTGTGTCTTTCACCTGTAAGAAGCACTGTAAACACACTCAGAGCACTGAAAAAAAACAAAACACACCAGTCATCTGCTGCATGGGACAAAAACTGCCTGTGGGAATTTCACATCTTGATCTTAGAAAACACATCAAACATCAAAGACTGAGGCACAGTTTTGGAGGAATTGGATCTCAGCCAAGATTGCAGGGAGAATGTTTTTAAAGCTTAGGAGAGTTATCCGGATTTGCTGTAGTTATGCCCCACTTCCACTCTAATATGTGAACTGTTGATGCAGTAACATTAAGTGTAGAACAGCCTGCATCATTAGTCACTACTTCATGGGAAATCCCACTGAAGCATCAACAATAACAACTCTCTTCATCTACAAGGTTGTATAATAAAGGCTTAGATAGGGTTAAGAGATGTGTAGTTTAAGTCTTAACCTTTTGGTTTAGCATTTTTGCGACGATAAGACTTTTATCCCATCTTTACGTTTTGGAGTGCTTGGATATATATTATTCTGTGTGGAAAAAAAGCGTGTCTGTTCAAAAACTGTTTTGAATTTGTCTTGGTTCTTAAAGGCAGCTTGAAGAAGTGATTTTAAACTAAATTAAAATCACTAAATTAAAACTTTATAGATGGTAAACAAACTTAATCAGCAGCTTGTTACTGTATATCATGAACCTAAACACATTTCTGTTAGTTTAGTGTGCTGATGGGTGGTTCTGTGTTTGATTGTACCATAAACTGAAAACGGTCTCCACTTCTCAGCTGTATGGATTCCTCTGATGGAGAAAAGTAATCCAAACACTCACGCCAACACCAATGAATCCTCCCTTTACTTGTTTACTTGAGACACTGTGTTTACACACAATAACTGCAGCAGTCAGTACAATCATTTCCTGTGGGCTGGCGTGATGGAGCTTAAAATCAGCCTCAGCACAAATATTGCATTCATTACTATGGACACACACATAATCAACATTACCAAAACCCCAAATAGATTTGGAATAATCATGACTAAAATGCAAAAGATTTCATCAAACCATCTTGATTTTGGAGTGATGCATTGATCTCTAATGTCATGAGTGTCTATAGCGGTGAGTTTAAACTAGCAGATGTAAACTTAGTTGAAGTATGTATTTGATGTCTGCCACCACCACTAGTTAGTTATGTCCGCTCTCCTCACTGCCAGAGAGATTGAAAGGATAACCCCCCCCCCTTCTTTGGAGCTCTCTAAACAGTTGCTTCCTAACTTAACTGTAGATCCTGTCCAAACACCCCCCTTCATAGGAAAACAAAACAAACCAAAAAGATATTAATACAGTCTTGAAAAGGCGATTCCTGTCTTGCATGGTGGAACAAAGTACTTGTCTCTGTTTGCTGGAACAGGAAATGTTTTACTGCCCTCCACCCATCTCTCAATCCAGATGTCAACTCCTCTGAGAGTAAATCATCATGTCAACATGAAGTCCAGTGGGCACGACCCCCCTGGCAGAACAAGAAACGGATTCTATGGGAAAGCAGCCGCTCGCAAGTCGTACCACTCTAGGATTTTCCAAGAGCCATTTACTGTAAGCACGACTCTGCCAAGGCCAGTGTTGTCACCTATACGAGACATTGACTCTCTAATAGGCCATACAATACTCATTTAGATTTTAATACACTCTGGTAAACCAACTTACAGTTGAACCTTCAGCAGGCAGGTTGAGCTCTGGGGTGGATTTTGGATTGTGCAGAATAATAAACACAGTTCTGCATTTTAAACTATCAGCCTGACAGCAGGGGCCAGTTTGAGGTTTTTATCAACCACTTTGTTAACATGACAGAGTTAAATGCTGACAGCTGTCATCACTCAGACAAACGTTAGACTCCTGACAGCTGTAACCACAGCAAAACCTCACCTGACCTTTATAGCTTCATGCAAACACAACAAGAATAGATGCTTCAAGAGCACATACTTACACATCATTTCCCTCTTGTCTGTGTGAATGGTGTCCTTCAGTTGCACCAGTTCACATGTTGACAATCATTTTTTTATTTAATTCATTCAGTTTAAGTTATTAGATGCTGCAGTCTTTAACATGATGTACTGGATGGAGAGTTACTCTTGACAGGTTATTCAGTTTATTTATTGTAACCGTTCATGTAATTTGCACTTGAACACTTAAATAACAGAAAAGTCCCACAAAAAAGACAAAGACTAAGTATGACTTTGCATCACAGGATTATAAGAAAGGTAGATATTAAACCTGGGAGAGATAGAGATCTCTTACCTTGCATCATGTTCCTGTAAGCATTATCAGCGATGGAGTAGATGTGAGGGGGGACTTCATGTCTTTTCTTGCCTTTGTACATTTCAATGATCTTCTCTGAGTAAATTGGCAGCATTTTATAGGGGTTCACCACCACGCAGAACAGACCAGAGTACGTCTGAGGGGAACAACCAAGAGGAAGATGCACATGTGTAAAGACTGACATAAGCAATTAAATGACTGTCAAAAATATAGTTGGACGATGGCAGTCTTTGCCCGTCCAACATTTCAGGTGTCACACGTGTGATTGAATGACTGTGGGAGCATTTTAAATGATTTTGCTGTATACTTACATAAATAAGGCCAGAGAAGTACCTCTCGCGTATATTGTGCAACACAGATGCTTCGTTCAGGCAGGTGAGCTCGGCCATGTCCTCAACCTTGCTGAACTTGGGAGGGTTCATCTTCTGAATGTCATCCTTGTTGACCGTCATCTTCTTGGCATTGTCAGCCAGCTCAACCAGCACCTCATCGCCGTGCTCCTCCTTGATGCTGGCCGCCTCAAAGCCATGCCTCTCCGATGGGATCCACACCAGCTTCTTGGCCGACCAGTCGGCTTGAGCCATCGGGCTGTTCAAGAAGTCTTTGTCTACGAAGAGGAACTTTTCGTCCTCGCTCGGGGCCTTCTTGGACATCTTTGGTTAAGGTGGAGGGCCAACTGTTTGGGGGAACACATATTTTGTATATTTAAAAAGAGTCATTGATATAACAAGCAAAGACAGAAGAGAGGCGGAAAGAGAGGAAGGAACTAAAGAAGGAAAGAGCCAATGTACAGTAAGAGGAAACAAAGGAAAGTGGAAGGCAGGAAGTAGATAAAGATGAGAGGGCAAGAAATGACCAACCAATTTATGGTTTACATTTAACAGGACGTGAAACTACAGTATATGTTACAGCAACAATCAACACCTCAAACTTTTTAATACACATAAAAGATCAATAAAAACCCTGCTCCAGTCCCTTATCTGTTTCTCTTTTTGGGTTCAAGACAGTTAATTCACAGGGTAAACTAAATACTGCAGTTAAGTGATTACTCTTTGGTATAGACGACATGCTACTACAGTTGCCTCCTGTCTGTGATGATAACTCAAAGAGTTAACATGTTTCATCCATCTCAGAGTTTCAGAGTGCAGTTATTCTCACAGACCTCCACCCCCCCTTGACCCCACACTCTCACACACACCACAAGGGAGATGCACGAACAATTCCCCTCCTTAGTTTAGATTGCACGATTGAGGCTGGGAAATGGATATTTATCACCATTAAAAAAAAAAGACCAGTACATTGTTATCAACAGCTTTACATGTTATTTCCCAACCCATTAATGCTCGCTCGCTATTACTGATGGTCAATAGTTAAGTAAGTGTTTAATTGACAACATCCATTTCTCCCACGTCTTTCCCCCTCCATCTCCCCTTTCCCAGTCTCCCTGCTAGGAGGCTCCAGTCTCGTGCTGTGATGACCATATAAGGGCTCCTTCTCTGGGGCAGGACTATTTTCTGTGGACCTAAACAGCAAGGCAAGTGAACTCCCAAACAAAGCCCTTATAGGGAATAGTATGTCTCTTGCTGGCCTCGTCGTTTACTCCAAAATGATAACAGCTATGCAGAGAGCCTGAGGGGGGCGAGGGGCTTTAACAATCATGCTTCACATTGGCCCCTATCTACAATTTTTTTTTTTTTTAAATGCAATGGGTTGAGGCTGAACTATGAACAAGTGTCTGGGTCACAGACATGTCTTGGAGTGGTACCTGCAGAGGAAGCCACTGTAAACTGCAAACAGGAAGAGGGGAAGGATTTTTACTTCAACCTTACTGTTTTAAAATAATAGACAGAAATGTAGCTTTGCAGCATCTATTGCAAATATTTGATCACACTCTACACTTTATGTCTGATTGCACAATTGGTCTAGTGAGTCTAATACTACACTTAAACCATATCATAATATGATGATGGATTAGCCTTTTGAACTAAGCAATAAAACTTAGTGGTGCATGGATTACAGACACTGAGTCAATCCTGTCTGCAGGCTGTTACTTCTCCCCCCTCTCCATCTCTCTGTACACTGAGACTGGCACACGCTTTGACTGGGAACTATGTAAAAAAAATAAAATAAAAAAAAAGCTACTGACTGAGCCTCCTGAGAAAGCCAAAAAATGTACCCCGGGGTGCAGCCAAACCAAACTAAACCGGAACTCCTAAAAGATATTTCATTAATATTAACTAGAGACGGAAACAGACACTTCCTATTTTTGAAAAACTGAAGAGATAGTGGATGAGTGCAGTGAGCTGTGCATTCTTCTGAGGGAATGAGGAGGAGACCAGCTGACTCTTTGATGATCCGTTTTTTTCTGAAGATAAAAGTAAACATACTTTTCCTGACACACCCCTCCCTGTGTTCAAGTGTGTGCAGCCAATCAAGATGCATCTCCTTATCCCCTTTAACTTTCCTCAATATTCTGATTAAAACTTCTCCAAAGCATTGTCTCTCTCTCACTCTCTCTCGCTCTCTCTCTCTGTTGTGTCAACACAGTTTTAGACTCAGCCACAGTATCTAGAAGACGTCTGTCTGCTGAGGGGTTAACTGGTGAACCAACAGACAGAGACTGACAATTTAAAGGACGACAGGAGCTCACAGTCATCACAACGCTTAGTGTGTCACCACATGCATACTGACATAAGACTCAATTATCCATTCTCCTAAATAATCAACACAAATAGTGCATGAAAAGAGAACAATCTGAACGAAGATGCCACAGGAACACCAAAGGCACCACAAAAACTTACACGACCAAGCTTAGTTCAGTAAAAACTTGTATCACATTGCTCTCAAGTTTATGCAATCCTTCGCTAAAATCAGATTTTGATTCAAACATTTCACACCATATACGTTTTTTTTTCAAATATCAGAAACTTAAATTTTAAAATATATTTTTGATATTATAATAGGAGTACAAATGTCACACAGGAGACTACGTGACATTTCTATTTAAGTTGTTCTGAGGGCCTGTGAAGGATTTTACTCATTTCCTCTCTTTGTGGTTTCACAAACAATCTTCCTGTAGTCATCTCATTAACAAAGCTGCCATATTAGAATTGTAATGCCTTTTTATAGGCTTTACAATTAAGGATTGAGCCGCTTAAATGATTAAATTATAAAAACTATACACACTCATGATGTGTCACATTAGAGAAAGAGTCCTACTTGATATTAAAATACAAAACTGCCACTTGAAAACACAAATATAGCAATTACATTTTCATAGATGCTTTGATGATAAAAGAAAAATACTTTGTTCTTTGTCACGGCATTTTGGTATGTGTATCTGTCCCTGAACCTTTTTTCATCATGGTCTGGCGACTTTCCCTGTCTGAGTAGTAGAATTCAAAAATAGTAATGCTAGATGAATTACCATTTCATATGTAGACTGAAAACGGTAGGCTAATAATACTAATACTTGTTCCTTGATGTAGTCTACCATTTTGACCTGAACTAAAACATGAAACCAGTAAACCACAAAATAAATGCAAACCATCACAGTCATCAGTAATATGTTTCAGCACTCAGCACTTGACTGTGGAGAGTGGCAGGGCTCAGCTCTCATTGCAGAGTCTGCATCTTCAGCAACAGCATTTTGACAGACAGGCAGCTTTAAACCCTGCAACAGGAAACGCCATGGATAGTCATGCCTGCATCTTTACTGAGATAGGCTTTGCAGACATACTTCCCCAAACTTCTTTTTTTTTCTTCTGTAGGGTGGTGCACTAAATAAACTTTTTATTTTTTATTTTTTATTTATTTACTGTATTCAAAACCAGTTTTCTAATGCAAAAATGTAGTTCTGCATGGTTGACATGTATGAATAAAATCACTGAATAATGCCTTCTAGACCTGAGCACCTGTCTGGAACCATACAGTCAGCAGCCAACAAAAAAAAGTAATGCTAACTACACACAAAGACACACAACGATAGCAAAATAGTTTCCATGCTAAAATGAAGCTAATATGTTTATAAAACATGATGGTGGTTAGAGCATATAAGCTATAAGCTTTTTGTTGTAAATGTCTCTTCCTCAAAGACAAATGAAGTGTGAAAATGATGCGGTTTGACAAGCGCACGACACTATTCACCAGTTCCTAAAACTTGCCTCAACAGTAAATGACAGGCTATACTTACATATTGTGAAGAAAGTCGTTTTCAGGGGGAGCTGTGGACTTGGAGAGTCAGGGTTTGGAGCGTCTTGTGTTGACGAGGTACTCCAAAAACGAACAGTCCAAATGACCCCCGCTGAATTCTGAGTCTTACCATTTAAACAGCGGACTGCTGCTGCTCCGCCTCCTCCTCCAGCATCGTCCAGCTGCAGGCTGGAGGCTGAGGACATGCGCTCTGAGGACACCAGCGTCCGAGGAAGGAAATGTGATCAGTCAAGTCATGTCAAATCGAGATTATTTATATTTCATAATCATAGACTCAGTGTGTTAATGTGGTAAAGTTGACAACATACATAGTAAAAACATTATGGCCTACAATAAAAACACAAGATGAAAACATGATAAAAATGCATAGAAATTAAAATTTGAAATTAAAACAGAAACAAAATGGATTTTATTAATAAACAACTAGATTTACTCCAATCATTTAAGGTTTAGCCAAAAGCTTGTGCAAAGAGAAGTCTTCCAGAGAGAAGGCTTGTGCAAACCAGAAGACTGGTTTTTAGCAGACTTTAGACCTCAGGAATAATGAGTTATTGGATCTGAGGGACCTGTCTGGTGTGTATTTCAGTCATTTATAGATTTAAAATCCATTCAGGGAGTGATACATTCCAATGTTTTGGTTTTAGTTCAAACCCTGGCAGCAGCATTCTGAATGGAGTTTATGTAGCACCTGTTTTGTAAGTCCAGACAAAAGTGCATAATCAAGTCTAGTTGAGATGAAAGCGTGAACCAGCTTTTTAGAGTCTGACTGTGACAGGAAACATCAACTTTGGATATGTTTCTGAGATGGTAGAAGGCTGTCATTTGCTACATGTTTTTGAAAATTGAGATCAGCATCTAGAATCACACCTATAGGTTTTTGGGATGCCCATGGTTTTACAGACGAAGGAGTTAGCAAAGAGATAATCTGGTCCCCCAGAGTCTTTGGACATATACTGTGTTGTCCTGATTCAGTTGTTAAGCTTTTGTTGCCATCCAATTTTTGATTTCCACAATGCACTGAATGAGATCACATATTGGGCAGAGTTTTTTGGCAGTGACAGGTATGTGTTCTGCTTGAGGTTTCTGCCTTTTAAAAGTCTACAAGTCTAAATAGTACAAACAAAGAGTAAGGTCTATACCTGCTGTTTCTGTGTCTTGAGATAACATTTGTTGCGAAATGGCACTGTACAAATAAATATTGATTGATTGGTTGATATACAGTAGCTGAGTGTCATCAGCATAGGAATAATATGAAATATTGTATTGCTGAATGATAGGCTCGAGTGGGAGTATATACAAATTCAAAAGCAAAGGACCAAGAATTGACCCTTGCGGAACTCCGTATTGAATGCTGATTGTGGACATTGTCAAATTCATAGCTGCCTATTGACACAGAGAAAAGTCTTTTGCCACTGTTTTCGTTTTATATCATTACAATTTAACAGTCAAAGCTAATTGGATCATAAGAGGATAAAGAATAATGAAGGAAACATTAAAATTAGCTTGACTTTCCATTAGAACGTTTAAACTCTGTTTAAATGCATCAGCACTAACGAGCCAGTTTAATAAACTATATCAGGCTAATGTTGCAGCACTGTTACCTGGTTATTTTGGTATTTAAAACTACACACATTTACTGGAACTTTATTTTGGTGTTACTTACAGTATATCTTACCACATACATTTTGAATCAATAGCAAAGGTGACCAAGAAGGTTCAATTCTGCTGTTAATGTCAAAGCAAGATATGGCAAGTCTCACTGACTGGGGGCCAGACTGTATAGGAAGATTGTTAATATTGTTAGTGTCATCTGTGCTTCCAGTACTGGGAGATGTCAAAAAGTATTCTGCAAAAAGGTCTTATGAGTATTTTTATCCTTCGATGTGAGAGCCATCACCCCCTGCTGAGTTTAAAGTTTTGTGGAACTTATCAGAAAATGTGTGACTCCTATTCATGCATAATGCATTTTCTATTTCAACATCTAAGGTATTCTGTGCTATCCAGTATACATGTTGCAGGTTATAAAAGAGATATAAAACTAAATATGCATCTCAATAATAAGTTAGAATCACAACCAACTACATTCTCTGATCCCACACCCAGTAGGGTTTTTAGATGATGCAATCTGCTCTCACTCCTTATAAGGCAAGGTGTCCCCAGCACAGGAATCACCCTTTACTGAAACAGCTCCAGAGAGATTTCCCCAGAACACAAAACACATAATTCACAAAATGAATATGAGTCTGTGTGCCTGTGTTTGTGTGTACGAACATCCCACAGATGTCTTATCGTTACGCACATCACATTCCATCATCACAAGCTGCCCTCCCCCATCCATCCCTCTCTTGCATCCCCCCTGTTTCCAGCTTCTTTTCATTGGAACTTCCTATATAAGGACACTAATCTATTTGCTCCAATAAATCAACCTTCCTGTTGACAGCCAGGGCCTGTTTTGTGCCAGAGAAGCACACACTATGTGGCTGTGTGTGAAAGCTGACGACAAACTCAAGAACAACATGGAGGACCTAAGGGCTCTCTCTGGCCAACATCAATGAGGTGTTAATGAAGAAGAAACTCTGGTTGAACACTCAGGGAGTCTGGGTGAGAGACAAGGCAGAGGTAGGGATGAAGAATGAGAGGAGGAGGAGGAGGAGGAGGAGGAGAGATGGAGACAAAGCACTGAACAGAGAGGTTGCAGTGTGTGCCATATAAGGATAGTGGGGTCTGGATGGAATCTCGGGAGCTCTCTCAAAGTCTAGCACAGACGAACATTTCCAAGCCCCAGTGACTAAATATGGTCCAGCAACAATAGCAGTGATCAAACATATTACGTTGTTTCTTTATATGAGGAAGTTTGTGATGAAAAATGCTTTATTGCTAATCAATTGACAGTACACAAAGCCATTAAGAGAACATGCTGTTGGACTACATGGTACATCTTCCTCTCCTTGTAGTATAAAATAAGTTTACATAGAGGTTTACATGATCATTGCATTGACCTACAGTAAATGCTGCTCTTCATGCTTTCCTAACAGGATCATTACTTTAACAGCCACAAGCAAGAAGGTCAGATTGGTATTTTCTTTATGTTACATGAAGTGATTCATAACATGAGAAGGGAGGAGTGGAGCCTGACAAAAAGCCTGAAGTACGAGGGCACTGTGTGCTGACAAGAGGAGTCTTTACTGAACTTAAGCCAAAACATTCGTCCTCCCCAGGTTGTCTGAGATGGAGAATAATCTCATGGTACTCCTCAGAGCAATGAATAAACCACTGAAAAGTCAGCAGTGACAAGTGGAGGAGAAGAGGCAGTTGGAATGTATATGCATAAAAAATGGCCGAAGCAGCCGAAAGGATTAAATAAATATCGATTAAATGTTATCTGAATCTGTTAGCTGAAAATTTAAATGGTTGCAATGGTTCATTTTTTCCTTCAAACGTCTTCTTTTTCGCCGTACAAAAACAATCCGTTGGCAGCATAAATGTGCTCTGTGCTTCATCATTTTGCACAAAAATAAATAAACAATTAAAACATGAACAGCAAAGCAGAAATCTCTAACATACAGTATGTTTAATGTTTTCTCCCCCCTCGTGTCCATAGATGGCTATGTATCGGAGAGAAAATATGTTTATGGATATGCTTGACTCTCGAGGAATGCAATCTAATTTGAGCTCAGAGGCAAACATCAGTCCTGCAGACCGCTGCATTTAACACTATTTATACAGCTGTCTCTATAACACACCTAATTTATTCAGTAGAGGAGCAATGCTACCTATTATCAGGAGATCTGACAATTTAACAATCATGTCCCATTGTTCAACCTCCTCTGCTTATATAGCCATTTCAAGAGAACACTCATATTTGCTGCCAATAAACTGTTTACCTCAGAGCCACGGCCTGTAGGGGCAAAAAAGGATTGCTCCAAAGACATGATGTGAAGACGGACTTCAAATTTTCCCAATGACACTCTCTTTGACTCAGCACATATTCATTCATCATATACATGTTTGTTTTTAATAAGAATAAGAAGCAACAAACTTGGACGCTGTGTAGAGTCGAGTGTACATGACATCTTGTTGTACAAGCTGCATTGATGGTAAATGCTGACATTCTATCTTGACTTTTCACATGGGCACGTGTAAGTTCACTAAATGCTCTGCTGTATTATGACCTCATTCTTACATGAACTAATTTGAGCACTATGATCTCATTTATTGAAGCCTCTACAACCAAGTACTAAGGATAGAGGCATGGTAACTGAGACAGGATGAAATGACTTCTAAATCCTTAAAATAATACATGCATGGATTATGTTACAGAAAGTGGTGCAACTGTGAGTTTAGCATCAGGGATCATGCTGAGAAACAAATGACTGTACCCGTAGATAATCAGTTCCAGAAACTCAGGGCTTGAAGTTGTGTGAGATAAGAAAGCCAAGTTCCCTTAAATGGTGAGAGAGGAAGTGAGATAAAACAAAAACAAAAAAAAAACAGGCTTGTTGTTTGTGTGTACTGAACAGGGTCTGATCATTGTAGGAATAATTGTTTCTTTAACAAATTCAATAATTTGTCGACAAAAAAAAAGGTTAAGGTATTGTGACCAGAGTTTGCTGATAAATATAAAAGTTATAGGGGCCTTAAGTTACCACTAAGGGGGTTTGAGGATTCCATGGCCCCAGTTCAGAAACTTCAGGAATGTAGTTGCATAAAAAAACCTATCTAACAAATCTAATTTGTCTGGGTATTTTATCTAAACAATAATCATGAAATTATCAGCTACTGCATATGAGACCAAGAAAAAACATGTTAGTAGTAATAAGGTGTTAATAAAGACAAACAAGGGCCAGGCAGCATTGCTTGAATCAGACAGTATTATACCAACTCAAATAAAATAGTGCAGGGGCAGTATGGGTGGGTTGGGCTTGATGGAGCAACACAATGAGTGCTGAAATACCCATGAACAATCACAGGAAAGTAAGTGAACATTTGAGTCGTTATTTTTCACTTTTTTTCTTCCAGGTTGTGTTTAAAGTAATATTAAGAAACTGCTCAGAAGTGTGCAATTTACTAGCAATTACAGTTTTTATTAAAGCAGAATTTCCTTTTAAGTTTACAAGAGTCTTAGTGTACTTTATATCTTTAAACTGTTGAGCTAATGAAACGTAATATGTAGGATCTATTGAATCAATGCTAGTAAATTCCCCTTCATATGCACCATGCCCCATGTAGATAATAGCACATTTAGTATTTCCTGAGACAGCAAAGGTTACAGCATCACCACACATTCTGCACCTTTAGCTGATGACCTTAGGCTGCCACCAAGTGGTAGTAAATAAAACAACACTTCAATGCATGATTTGAATCTATGTCGTTTATAAATATAAAACATTCATTGTTTAACAAGTAAAAAAAGCATTTAAAAGTATCAAACATTAAGTCATGGTATCTCAACTTCATGCCTAAATTATTGAGTGAATGTTGATAACTGTGGGAAATACCACCACGACTGATGCTAAACCAATGGTAGAAGCCAGTACTCACATTTAAACGAATGGTTTAAAGGTCATCTAGGGTCATTGGCAACTGACAGTATAAAGCAATGGACATTTTTTTTATTTATTTACAAGAACTGGAAAAGGTCAGTGTAATCCAACAAGATGCTGCAACATTTTACGTCATCTAATAGGATGTAAAAGCGTCTCTGTCTCAGTGTTTTAACCTCAGGCATCAGGTACTGTGCTGCTTGCAGGAGCAGCAGCTGGCAGAGAGGCTCCCCGCAGAAACACTTTTCCACCTTTGTCATTGCTGTTCACAAAGTGGGACATCAAGCCGTAGAGAAGAGGTCTGAAAGTAACATTTTGAAGAAGCAAAGTTATTTTTAACAACACCTTTTATTCTCTTTCTCTGTCTTTCTATCGCTAAAGTGCAAGTGGGGTTTACTGAAAAGTTATTGGACCAGAATAATGCAAAGCTAGTAATTCTATTCAAACGGCTTACCAGTAATTATTATTTGAAGACTGTGTTTTACAGTTTTCTTTCATTGTTCAAGAATGATAGAGCTAGGAAAGCAAACGCTATTGAAAATATTCTTCTGTTACAAAATACAACTTTGCCAACCGCAGTGATTCACTGTTTGAAAATATTCTCTCATAAGCCATCATACCCCCTAATAGCTCAGTCAATATCAGTCAACTATGTTGGATAGCCTACTGTAGTGTACTTACACAGACTTTGAACTTGCATCCTCAGTGACTTTTAACTCATTTGCCAGGAACTGTCTGTCCAAGGGAATTTCAGGTTGGCCTGACTCTGGGAAAGCAAACAGAGTTTTTACATTTCTAAACAATATAAATTGGTTACGTTTCCAAAACAAGGGCTGGAAACTGAGATCTGAGTGTAATTCTACTTTAAATAAGTCTTGAAAGGGCATAATAATTTGTAATCAACACAGTGTTAGGGCTGGGCGATATGGACCAAAACTCATATCTCGATATTGTTTAGCTGAATAGCGATACTCAATATATATTAATATGTATTTTATTAACAGTGAAAACACATGGAAAAATAAACTACCTGTTTGTGAATTTATAAAGTAATATTATAAAATAAAAATGTTCCTTAAATACAATAAAAGAGAGAGAGAGAGAGGAGGAGCAGGGTTAAGAGGGACAGACAGTCAGTCATCATCAGTGAGATGAGAAAAAGGTGACCTGGCACCTCTATAACATTACTTTAATGCAACTTAAACTATATCCATATTAACGATATAGTCTTACCCTATATCTTGTTTGAAAATATATCGATATATCTTAAAAACTCGATATATTGCCCAGCCCTACAGTGAACCAGTAAAACGTGTTTCACGGGTCAGTAAAATGTGATGCATTAGTGTAATCATGAATCAGTGGTCCAGTTGGTGAAAATAGTTTTTTTTGTGTTTGTTTGTATTCACCCACCTGCTGTCAGCACTGACGCAGTGTATCTGTACTTGTTGAACTCCAGGTACTCCCGGATGAGCTCGTTGATGAGCAGGTTTTCATGGGACAGCGGGGGACGAGGCTCACGCTGGTCATCCAGGGCGCTGAACACCTCAGCCCGGATACGAGCCTTCAGCTGGCCCAGCACACCCCGGGACTCTAATGTGTCCCGCACGGCTACAATAGTGCACCAAAACGGAGAGAAAGGAGTTAAGTTTGCGCTTCGATGGGTCAAAAAATCAGCCAGCTTCGCTTTTTCGTTTGTGATTTTTGAATGAAGACATGCAGCAGACCAAACACACAAAGATATGTTGTTGTGTTTAAGCTAATGCTACCTGAGCTACCCAGCCTCACGATCAGATTCACTTTAATTATCACTAGACATATCATATCATGTCCTCTTGTCGATTGAAGAATACTATGCAGACAAATATATCATTTTTAGTGAGCTCTTACCACACTTCAGTTCTGTGATGGTCGCCATTGCAACAAGTGTAAACAAACGATAGTCTGCCAGTGATCATGTTATAGACTTCTGCCATCTAGTGACTGAAAGGGGGAATTACAATTTACTGTTTCATTAGACCAACATTTGTTCATCCAAACTTTGAAATGTTTTTACAAACTGTACAAAATGCATCTTCTGACAATCAGAAGATACAATAATAATCATCTCGACTGATAGTCAGCTTGTCTATATTATATGTGAAATGATAGAAAAGAGGCATTCAAACTGAACATGGTGAATTAGTAAATTCAATTTTGGCCAATCACACTTCAATTGATCTTGGCACATTAAAATAAATATTTGTACTTGATAGAATGCATTTGCTAGCGGTTTCAATAAAAATCTAAAGCATTTTTTTTCTAAAATGGTGCTGTCTCTTTTCAGACTCAAGACTTCACCTGGACTTTATGTAAATGACCTAATAGTTTATAAAATGCTAATACATACAGCTAAATCATCATAACAGTTTTCAGCTGTCACTTGAACCTCACTTGGTGATTCTGGACACATTAAAAAGAAAGTATTTCCCAACAGGATCATGACTATTTATTAAGATGATTTTCTTTTTTACAGATCATATTGCTCATCATGACCTTAAATGAAAGCATAACCACACAGTAGTTTCTAATACATTTTATTATCCAGCATGAGGAATCTATCAAGACAGTACATCAATAATAAATGGTCAATGAAAAATGAACAAGCTTGTTATAAAAAGTATAAATATAAAACAATCCCTTTATTTCTAAGGACACTTAATACATTTTGTCACATAACATAAATAAACTTTCAGGTTTTTCTTTGAATATATATTGTCTAAACCAGTAAGACAAAAAAACAGGAAATGCCTCTTCTCTTTGAAAGTTCATTGGGTTCTTCCTTCGAATTGAGAGTAAAGTTCATCGTGGACTATTTACAGTCTGTTATGTCAGCACCAAAAAAAAAAAAAAGATACTTTTTTTATCTCCTTATGTGTGTATGGTCTCAGTTGTGCGGTGGAGGCAATCCACCGCAGAGAGACAATCACTGAGAGATTTATCTCCATTGTTTTGAAGAGGCATTCTCTTCATTCATTGTGGCTTTCAGTACCGGTGTCAGGTTAAATCTAACCAGCAAGGCTCCATTGACTTGACTTTGACAGAAATAAACAACAACCACACTATAGTTGGACAGCTGCTAGTGTCTTGGCTCACTTCAACGTTTCCCTCATTTCCCTGACTTATAAAAACTTCGTATTGGCTCCCTCAAGCTCTGATTTTTAAAGCAGTGAAAACCTCACTTTCCCTGTGTTTGCCAGGGGTGAACCTTTTAAAGGTTAGTGTGTCAAACTATTTTTTGTCCCAGTTTCTGGGACAAGAAGACAAAATTGATTTCAATCAATTTACAATTACAAAATTTCCCCTTTTTGGTATACAAGGCTAAAAATAAGAGTAAACATCAAAATTAAAGCCTGAGACAACATCAGTAATATGTCATGTGCTTCATTAAACTTACAAAAAACTACAAAAATAATATAGCTCCCATTCAAAAAGAGAATGAACATCTTTAAGATGTGTGGCTCTTTCATTCCAGCTCCTGGCTAAATCCTTTAATGAAATAAATGGACTCAACTTCTCTATATACAATCGTAAAAGTTTTAAGATTCTCAACCGTCCACTGTCGCTTTCTTTTGAATCTTCATCGTCTGAGGTTAAGAACAGCATATCTGTGTGTTGAAAACCAACGTAAAGGGGCTGCAACTGCAGCTGCTCTGTAGATTCATTGACAATGCCCTCATGGAGAGGCGTTTGAGCTGCCACAAAGCTTGGAATGGTGAGATTGAACGTGTGTGTGAAAGCCACACAAATAAGGTGCCACATGTATACAGGACACCAGCTCCGAGGTACGAAGCACAAAGGTGACCTAGACCAGCCCAGCTTCCCGGCACATCCGATAGAACTGTCCCCTCTGTGCAATGAGGTTGGCCGGGGAGTCCATTTCAGAAATGTGGCCTCTGTCCATGACGATCACTCTGTTAGGAGGCAAAGAGGAGGACAGGTTTTAGATCCAGCATTTCTCATCACAATTGATCAAACATATTCTATAAGTTTGAAATGAAGCTGTTGGTTTTGGGAGGTCCTGGCCTTTAACTTTGCATTTGATTTGCATTCTGTTAAATTCACTAAAAAGATTTTATGGCTTCAGAAGTTATTCCTTTAGAACTGAAAAACAGAAAATCCTCACATTTCAGAAGTTGTAGTCATTAGATATTTGTTATTTTATTGGATGAATTAATGTAAATGAATATTTATTTAAATTGTCCTTTTTTATCAGTTGCTAGTGGACTGTTATGTACCTGGTGTAGTCCATGATAGTGTTAAGGCGGTGAGCAATGGTCAAGACAGTGCAGTCTTCAAACTGTGTGCGAATGGTTGACTGGATGAGTGTATCTGTCTCCAGGTCCACAGCAGCTGTAGCCTCATCCAAAACCAGGATCTTGGTTTTCCTCAGCAAGGCCCTGGCCAGGCAAACCAGCTGTCGCTGACCCAGACTACTCAGACAAAGGGTTGGAGAGAAAGGGATACAATCAAAAGTTACCACCGTCTGTAGATTGCCTGTCATAATATTTTAGTGACTGTCAAGGCGTAACAATGGTGAGCGGTTTATCTGCTTTGCACTTCATCATATCAGTGTACTTGTGTACCTGAGGTTTTCTCCTCCCTCTGAGCATTCGTGGTTCAGTTTGTCAGGAAGATTAGACACAAAGTTTTTCAGATGAGCGAGCTCCAGAGAACGCCACACCTCCTCATCAGTGTAGGTGTCAAAGGGGTCAAGGTTCATGCGGAGGGAGCCTGAGAACAGCACGGGGTCCTGGGAGAGAACAGCAGATATTTTTTAAAATACAAAACTGCCCAGATTGGAAACATTATTATTATTTCACAGTGTCTTATTTGATACTGGATGTTTAGAGAAACTATTAAAAACAGTTTATGTTATGAAAGCCAGGGCTTGGTTTCTGTTATTGTTACTGTCGTACCTGAGGGATGATTGTAATGCGGGATCTGAGGTCATGGAGTCCAATGTCTGCGATGTTGACTCCATCGATAAAGATCTTTCCCTTTGCTGCCTCTAAGATCCTGAAGATTCCCAAGGCAAGTGAGGACTTTCCTGCTCCGGTTCTACCCACAATTCCAACCTGGAAAAGAGGTCATAAGTCAAAAACTGTGTATGGCAACAATTCTGCGATCCAAGCAATTTATTCAATCCAGACGGGTTAAGCCTGCAAACTGCTGTTGACTCACTCTCTCTCTTTCATGAATCTGTAAGGTAATTCCCTTCAGAGCCAACTCAAGGCCTTTGCGATACTGCAGCCCGTAGTCCTGGAACTCTAGAGTGCCTCTTTGGGGCCAGGCTGGGGGTAAGGAGCTGCCCTCTATGCTCCAACTGGCCTGAATGAGACAGTTACAAAGAGTGAGTCGAGAACAACAAAGGCCCTCTTGTTTTAAAGAGTTAGATCTAGTGAACACTGCAGTGATTTGTTACTGATGCAATGCATTCTGAGAATTGATTTATTCATATATTTATTTTTTGGAACACCGACCTCTTTAGCTGTATCAGCATACTCGTTGACTCTCTCCACAGAAACAATGTTGTTTTCCACATCAGTCCAGGATCTCACAATCCAGCTAAGGATTCCAGTCACCTGCAAATTTCAATGCATAAGGTTTACTTTAAATCTTTTTCTATACCCTACAATTAAAATAGTTTCACAGACTGATCAAGGCAATGCATTTATATTTGCTCTTTTTAAACTTTAATTGCAACTGAAGTTAGGTCCCCCTTCCCCCCATTCCTAAGTGGTGTATTTAATGTTTTTTCAAGTCCTATACTGGAATACCTCTAGTGCAACTAAGTGAGAATGTGTGCCAGTGTGTGTGTTTGTTGGCAGAGCCCCTTACCTGGAGGGAGTGTGACACAGCCAAACCGACGATGCCTGGGCTCAGGGTGCTTCTTCCCATCACTGAGAGAATAGCAGCAGCTAAGACCACACCATTACCAACAAACTCCAGGTTCACGGCCAGCCACCTATGGATGTAACATTGATTTAGCTGTATGCAGAAGCATTCCTGACTGTTTTCCTCAGTACCATTATTCAGTATTATTTTTGTAACATGTATCATAAAGCAATCAATGAAACTCTTTGTGGTATAAATCATGAACTCCAACTCAGCAAATTAATGTAAAAATATATATAATGATCATATATCGTCTCACCGAGTCGCCACAAATCGAGGGAAGTAGGATGTCTGATTGAAGTCAACCCTCTTATTGGCCTGCTGAATGAACCTGGTCTGCTCGCCAAAGGCCCGGATGACGCTGGCGCCCTGCACTGTCTCGTTGAAGTGAGTGTAGATGGGTGAGCGGCTCACAGCTTCCAGCCTCCGCAGCTGACAGGATGTGGCAACGTAGAAGCTCTGTAGCCCACAGTGGAAAAGGAAAACAGCAGCTTTAATGAGTGAAACCAAGAAGGAGAGCCAAGGATTTTCCCATAATTCATAGTGAATGTGAGTAACATCTATGTCAGCAGGTGGGGAACAAAACACAAGTGAACAGCAAAATCAGCAGGGTTGGTTTTGGAGGCTGGACCTTTCCAATAACACACTGTAATGGATAACAGCACTTTCTGAGCCACCTTTAACTTGAAGCTCTCAAAGAAAACTTAAGTAGGAGTTTATATATTAGAGAAAATGTACCTGAACAAAGGCGTAAAGGAAGGCCAGAGGCAGGATGATCACTGCGGCAAAAGGTGTAGCCATCAGCACGATGATGCAGACCTCCATGAGTTTAAAAACATAGCTCAGCATCATCTTCAAACCGTCGGGGACCATGCAGTCAATGGCGTCAATCTCTTTGGCAAAGCGGTTGAGCAGGTTGCCGCTGGGCGTGCACTCAAAGAAAGACATCGGAGAGTGCAGCACGTTGTTCAGAAGGTCCATGTGCAAGTGGCGAGAGGCGATGATGCCGCAGATTGAGATGGCCACAGTTGTACC